TGTTTGTTGTTAGGAGGGTGAGGTGAGAATGTGTGTGTGTTGGGGTCAACAGCTTCATCTGCAAGTGAGTATGTCACAGCAAGTGAGAAGACGCTGAACTTGCCTCTTTAAGTGCACACGAAAAAAAAAAGTGTTAAAAGATGTTTTTTAAAAATCCTGACATGTTTTGTCACACCCGGCGATTTTCAGCGAGTATCTCACATGAGCAGCATGGGTGAAAATCACAAGTTTCATTAGTTTATGATATGATATATGTCTTTCGAAAGTACATTTTATTAAAAAAAAAAATCTGAAAAGCTGTGAACACCAACTCAGATATGAAAGATACCAAAGGCTCGTTTTTTATTACTTTTAGTTTTCTAAACTCACAAAATTAAGAGAAATTAAGATTAGAGGCAAATTTCTGAGCTTCTCCACGAATTTGAATTAAAGAAAGTTTTATGTTTAAGATAAAGAGTGCAATGGGCAGATGTATTGACTGGGGTTACCTGCTGACAATTCAAGTATGACTTTAATATTCAGTTTGTGGTCATAAAATCAATGCCGAATCATGATCTGCTCACCCAGCGTTGAGGAACAGTGAGGCTGAAATAACGAATTTATTAAAAAACAAAAACTGACACAAACTGACTACTAATTCATCAACCCTCAGTGTCAAACATGCAGCAGGTTCTCAGATGTAAAAACTTCAGCTTTAGCTCCTCTTTTGAAAGGTAAAGAGTTTAGAAATGGAAATATTTAGTAATGTCTGATGGTCAGATTCTAAACTCAAACGCTCCCTTGCTCACTCCTCCCATTGCTGAGGCAACGGTGGCCCCTAAGGACAAAAAGCTTTTATTTTGCACTGAAGAACTATTCTCTCCTTCTTTCTTACCTTGTATTACATGCAGCCACAGAAATACAAAACTAGTACGTTACTAGTTTGTCAGCGCAGTGATGCAGTAGAAATGTGCAGAAGCAGGTCTGTATGTTAAAGTATGCAAAAATCTTCTAATTTAACAAAAAGTAAGATCATTTTTTCATTGAGGTGATTATAAAAAAATTATCAACACTTTTTAATATTATATTCCATTTATTCTGTGTCTCTTCCGCTAAATGCTGTTGGCTATTTTATAGTGTACATTTACAAATCTTTATTTAGTTCTTTAAGGAACAAAAATGAAAATAGCAGCCAGATTTATCTTTTAAAAAACAGCCAAACTTGTACTTAAGGCAACACCTTCAGCTTTTTCACAGACAGTCAAATTCTCGAGAGTGATTTAGTGGGTCAGATTCGCTGAACGAGTCCCAGAGCCGCGTACAAAAGGGGGATCGGCATCCCTGATTGGACTGACTCCAATGTGGAGCAGAAATCTTAATATGAAGTGATTTACATTCAAATCCAATGATTTTTTCTTTTCTCTTCTTGAAATCATCAGGAATGACTCATCTCTTCACAGAGTCTCTATGTCAAGTCTCGTCTTAAATTATTCAAAGAAAGTCTGATTTTAAATCTGTAAGAACACCATACGCACTGAGCTTCCCCTTATTTTGTGATACAAGTGGAGCTCAGTGAAGTGTTTTTTGCTGACTTAATCCAGAGTTTGGGACGAGAAGGCCTCATTATCTGGGTCCCATCATGGCTGTCGACGACAAGCGGAGACTAAGGGATTTCACATCAGGTTTAAAAACACTCTGCATCTTTCAGTATGATTAGGTTTTACATTTTAATTGCTCTCAACCACAACTCCTCCAAATATCTGTAAACTAGTTTTGGCTTGTTTTGTTATATGTCTGCTTCTACTCTGAGACTATTATGTTCAGTCTGCCTTTAAGTGCCCATGTTGGGCTACAGCCTCAAAAGATGAAAAACCCCAGAGTTGGAAAAAACAAAAAAGTAAACATACCGACAAATAAACTTATAAAAGTAAAATAGAGGAGGGGAAAACCCCCTCACACACAAAGTAGTCCCTGCTTTCAGTGGATGTTTGTTCAGCTGATGGACTTCAGGGCTGCCGTCAGCCTACGAGCACAGGATGTAGTATCATTTGCATGAGGTCTTACATCATCCCTGAGAGCCCGTTCACTGTGGCATCAGCACGTGGTGCTTAGCCAACATATCCCTTTGTGCTCGCAAAAGCCTCATTCAAGTGACAGCGGGGCACCAGAAAAGTCCTGAAAAGGACATCTGGCCGCTGAAGTCAAAGGGATGTCCTTTAGGGATTCTCAGACATGTCTTTACAGCCCATTAAGCCGGTCTTCTCTGAGAGACAAGATACTGTCCGTATAGGTGAGAGATATGTTTGCATGAGCACTTGGATAAAAAGGTTGGTGTGTGCTTTAGCAGCAGAGTATACCACAGCACGTCCCGCTTGATGCCAGTCAGCCTTTCAACAGGGGGGAAAAAAAAGAGAAACAGCACCACTGTGACGACCAGATGGTCAAGATCATTGAGGTTTTTTATGTGCAAGTAACCTGACCTCAGCTCTCCGGGTTTCACAAGTATCCTGTAGCCAACACATACACACACTTCAACACACACACGTGCACACAAGGAGTCAGGGGTGTACATATAACAATAGCCCCCAGCTCCGGGCAGAGAGGTCTGAATGAAAACCAGATCTGCTGAGGTCCACTCAGAGCTGGAGGTTTAGTTCAGGGTCACAAAGGTCACACCAGCATCAGCCAGTAAACCTCTAACAGAACACACCTAACACACACATCTATGCAGAGAGGGGTGTGTCGAAACATGATCCCAGATCCATTCTTGCTATTGATTGGTGCTTTGGGCTCCCAGTAGACCCTTTTTAATGGAGCCAGACGACCTCTTGGACACACTGGCACACTCGGGGCTCCATTGACAAGACGGCTCTTGTGTGGTACTCGTCCACATCCCCTCCACCCAATCCCAATCCTCTCGCCCTCCTCTATTCTGGGAAGGGTGGGGACTGGGGGGCAAATACCCCTCTGGGCCCACCCTCTAGTCCTTCATGCATCACGCCATCCCGCTCTTGTCCTGCTCGCTGCTTTATTATCCACGTTATTGGGTGAAGAGGGGATGTTTTAATCCTGGACTCATAGCAGGAGTCTCCCTGAGAGTCCTCATCTGCAACACACCCTCGGGGGAAGAACCCCGTCCTGATTGGCACCCAGAGAGCACGTCTAGACTATGATTATGCATGTAAATACACCTGCTCCATCTTTGTGGTTCGGTTTTATCAGAGCTTTCGTCTTGTTGCTATTCTCAGACCTGATGTTTGGAAAAATTTGTGATTATATTCCCGTTCCACTCTACGTGTTATTAAAAGCAGAAGGCGTTCTCACTAGAAAATGCTAAAATATTCATGTTAAATCTCTCAAAGAGTCACATGCCACGCACAGTCTGTCATATAAGCTCAAACGGAGGATGGTGTGTGTGTGTTTTTGTTTTTATAGAGTGGGGAAACACCACAGATGATGGAGAATGATGAAGTGAATTTAATGGATGGAGTTGGACTGCAAAAGTCATCTGCCAGGTGAAAGCAGAACCTCTCCTGGGTGAACAACGCACAGCAGATTTTGCTGAAATTTCATTTAACTGCAATTCATCAGCCCTCAGTTTCCCTTCAAATGCACGCAAAGATAGCTTTATTTCCTGGTGGGGTAAAGCAGGAATAAAGTGAGGGATGAAGTGGTGGAGCGGTTTTTCTGCAAGTAAACGTCCCCGGAGTTTGTCTTGTCATTCAGGTATACGTCTTACGCAACACACACTCCCTGTACATCCCAGCATGCCTATGCACAGATGGTACCGACAGGCTAAGCTCCAGTCAGACTGACACTTTGAGGAAGCTAAAAACATGGACATCAGTTCCTGCCTGTGCATTTTCTACACCAGCTTCACTACTCCCTCAAAGCTTGATTTGTAGTGGTGGCCCATGTGTGATATTAGTTTACTACTCAGTGAAAATTACCTGCACATCACAAGAACATTTCCACTTTTGTGTCTTTTGTCTTCTTCATAATTTTTCCAGATTTTTTTGAGAATGAGTGGAAGTTGCAGGTACTTTGTTACCTGTTTGTATCATGAAAAAAAATCTCCAAACAGAAAAAAAATGCACTCCTTGCAGTGGTTTTAATAATAGATTTTTTATGTGTGTTTAAATTGACTGAGCTTTAAATACTGCAGTTTGAGTCTTTGTGTTGTAGTATAACCATGCTGTCAGGCGTGGCTTCTGTCGAGGACATCTTGGGGAGTCTGTGCGCGAAACGAACGGCGCGGTTCTTTGTTCACCGGGGCTGCTGCTGCAAAACCCTTGTGTGCGTCTGTGTGTGTATGTGTGTGTGTGTTTTAACGGGAAATGTGCGAGGGCTTTTCTGATGTTCCCCCGCTGCATAGGGTCTGCAACGCCTGTCTGACAACTCCCTTTCTCTTCTCCTCCTCGTATACAGCCCCCCTCCACCCCCCCTCCAGACACTCTCTTTCCCTCCTATACATAACATCCTCATGCGCAACGGCGCCGGAGACAACAACGCGGTGACCTGCCGCAAAGCACGGCTACATGGAGGTGGGCGGACCCCCCTTTCCAAAATATCACCAACTCCTCTACTCCCCAAATAAAATCCTGCCACAAAGTCCACGATCCCCCCTCTTTATACACACGATCTGCTGGATTTTATCTCTACACGTTAAAGTTGACATCATCTTTTCAGCAGCAGTAGATGATGACCATGTGCGCACTGTACTTGCACCTTTTGATACGCAACTGTTTACATCCTGGATGGCTGATCTTACATAAGTCGCAGAAATGCGGGTTTTCAGGCTACACTGCAGCTCCGCAGCTCAGACCGAGGAGTGCGGTGTAGGAGCTGAACGATGAGGTGTTTTCTCCTTTTCTATAGGTGACTGGAGGAAGCTGGATTTGAGATGCCACAGACTCGGGAACCTGAGACGGAATGGTACAACGGGAGGGCGGCTCGTTTTGTCTCGGCGAGGAGGAGAGCTGTGTAAACCAGACTGGGTGGAGCAACACATCGCCCGCCCCATCTATCGTGCAGACGGCCTTGTGTCCCGTTTGCCTGAAGCTCGGAGAGAGACTACTGTACTGAAAGTCTGGCGGATAGAGAGAGAGGGGGGCCGGTCTATGGGAGGGACTAGCGCAAAGGGGGGAATTGGAAGGAGGAGGGGGCGAGGAGGAGGAGGCGGCACGGGTGCTGTTTCTCCAGTCTCTTTCCCCTGTCTTTGTCTCACACACTCTTTTGTTAGCCATGCCTAGCCTGCTGGTTCTAGCAGGGATGATGGAGAAAAATGGGGGCTACGGCGGGGATCTGGCCGGCTCCGGCTTCGGAAGCGAGGGTCTCCTTGTGCCGCCCGATGAGGAGGAAGACGACTCCCGTGCCCTCAGGGTCGCGCTGGGCCAGTTGTCTCTGCTGGGGCTCGGGGAAGGCGAGGACGGCGGCGGAGCCCCAACAACAGGAGTACAGGATCGGAGCAACAATAACAACAACCACCACAACCACACGAACAGCGTCGGAGGGAGCGGGGACACGGCGATACTGCAAGGGAAGAGCAAGTTGTGCGCCCTGTACGAGAGCTCCTCAAGTGAGACGAAAGGACGAGGCTGCAACATAACAGAATGCGTCCCAGTGCCCAGCTCTGAACATGTGGCCGAAATAGTGGGGAGACAAGGTAAACCGCTGGCTTGCAAATTATTCCCCGTCAAACTTGTGCTTATACCCCGCTAAGTGTGCTGCATTATCCCCGCCGTGGTTTCCTGTGCGCTTTGTTTTTTTGTTCTCTAACTGTTACCTGGTGTTATTTGACAAAGAAAAGGGAGTGGTGTGTGTGTGTGTGCTCGCGTGTTTTTTGTACTCCCCCGAGACATCAGCCTCCCACTTTTTCTGCTCCAACGTTGCAAGTTCTCGTGTACTCATCATAGGGCTCGTTCATTAAAACAAGTCGTTGTGTGCCGCTTTGTGTTTATTTTGCTTTTGAGTCAATTTGCACAGAGGCACGAGAAAGAGAGAGAGAGAGAAAGAGACCCGATCCCTACTGGGCGAATTATTCTACATCCACGCCATCAATGTCAGCGCACAGACACACACTGGAGCACGGAGAGCACTTGCTTCCTTTGTCGTCTGAGACGCGCCAGACTGTTCAAAAAGGCAACGTGCGGCTGGCGAGGAGAGGAATGTCTTTCACTTTGACTTGTTTGCTAGGAAAATACCCAAATGTGCACATTTTTTGGTCCCAGTGGTGGAGGATGTTTTTCCTCTTCCCAAATTTATTCAGCTCGTTGTTTATGTTGCGCACTGCCCCAGTGACACAATTGGACAAAAGAGCCAGCGTGGTCCACTTGTTTTTTTTCAAATGAGGGAGTTGGAAAGTTCAATTCCACGCGCATTACACACACTCCTGGTTTTTCTTTCAGTTTGAGGTGATTTATTGAACAAAGAGCCAAAGTTGAATGACAGCAGCTGTCAAACAAAGGTGTGAAAGTCGGGGGGATAGATAAGGGGAGGGGCGCATTAAGACAGTAGTGCTGCTTGCCACACGGGATGGCCTCAAAGGGTGACTCAGCTAGAAGTTGCACCAGAGGGTTGGGAATCCTTTTTGTTTGAACAGGGTATTAACTTGTTTGTGCTTGTTTGCTTTTTAAGGTGATTTATCCGCCTCACCAAGTTCCATATTCATGCTCTGGAAAAGCTCAAAGTTGATTTGAAGGAGGATACCCAGATGATGCTGAAATGTATGTGCTCGTTCTTTCGCTTCCTGCTGGTGATAATACGACTTGCCCATTGTTAGCTGTTGTGATGAACCCAGGGGTGAGAGGGGCAGAGAAAACAAGGACAAGGAGGGAAGGGCAGTATAGCATCTAAAAAGCTGAATGGGAGTCACGCCTTGGAGCTCAGCACAAGGGGCTCCTCATGAGCCCCACTCCACTGCACACTCTCAATGCCACATGGTTGTGTGTCAGGAGAGAGGGAGGAATGGGCGGGTGAACTGAAGGGAGTACAAAGACTGCAGAGTGGGTGAGGTAGTATGAGCAAAATCCTGTTTTGCTTTTTTTTTTACCACAAAAACAAACAGGTATCGAAGAACAGCAAAACGGTTTCAATCAGAGGAGTTAAAACGACATCTTTTGTCGGCGATGTGGTTCCAGTTTTTGCTGCGAAGTGCCCCCTGCCTCCCATTGCGGCTCCCGTTCTTTTAGTCTGAAGTGTAAGTTTTGAATTTTAATGGGGTAACCGAAGACAGCCCGAGGGTGGATCCAGTAAGTACAAGTGCAGTGAGAGGGCCCTTTTGCTTGACCAGGAAGAAGTGCTGATTTTGGGGGATTTGAGTCGAGCTGCTTTTGATTCAGGCCCTTCGTTAGCTGGAAATGCGTACACACCCCCTTCTCCTCAGCACAGCGCATCACAGTCCTCCTGGTGGATGTGGCAAACAGAGCATCCTGTCATAAAGAAAGGGTTGGATATGATTGTTTTCCCCTCGTCAGAGTCAAAGGCATTGATTTCGGGGATGCTCTTGTACCTTCCTGTGACCGTTTTGAGGCTTTGTTTGGAATCACGTGCGCCTTTTTCGCCGCGTTTTTACGGCTGAGAATGAATTCGTCTCCAGTGACCTTAATTTCTGGTTGTGATTAATTAATCTCTACCTGTTTTGTTAACAGATAATTCTTTAATTGAGCCATAAATTCGGATTAATTGAAAGGTGCGATACAGTCCCAGAAAGCATATTTGGCAATTGCTCTTTGATCCCCCGTGGCATGGACAGGTCTATTAACCTAATACCTGGCAATGGCCACAATGGGCATGTTCAAATTTCGGTATGAGCAATTTTAAACCTTCAGCACCACTATCCTACCGGTTCCGGAGAGGTAAGTGTTCCTGAACAAAGTGTGCCTATTTGGTAGCATTAGAGCGACATTCGCCTCCAACTTAAGGTGTCTTATAAAGCTTTTGAAACCTGCTGCTGTGATTTTCAGATACGTAATGCAACGATGTGCTGTTTGATTTGAAGCAACCCGAGTGTGGTAAGATGAGCTCACATTTGCTCACTGGATGGACGCCTGATGATTCTTGCTTGTCTGAAGAGACTGATCGGCCTCTTTAAGAAGTGGCTGAGAAGAGAAAGGCATATTGAAATCAATAATTGTGGAAGTCTTAATGAGGAAGCTGCCTGAGTTTCTGAATGAAAACTGACCCCAGGAATGCCTGCTGCTTCAAGGGGTGTTACGTAAACAAAACCACTCTGTCCTTTCCTTTGCTGTTCTTCTTGACCTTAAATCTACCTGAAAATCCTCTGAAGTATTGCTTGATTTACTGAATGTCCAGTCATGGAGTGGCATTTACTTGAACTCTCTCACATCGAGGCTCTTCCTTGAAAGCTCTCAGTGAGGTAAACTAGCACAAACTGATCACAACCACGACAAATTTAGCACCATAAATGGCCCAAAACATGAAGCACATGTGGGTTGACTGTATAGTCTCGCAGTTCAAGGAGAGGTCAGACAGTGATTGCTCACCAGCATCGAGCAAATGTATTGCATCTGTTGTGTCTCATACAGCCCCAAAAAACAGACATGCCTACTCTGCCAATCCCTCTGCATCGTCCATGTATCCTTTGGTGAGATAAGTGTACCTTATTTAGAGCTAATAAATAGCTCTACAGAATAAGTGCACAAATGCTGTGCTGCTGGACAACTCATAAATCATGGTTATTATTCCATGTTTCCTAGGCTGAGGCCACTTGCTGCATTAATCTGAATTCACAACAAACAAAGGAGGGTTGAGGATTTCTGTTAGCTCATCATGATGGCACTTGTAGTTGTTTCACTTCATTCCTGACACACACACAGGAGTCAACTGGTCATATTTACTTACTTTGAAATGTTTGTCGGTGTCTCTGCAGGTTGCAAGATCAAAGCCCTGCGGGCCAAGACCAACACCTACATCAAAACCCCTGTAAGAGGAGAGGAGCCGGTGTTCTTAATCACTGGCCGGAAGGAGGATGTTGCACTGGCTCGCCGTGAAATCATCTCTGCTGCAGAGCACTTCTCCATGCTCAGAGCATCCCGCAACAAGCTAGGAGTGTCCTTTAGCGGCTCTCCGCCCACACCTTTGCCTGGTCAGACTACCATTCAGGTGAGAGTGCCATACCGTGTTGTGGGGCTGGTCGTGGGGCCTAAAGGCTCCACCATCAAACGCATCCAGCAGCAAACCTGTACTTACATCGTCACCCCGAGTCGGGACCGCGACCCCGTCTTTGAGATCACGGGGTCACCAAGCAACGCCGAGCGGGCCCGCGAGGAGATAGAAGCACACATTGCCTTCCGAACAGGAGGCCTGCACGACCACAATAATGAGAACGACTGTTTGGGGCCAAATGGAGGAAGCAGCCCAGCGGGCAGCAGCGGTGGTCTGGAGAGCCGGCTACAGCAGGTGTGGGGGCTGCAGGGGGGCCAGCGCAAGCCCCTCACCAGCAGCTACCGCCAGAACTTCTCAGAAACCATGGTTGGAGGGGGAGGGGGAGGAAGCGAGGGAGGAGGAATCTACACCAAGAGCAACTTCTCCAGCTCTGGAGAGAAGCCTTGCTCTTATTTTGGATCAGATGGTACCCAAAGCTGGGGCGACCCTGACTACCCCAAACAGGTGGCCTTCTATGCCCAGCAGCGCTCCAAGAGCTTTGGAGGCCTCCCGCTCCCCCTGACTAGACTCTCCCCTGGCTTGACCGAGCCCTGTGGAGGTGGAGGAACCAACAACTCTTCAGTCACCAGCATTGTGCCCGTATCTGGTTCACCTCATGCCCAGGCCCGCCGCGCCCACAGCGAGCCCACCTCAGCCGGGGAGGGTTTCCCAGGACGTCTGCCAGTGCCGGACTCGCCACCGGCCACTGTGCGGGACTGCATGACCTGCTTTGAAAGCAAAGTGACGGCTGCCTTGGTGCCCTGTGGCCATAACCTCTTCTGCATGGAGTGTGCCATCCGAATCTGTGAGCTCAACCACCCGGAGTGCCCAGTGTGCCACACCCAGGTCACACAGGCCATCCGAATATTCTCTTAAGGAACCACATCAGTTTTTATCATTAGTTTTGTCAGTGTTTGTTCAATAATTATTTCCTGTTATTCTGATTATTATTATAATACACATTTTTGTTTTTCAGAAAATTTAAAAACAATCAAGCAGATATTTTAGAAGGCACTGCTTGCTTTACTAAAAAGTATAAGAAATATTTTTAAGTTTTTCTTTTATATATATATATGCATATATATTTTATAAAAGTTTTGTTTATAAGAGAAGTATAGTACCTTGCATTTTCAGTTTTTTGGACTGCTGCTGTTTTTCATTCATGAATCACAGTGTAGGCAGAGGTAGACAGTAATGTGAACATTTTATTATTCAAATTTTTATTTTACCATGAAGTGGGTTTATATGGAAGGAAAGAAGATGATTGTTGAGGCACCCAATCTGCACCTGACTGACCTAGAAAGTCAATGTTGTTAGAAGAAGAAGAAAAAAAAACCCTAGAATTTTCATTGCACCTTACAATCATCTTGATCTAAAATAGGAGTTCAATCAAACCTTGAAATTTTCGGGAGCTGATGTGCAGGTGGAGTCAGCCTTTTCAGATTTACTGTGATTGTGATTTTGATATAATTGGTCCAGAACAGATATTTTATCAAAATGAAAATGTGAATAGATTGGTTGTAGCCTTGTAATCCAAACTAAGAACAAAGGGCGGCTTTTTTCTTTTTTCAGTCTTACACCTTAAAGTCTCATGAAACAGATTAATCCTAAAAAAAAAAGGGATAGGACACTACATCATTAATTTAACTAATGCTACACTCAATTGGCACCATTGTTTAGAGATAGGCAAAAGTTGTGTATTGGTAAAATCTTTTTTTCCAGTAGCTATTGATTACACTTTGGTCGCTGCAGTTTGTTGAAAAGATTTAGTAATGCTTGCTCCTCGTGGCACTTGAAAAGCATGTGGTTCCTCGGTTGGCTTAAAGCACTGATTTAATTTGTGAGGCCGAAAGCCTTGGAATTCTTCCAGTTGGCTAGTTCTTGATATCCGTCTCCCCAATGGACTTGTTTCAAAGCCACCTTAGCCGCGCTTTATTGTCTCGTGTGGTCATTTGGCCACATTCTCCGAACAATATAGGACAAAGAAAGAGCTCCAGTCAACAGGCATTTCTCTGAGGTGTGCACTGTAAATACAGAGGAGAATTAGTACGTGGACAGAAGCCGAGGAAAACTGTAAATTGTTCCCTGAATCAGCAGCCGACTCCCACCAAAATAGTTGACACTGTAAAATACAGAGTCCCACACTAGTAATCCTTACTCCCCAATAGTAACAGCATTATGTGTGAGCTCGGAGGGGCCAGCTGTCTCCCCTGTAATTAGCAAATCTGTACAGGAGCAGGTGTTTCATGGCACACTGTGGCTGTGACCCCAAGTTGGAGCTCTGGCCTTGCCCCCTTTCTTTCTCCCTTTTCTTTGGCTTTTATGTCTCCCCCTGCTTACAGTTCGATCGTTTGGTTTTCGAAGGCCTCTCTGAGCGGGGCGCATTGTCTTGGCCCGCTAGCGGCGTGGGCTGCAGAGCGCCCGGACACGGCCTGGATCTACTCATTCATAATTAGGCAAATGGGCTGGTCCAGGTGCGGACCGTGTGGGGACTCTGCAGCCGTGTGAGGAGTAAGACAGGGTCCTGCAGCGAGCCCCTTTCAGCCCCACCCCACTGTTACAAGCACAGAGGGGGCTGGATGCAGCTGGGTGTATAGGACCCCCTCCTTCCTCTCCCTCTTACCCCTTCCTCCCCTCTTTTTCCTCTCCTTTTCTGCCACTCTGAGCTATCCCTACTGGGGAGCAGGGGCCTCTTTTGTCCCAAAACACACACACACATTCGAAATTTGAAAGACAGTAGCTGAAATTGGCAGCGCCTGTGAAATAAGGGGAGGCTTTGGTGAAAAATAAATTATCTACAGTTATCAGGAGGCTACCAGCTACCTGTTCTCGGGGTTAACACCACAAATTTGCTGCACGCACACTGTAAATGATAGAAAACGTGCGTGTTCACCTACAAAACAAAGATTGCGTGATCTCATCACACAGGGGGCAGCATTAACCCCCCCTCCCCTCCCCTCCCCTCCCGAATGCGCCGCCCTGAAATCTGGAAGGGGTCGTTTTTGTGTGACAGCGCCAATGCAGATCGTGTCAGCTCGCTACTGTATGGGACATCCTGCAGCTGCCCCTTCACCGTGGACACCAGGGCTTCAGCCGATAGAAGCCCCCCTCTGGCTTTGAGCTTTGAGAATGAAATCAGACAATTGTAATTGACAGGAAAGCAGAGGAAACGCCCCATTTAACCAGCACTCATGCTGAATCAAATTACACACCCTCTGCGTCTGCCTTAGCCCCAGCCTGGGGATTTCAGAGGGCTAGAGGAGAGCGGATGGGGGTAGGGATTAAAGCTGTTGAATGATAGGGGGGGATTCATTTTGGCTGTAAGAGGAGAGAAGTAGGCTCTAAAAAAAACCCTTCCAGATCTTGCATTTTTATTGGTCATTCAAGTCTTGCTCCGAGTTTTGAGTAGTTGTCACATGAGAGCTGGTGTTGGCGATTCAGCAGGCCTTTCTTTTGTTGTACTGGAGAACAATTCAACCCGGCTTCTGTCTCAAAAAGGAATTAACAATTACAAATTGTGTTTTCTAGCACACAAAGGGCCCTTCTTTAAAAAAAAAAAAAAAAAAAAAAAAAAAAGGAGCAGACCACTCACATTTCGTGAGGACTGCAGGGAAAGCACTGTACTTGTGAAAAAGTACCCTGAGATCTATCGGATGTAGGAATAAAGAATAGTTATGGTTTTATGGATGGAAAAATTGCACAGTGGTTTGGCTTAAGCTTTCAATGTCAAATTCAAGGCAGTATGACACTGTTCTTTGAACTTAGTATTTTTGTTATTTTGTTTTCTGCCTTAATATTTTTTATTCAAATATTGCCATTGCTTTGGCATACAAGGTAGCAACTTTGGCCTTTGATAGTATCGCCCCGTAGGAAAACTTTTTAAAGTACTTATTTTTGGAGAAACAGAATGTGAATCAAACTTCTTGGGTGGGTATAAGAGGGATTCAGGAATTAGGCTCTTAAAACACTTTACTTCAAATATAAAGTAGAGCACCTTATAAGAAAACATGCGCAATTGATTCAAACCAAACCGACCACTGATGGTGAATACATTTCATAGAATTTGAAAGAAATGCACATAAGGATTCCCTATCATTTTTTGTACTATGGTGGTTCTTGTTCTTCTTAATACTTCAGTAGTAGTAGTGGTTATGTGGGAGACCCCTCGTCCATTGAGTCAATGCTGATGACTTGGTGGAGTTTTGCACTGGTTTAATGAAGAGAGGGCTTTTTGGAGATTCTCCCTGTTTAGACGCTGTATAAGTTAATAAGTATTGTACTTAATGGGAAAGCACTCTGAGCATCTATGTAAATACAGTATGTGTATCGGTTATGGACATCAAGATAAAGGCCAGCTTAAAGTGAGGTTTTGATTATTTTTAAAAAGCTGAAGGTGTCATTGTCAATGTTTTAGCATATGGAATTCAAGATGTTGAGTTTAGGGAGAGTAATCTTTTATATATGCGCCCCATCATCTTTTTGACTATAATAGTACGTTGTATATTAGATAGATCCATACATTTAAGAAATATTATTTAAACTGATTAACTTAGTATTTCATCCAAATAGAGATAATAAATTAACCAGACACTACTATAAACTGTAATAATGAATATCCTTTATGAAGCAGCTGATGTATAAATCCAAGCTCAAATAAAAACTGAAATGAATAGTATGTGTAATAACTTACCCCTAATGGATAAATCCGTTTCTATGTATATTAGGATAAAAGCAATAATAGGACTATACTGGGATAATAAAAAGAGGAGGTCTGCTTAGTCAGTTCTTTACATAATATTCTATTCAGAAACTGACCTTGACGTTTAGGATGCTATTGCATTTGTCTCACATCTACTAAAAATTCATTATGGATTCATGCCAGTGTAGAAACAGAGATATAATTAATTAGTAACACTTTCAGGATAACTCATTGTTCTTGTTGCGTTCATCAGGGTCATTCAGAAATTTGATTGCTTACTTTTTTTTTTTTTATGTTGATTCTCAACCCAAACACAGGGTGGGTCAGGACAAACTTAAGGATTCCCTTTCCTGAGTAGCGCTGAAAACATGAAACTGCAAATTTCTGTGACTAAGAGGAAATCTTACTGCGCTGTAAAAGTGTTCCCTTGAGTGTAAACAAACATCAGGATAGTGTCAGCATGAGGGTCTGTTCTCTTTGTTAACAAAAGCAGGACAGGATGACTTTACTTAATGATGGACTGATGTCTTGAAGGTCAGAAACGTACACACAGCAGGGAGAGACGGGGTGAGGAACATGATATGATGTACTGTACCAGCTTCACTCTGACTGCAGTCATGTAGTGACTATTATTTAACATTAAGTTACAGACAGAGGCAGGTGTGTAACTCATAGCACATCCTCTGTTCTCTTAGTAATACGTTTCTGCTTTCATGGCTCTTTTTGCACCTACTTTTTCCATCTTTTTTTTTTTGGTTGTTTTTTGAAAGAAAAAGGTCAGACATAGCCAAAGAACAAAGTTAAAGGAGAGGACATGGGCTTAAAAAAAAACACTCAAGTTCACTTATTTTAGCATCAAAATCTGCTCGGTTAAAAGTTTATTGAATCAGGATTATTAAAGAATAATCTCATAGCTAGATTCACTCTGTTTACCCAAAAGTCTTGGAGGCCACTCAGTTGATATCTGTGAAATGGAGGCATATCATGTTTCAGTGTTGTAAGATTAGTTTAATACGACAGGGGCGCCGGTAACAGACTTACTTCTCCCCGAAGAGATCAGCGAAAGCACATCCCTGAACTTCCACTGTTCTTTGAGTGATTTTCTATCGTCCCGGTGAAGTTGTTTGGGGCAGAAACTAGTCCAGGGAGGGTCTTAATCTCTTTGAAAAACTTCACTGGTGTTTAAAAGGGACTGTCCGAATCACTTACTAAAACAGACTGGGATGAAACTGTGTTCACAACGACAAGCCAGTGACAATTCAGGCCCAATTCCTCGTTTTTCGACCCCTGGAGCAAACTGTGAGGGTTTTCTTGTAGATGTAAACAAGGTCAGTGTAATAGTGAATAAAGCAACACTGTGGTTTTAGTTAATATCATTTAGAGAGCCATCGACTGTATCCTTAAGTTTAACTGCATGTAAGTAAAGTATAGTACAGTAGGTAAGATTTATCAGAAAAAAAGTTAAGATCGCATAAAGAATTCATCAGCGTGATACCTAAAGTGTATAAAAAGCTTTAAGACCTTAAAGTGAACATCGGTCAAAATCATATATTTACCGTGTAGTTTAACTAATTGATACATAAAGTTTAATTATGATTCTCTTAAGAATATGCTAAGCTGTAAGTTTCATTTGTCCAACTCACCCAGTATGAAATACTTTTGAATTCAGTGGAGCGACAAAGGGGCGGGGTGACTCACAGTGACATTTGATTCATTAAGTTCTTGTTAGTATTATTTACAATATTGTATTAAACTTACTATAATAGTAATGGTAGAAACTGTTGATGTTTTTCTTCTCTTGATATGAAAAGGTCTTTATGCATTTATGTAGAATCCCTTTTTAAGGAGTGATAGGAAATCCTTATTTTCAATGGATGCACTTAAGCAATTGTACCAACCTGTCTAAATCACACATTGAGCAAGTAATGCATTTGAATGTAAAAAAAAGACCACTCAACTCGATGCACTCCTTATGCTTATTGTTTTTTTCAATTTACAAGTGAGCTTTAAGTTTTTTTGTTTATGTTTTTGTTTTTTTTTTAAGAAAAATTTTGCGACAGGTTTTCAACTTAGACTATATTTGAGTTCTTCCACATACATTTATAGAAAGTAACTTAAAATGAATAAAAAAAACATATTACAATTTCTCAAATCTATTTTGCTAACATGGGTTATTATTTCATAGAAAGCAGAGGAAAAAAAGTCAGTATCTGGATGTTATTTATGAAAAGTAAAAAAAATGAAGCAACATATTTATGAGTAACCTCAAGACATTTTGTTTTTTAATTAAAATTACAAGAAGTTAATATATTTCTAAACACAGGGAAGTCAGTTTCTACTAATAAGTAAAATGAGAAAAGAGGTTTAGAAGTTTTATTTATGAAAGCTATGGGTGCTCGTCTTTCCTGTGTACATTCATGGTAAATGAAGTCAACGGAACGAGAGCTTCCTATAGCTTAAATTTTAACTTCGGACGTGCACTATCACAACATCGGTGCAGTCACAATGGAATAATGACAGAAAATAATATAATATTTTTTAGAATTTGGAGATATTTTAGTCACAGAGCATCAATTTTGTGCCTCAATTATATATTTTTCCTGCATCAGCATTCTTTGTGTAGTGCTGCTTGCTGTTACCCTTTTCCCCCCTTCAACTAACCCCATGTTACTGACTGAAACACATTACTCATTTCCTCTGTAATCTAAACTCGCTTTTACTTATCAAACCTATAAAACATGTTACGACTGCAACGCTTGGATGAATGAGGCAGCTGTGACCCTTCTGCCAATAGGGTCACACATAACTTGTACACACTTTCATTCATACATTTTCTACATCTACTACTCAGACAGTTTGTGATCACTAGCGACAGAGCATAATCAGCCTAAAGGCAGCCTTTTATGAGAGACTTCCCCTAATGTGTTAATTAGGTGAAGTGTGAAAATTGAGTGGAGGTATCTAGGAGAGGACAACAGCGCACTGTGTAGTAGATCTATGTAACTAGATGCACACATATACACACACAACAGATTCATTACCGTACTAGTTTGCATGTATGTTGTATGGTCACTTAGATAGGAGGAACGGCACATGTCCTGTGTTATCCTTTAACACCAGGACACCTGGGCTGTTGCTCCTCTGTAGATTTTCATAGTTGGAGTCTCTTTGGAAAGTGTAAAAGTTGACATGAGTTTGGGGCCAAGCAAAGACACCATTTCAGTCCCCACATCAAAGTTGGACTTTGTATTCTCAGTTACCTGTTCCTGATGAAAGACTGTTTGCACCTCATATGAATTAACTTGAAGTTTTTAGTTTGTGTAAGAGTAGATACAGTAATGAAAACTTGACGAAAACACAACAATAGCACATTTTCTGCTGCATGTAAACGATGGGGACTGAAGTGGCGTTTGCTGGTGAAACTTGCAACCTTTTCCAAAGAGGCCAAAACAGTCTGACAGTTTGTCTTTGGTAGCGTTTCCAATTTTTCCAGCACAGTAGAGGTGTTTCATACCGGTCTAATAGTGGTTGTAGTGCATTAGTTTTTGGGCCAGCATCACCTGGCGATAGTTTCTGGTTTCTCTGTGAACAGTGAAAGAGGGTTGCCTATGTGGCCCTGTGTGGCTGACCGTCAACTTTGATGGATGGAAAAAAAAAAAAAAGAAGTCTTTGAACTCTGTTACAGTATGCCATGCTCTTACGAGGCATGTGATATTGCAGGTTTATTTGTTATAGCAAATGTTTTTTTTTTGTGAATTACATCTTTTGGAGACATTTTTATTACTATTATTGTATCTGCGCCATGTTAGTTCTGGTTCTTTGTTATTTTTCCAAGATTCAAGATGTATTGTAAATGTTTCTAATAAAACAAAAATGAAATGATCTTCAATTGAAACTAATTGTGTTGTTTTCCATTTGAAGGGGATCTTTAATACAGCTGATTGATCCTGTGATGAATCTTTATTTTTCACTTCCAGTACTAGGAACTCTCTTTTCACATGATACTTTGTACTGGACTTAAGTAGGAGTGCAGATTTAATCCGATGACATTACTATGTAAATATTTTCCAATGACCCAAACGCTCTCTGCCAAACTCATCAATAGAAAATTCAGTTACAATATCATTCAAAAGCTTCTAAAACAGACATGAGAAGAGACAGTCTATAACAAATGAGATTTATTTATACATATGCAGTCCAAATATACATATATTAGAATAACTGTTAAAAAGCCCTAACCTACACCACCCAGTTAAAGACCTGTGAAGTCGACAGAAGTCAGTGTTGATGTGGAAACACATCAGCAGGATAAACGCCATCTGTGTGCATAACCTTTGGATTTAATTAAGCCCCTCCTAGCTCTACCATACTTTCTCCTTTTCTCATCTATTAAACTATTAGATACTAACAAACCCACTCCTGGCTCCCTGATACAACCCCCCGCCCTCTCCACAGGAAATAAAGACAAGTGAGAGCAAGGGCAGACCTCAGGGAGATCCCAGAAGGCAGAGTCCTGTTCCAGTTACATACAGCGTAGAGAGACAGAAAGGAGTAGGTGAACAGGCAGCAGTGGAGGATTTCACTTACAGTAAAACAAGCCATCTCGGGTACATCAGAGACCACAGGAGCAGGGCAGGGCTGAGTGCCCTCACAAGCTCATCCCTTGAAACATTATCCATCCATCCATCCATCCATCCATCTATCTATCTATCCCAGCCAGCAGGCAGCAGCAGCAGCAGCAGCAAAGGGTTGTCCATGCATTTAAAACTATCTCTTAATCCCTCCTGCATCACCAAAAGGTTAAGAACCGGGAGGGTAAAGAGTCATCAGAAGAGCCAAAACCTGTATCCCACCAGCCAGCATGCAAAGCAGTTAACCCATTCACTAGTGATGCAGCTATCTGTTAAAAAAAGTTTGAGTTTGGAGTTAATGCTGTGCAAAGCTTGCAAGAGCATGACTCATCTGTCGAGAACAAAGTGTGCAGAGAGCGGGGAAGCCTTCCAAACAAAGATCAAAAGCAATCAAAAAGAAATTACATGTCACTGTTAGAGAGGGATGTTATTGCTCTGAGTGGTTTGGTGGAACGCAACATGAACCAACTTTCACCAAATTCCAGTATGTGCATTTAGAAAAGATGACTTAAAGCCCTTTGCTCCTGTATTAGTGAGATGTAGTTGTTCTTAAAAGCTTCTTCACACACGACAGTGGACAAAGCATTGAAAAGCATGAGAGCTGCCTTTAGTGTGGAGCTACCGGTGTAGAAAATCGAAATTAACTAGTGTTAAAACTGCAAACCCTTTGTCCAAATAAGACTTTAACCTAGTGTTCAATAAATATAGCAGGGAACTTTCTTTTCTGAATATGATACATTTGTGGAAAATGGGAATGACAGTGGGGACGGAGGGGTTGCAGTTCAGTCTTTTTGATGTGGATTTTTTATTGCCCAATATCCTGATAGTGAGAAATTGAAAGAAAGCGTTTACTAGCTTGTAAAGTACAGCTTTGAAAGGGAGGCGGTTAGCAAAGACAGAAATTGTGATGAGATACAAAAGGGTCCTAATATTGCGTTAAATTTTTCATTAGATTGTGAATCAGTTCTGATCATGTACCTCTTTTAAAGCAGAATGCACAGGATACAGTGCATCTAACCTCGCTACAACCCTCCCTGTCGGTTTGTTTAACCCTCCTTACTATTCCTCCTCTATGGTCCCTTCTTTTATTCTCCATGAAGTTTTCTTAAGCAGACATCAGATAATTCATACTCATCACAAGTGTCCTTGTGTAAAGTGGATCTCTCTACCTGTCTTTACATTTCCCCCTGTCCATCTGTCTGTCTCTGTTTGTCTAGCTGGCCTTGTCCCCGATATAGCCTGGAGGTGAAGGAGGTGAAGATGGTAAAGTCTCAGTTGTTCTGGCAGCAGACACCCTTACTGGCTGAGTTTTGGGTGGGCTCAACTGTGATGGGCACTACGTTGGAGGCTGGTGAGAAGTCTGAGTGGCCTGGCCCTGATATCTGCCTCTGTGACACGATGTTGTAGATGGCTGTGATGGAGAGAGGGGTGAAAGGGAATGAGTTATATGTAGATGCCTTTAAATCCAGCCAACAGAGAGACATATTGTGATAAGGACAAACAGCATGGCAACACTGAACAACAACTGTTCTATCCAAACTCCTGGCAGCACTGACGGATTCTTTCCATCCTAAACTCGCATCAGTATGTCATGAGGTAGCACCAACTCTTGTATTTGGAATTCCCGCAAAGCAACAAGATGAAATGATTTTGCATTTAAACTGGAATACCTAATCGACATGTTGCCTCTTCTTCCCTGTTTGCTCAAGCTTACAAGCAGAAAATACAAAAAGTTAAATGTTCAGTGCATGAGAACTGAAATTAAACAGCTCATTTTCAGCATCGATCTTTTCCTCTGAAATACTTAAATGTCATTCAGCTGGTGAGTTCATCGACTTAAGCGAGGAGCAGCGGTGCAAACATCCCTCTGGTTTACTGTTGCACACTGCCCCTTTAACTCTAAACTACAGCCAGATGTGGAACAAAACAGTCCTGAAATAAAAACTGCCTATTAAGCAAGAAGGTTGAAAGCAAAACAAGACTCCTGGCTGACTGTGACGTGACACGTCAGGTGGTAAAACCATGACTCATTTCGAAGAACTCGACACAGCACCAGCTGCTGAGTCTATAAGGACAATAATCCATCAAGATGACCCTCTCTGACCCACGATTTGCGCCGCTGTTATCTACACATGAGGCTTCTTCCCTGCTTCACTGGGTCTATAGCTGGCCTAGTAATGTGCTGTGAACTTCCTCTATTCTCCTCCCTTAATGAGCTAATTAGCATCATTAGCTCAATGGGGCCTGTTGGTTTGAAGTTTTTATGAATCAGAAATTACTGACAAGGCTGTGGTTAGAGAGGGATGGCTCAAACAACTCAAGCAGAGGCGTCTGGGTATTGAACATAGAGCAGGAGCAGAAAACAAACAGTGAGTGGCACATACTCACACACTGATAGCCTCTGGAGCAATTGGAGTGGAAGCACCACTCAATGTTGGATTGTCCCTTTAAGCACTCCAGGGGTTTGACTGAGTCACAATGATTGCTGTTTTTCCATGTTACCAAATTTCTACATCAGACGACCCTGTTAGCTTAGCTTCGTACCCCGAGGGGAACGGCTTAGAGACTTTCACAGAAAATGAACACCTTTGAACTGGTGTCTGGATTTCCTCTCTAAACAGATGTATGTAGTTTAGTGGGTCAAACATATTTGTGACCCTAAGGACCAGTTTAAAGTGATATTTACAGCTGCTCTCACCAAAGTTGGCTGCCCGGTTGTGTGGTTTTTCCGTGTGCCCATTACCTTCATTTTTCACTTTTAAGGACAAAAACATTCAAGCGGTGTTTTTGCCTGAGACAGCATTTAAGTGTGGGACACAGATCACCAATAGGGTGGATTTTGCTGCCATCTAGTGGTGGCTGAAAGGTGTTGTTATATAAACCATCAACGTCTGGATGAAACTGTTAACACTTCCAGACAAATCAATAAACGGCGTAAATAAAGATAAAACAATTTGGAGGCTTTAAGTTTTGCTGCAGTTCCACATCGAATGCACTTTCATCCTATGATCGGTTATAAACTCTGAAAACTCAGACAGAAAACTCACCTGTGAGAATATTCTTGAAAGCCAGCTCCACGTTGGATGAGTCTAATGCTGACGTCTCCAGGAAAGACAAGCCGTGCTTCTCTGTCAATAACAAGAGCATAATGATATAGACTGTTACTCATTACTTTTTAACTTTGATAACTCTTCACACAGAGCTGAGGTGATGTTTAACTCCTATTTATACTATAGTGGTCTTCGACTGGGTTGACTGTATAATCATCACAGATAATACAGTTTTATGATCTATTGAATATATTATCACTCACACAGACATCTGAGATTTTACCTGGTTTAAATTCTGATGAAAAACCTTTCCAAGCACCAATGCAATCTTCACACAGATTTCATTTAAAATGTGATCCTTTAGAATAACTACCTAAAAAAGACAAGATGACGTGCAACTTTTCCATAGAGCAAGAGGACAACGCTGTAAACATTTGCTCAAATGTAAAATTTAAATACATTAGCATTACGTCAGCATTACAGGAAAAACACTGTTCCAGCCACTTAAATGTGAGACTGCTGCTTCTTTTAACATTGAAATAACTTTGACTTTTTGTTTTAATCCAAATCTTCTAACGTCACTTGGGTGGGGAACGCTTTACTCATGACATTATAATAGTTTTTGCATGGACGTGTCCTTTATAGTCTGAATGTAAATGAGGGATCTTCCATATGGTCAGCGGTACGAAAAAAAAAAAACATATAAGCCACACCAGCAAGCGCTGACTGGAAACAGCGTTTTTAAAGCAAAGACAATGAATTGCTTTAGTCTTATATGGATCAACAAGATTCATGAATTTGACTTCCACACAGGCAGGGCCATCAGGAGTCATTTACCAGTCAAAGCAGGTGCAACACTGCCTCAGACACGAGCCAATAAACTCAAGGTCAAGAATAAACACAAGGGGCAACCACTTTGAAATAATAAGCGTGTCAAAAGGGTGACAATTACACTTAAATTATCATGAAGTTCCGCTTACTGCTTGTAAAAACTAAACCTGCTTTGAAACAAAGCCTTGAAATTCTCAAAGGGTCAGGAGAAATGGAAGTCTAATTTATTTAAATGGAGTCCTTTTGAACTTGTGCTGTGCTTTCTTACATGTAGCCAAGGACGTGCCGCTTGTGGACACGTCAATGTAAAAATGCCCAACAGTGTCAGACTCAAGAACTCCTAATGTAGATGTTTTCAGAGCAAATAAGTGCAAACTGTTATAAAAAAAAAAGGAGTAATTAACTGTATGGGAATCTTTGTGGCAGCAGCATGAATTTAATTCCCTGTCAGAAAAACATGATATTTTGTAAGTTCTTATGGATCAATAATAAAAAAAAACAAGAGAAAATCTTTGTATCAAAGCTTTTGAGGTTTTTCGTTCATGCGCCCTGAGGATAGTCCAATCAGTGTTGTCTACTGAAGACATACAATGTGCAGGGTGTATATCAGAACAGTAGTTATATGTGTTATCTAGGGAGTCAAGGTCCTCTGCTCATGGAAGTATGTCATTAATGCCTTGACAGCATTCAAATTTAAAGATGCCTTTTTGGTTTTCTCCTCGCTGTTATTTCCACGCTTATCTTGGAACACAAGCAAAAGGCAGAGACTCAAAATCCAAAAGAAGAAACAGACTGTGGCTCTACTGGGGTTATCTCTATCAAACAAGCCCACAGATGACCAGAACATCAACAGATTTGGAGGCTGTTAATAAATGCACCCCAGAGAAAATGGGCAAACGCTGCAGATGTTTTCCACTCTCTAAATCAGACGGATACTAAGCCTCTCCAGTAACAGCAAAAAAAAGGAGTTTATGGCCAAAAAATACATGTTGTTGATCACATCCATGCAGAGACTGTTCAATGTTGCTTTAGTTGTTTTCCAATGTGAAAACCTGAATGCAGGCAACCCTTATTTATGGAAGACGAGATGGAGAACTCTAATAAACCATAGTTTCTCATCTGTTTACTGAAGAAGTTAGTATACTCTTTATAACTCACCCTGTGGAGACACAACTGCAGCTTTGACCACTGTTGTACATGCACCTACATATTGATATCTTTATTTCAAACATGTAAAATAACACAAGCACTTGCATGCAACTAAAACCTAGATTGATCCCAATCCTCAAACATTTCCACCAGTATCATTCATCAAACATGGTTCCATCTTATGTTAGAGTGTTAGTGAGAGCTGAATGAATGTGCACTATCCTCATATCACCTGTATAGAATTAAAATTAATATGAGAGAGATAGGAGGTTAAAGCCACTATGAATTACGATTTTGTGGCCACATTTCTTTTCAAATGTCAGCAGAGGGACCCTAAAGATAAGAGGAGAGAAGGTTGAAAATTACAAAATAGCAAATTCCCCTTCACCTCTACAATCTAATGAAGTGCAGCCCTGAACTTTGCAAACTTAGAGAGGTTAGACACTGTTCAGCTAAAAAGAAAACACACATTAGCACCACAAGTCAATACCTGCAAAGGCCTTGGCCTCATCTGTGGGCACTGCCCTGAGGTGGCGCAGATCGCTTTTGTTGCCCACCAGCATGATGACGATGTTGCTGTCGGCGTGGTCCTGCAGCTCCTTCAGCCAGCGCTCAGCATTTTCATACGTCAGGTGCTTGGCGATGTCATAAACCAAGAGGGCTCCAACTGCTCCACGGTAATACCTGGAAAATAAAGGGAGGAGGATCAAGATTAAACATTTTCATTAGATTTCAAAATTCTTGTGTCACATAACCAACTTTGAAGATTAGAGTTGATCCCTGAACATTGGCAGAAGCTAAGGAGCAGGAGACATTGACATTATTTATTCAAATCAAAAAAACCTTCCTGAATATTTCCAGAGTTTTGACACAGAATATGGATTTATAAGTGATTTGTCCTCCTTATCTTTGAATTTAAGATGCCTTTCTATTTTCTATTGAGCATGCACAGAGAGGAACTTCACAAAGAGAGGAAGGAGAAGCTGAGATTAACAAACCACTTCCTGCCCCACAGCAAAAAGGTGCATTTTGTGGTTCTTATCACTTCCTCATGTCTCTACCAAGCTCCTTCAGCTATGATGATGGTGTAATTGATTAAATCTGAATTTGATTCATAGACAATTTGCTCTCGGTCAAAGTTTTGAATCCATACACTGCAACCTAACTAAGTAGAGTTGAAGGCAACTTCATTACACATACTGACTGTGAGAAGGAGTTTTGACAAAAAAGGACACACTGTCCGTGCTCGGGGAAACCAAATGAGCACCTCTAAGTTTCTGTATGGAATGAGACCATGCTTCTTTTTAGCAGTTTATGTTGACCTGAGAGTTACTGGGTTTGAAGTCAGAAGACACCACTGCTTTCATAAAGTGAGCATGTTTTTGAAGCACAAAGGGAGCCCGCGCCTCCACAAAGGCTTCAGCGATGTTCTGTACTCACGCAGAAGTGATAGCTCTGTATCGCTCCTGTCCTGCCGTGTCCCAGATCTGAGCCTTGACAGTCTTGCCTTCTACCTGGATGCTGCGTGTGGCGAACTCCACTCCGATGGTGCTCTTGCTCTCCAAGTTGAACTCATTCCGAGTGAAGCGAGACAGCAGGTTACTCTTTCCTACACCAGAATCTCCTATGAGCACCACTGCAAAAAGGGAAAAAAAGAAAACAGGTTTTTAAAAGTGGAAAAATCCTCACCACCATATTCATACAGTATACTGTGGAATCCACTCATAGACTTGTTCCATTTTAACTCTTGTGACTAATTTGTTTAAGGGAATTTAATCTTTTTTTTTAACAAGTATGGGGAGCTTCAAAAGCACATGATGGAAGCGGCACAGGACACCTCTTCGCCTCAGCTGAAAAGACAAATCCACGGTAAGTATATCAGTTTATTCAACCATGAAAGAGTGATATTAAACAAGATGAGCTGATTCTTAAAATCGAATTCGTTTCTCATTCTATTAGGTAGCCTGCCTTTCCAATGACGCGCAAGTTTGGCTTCTAGCCGAGGAAGAGTAGAAACTCAGGGGACTCCCACTGAGTTCACTAAATATTAGAACCACCTGCTCTTTTCAGGAAATACAAGCAGACTAAACACACTAATCAAGGTTAAACCGGTGATTAGTTGCAGATTTATATTGTCAAATGTACTGCAAATACAACAATCTTTGAATTTAGAAGTGTAACTGGTTATCTTTTACCCTTAAAAACCGAGACACAGATAACACAGCAAATATTCTTTAACAGCTATTATTTTAGATAAGACGCTCCGCTATAATAACAGTCTTTTAAGACAGCTACAAACGCTCAGCACTCAGTCATCTGTACATGAAAAAGACTGTTTATAGTGGGAAAGATTTTTGGTATAGAAAATATTGTGCTTGTAGCAGACTAATTATATTTGGTCAGGCTTAGTTTTTCATGTAGAGAGAAAAACTGAGAATTGCTGGGTGTCCAAATGCAACAGATCTTTTAATGTTTGAGGATTACCTATATTTTTCTTGAACTCTGCTGCTCCTATAAGGACATATCTTATATACAAGAGTATCAGTGACAAAGTAATAGATTTGGAGGGCATTATCAGACAAGAGACAGGAGAGTTTGTAGTGGAGATTGTTTTTAGCAACAACCAGGACATGACAGAGAACGTTTTGGCCAGGTTACACGTAATCAGCAAGCTGCACCTGAAGCTATAAATTCTTGTTTTAAACCTAGGGACATACTGCTTTTTGTTTGGAGAAAATGGTTCATTTTGGTTTGCATACTTAAATCCAGCTAAATTTCAAAATGAAGGAAGCAAATTGCAGTGCTTGCAACTACAAGTCCTTTAGTACTGGCAGTAGCATGATAAAGGCAGTTAGAATAAAGACTTTAAAGCTGTCCCCTCTCTAAAAATGAACTGGAAAAGCCATAATTCGGGTTGGTATTAGTCAGACATCTACTTCCACAATTGTCAGGTGAGTCACTCTGTCAAAAGGAACCCAACACACCAACTCACCGCCCCTCGATTGGGAAATAGGAACTTGTCAGGGAATGTGAAATTGCATTTACAACCGATCACTATGTCTACACTTGTATTTAAGCAATGCAGCTCATTCTTGTGAGAAATTGTGCTTTAATGTTTCTCTGTGTTACTATGGTGTAACTGATGTTTGTAGAGTATGTATTCATCACAATATGGAAAAAATGCAAGTATACATCTCCCTAAAGTATCGCTGCAAAAACAGTGACACTGCCATTTTTGTTTTGTCCCACACAAAAGATCTTGGGCGGAGGACAAAAAATCATTATGCAACTATTTTCAGGTTCTCCGCCATCAGACAGGTATTATCATAGCTTTATTACACACCCATTCACTCGCCCATTGTTGGGCTTGTATTCTCCTGCTATAAAGATATGACACCTCTCTATTCTATTATACAACGCTGCACCCGGTAATGCAGCCGAGCCTATGAGAAATGAAGAGTAAATAACACACTGTTGGTCCTAAATCCCTGTAAATGGGATCAGATCACCATTGCATGTCCAATTTCAGTATTTCCATTTAAAAGCCTTGTATAATACTAGCTGAAAAAGGCAACCTAAAACACATAACCTCTTTAAAAGCAGGATAATTACTTTCACATCACAGCTGATTTTTAGATCCCCAGCTTTCAAAGAAGTCTCTCAGCTTGAAGGTGAAAAATAGAGATGTCTTCAGAGAAAGTTTGAGATTGACAGGATTAGTATAAAAGTTTCTCTGACATATCAAGTAAAAATATTCGTTCACATCACGATAATGACAGTGATGGGTACAAAGAAAGAGGTATGGCATGAGCAGGAAAGCAGGTTGACTCCCTGCACTGCTGTCACCATTAGTAGGGAAAGGTTGATATGACTCACTAAAAGCTCACCCAACTTGACTCAGGCTATCCAGCAGCGAGGGACAAAAGGAGGCTGTAAGAACAAAGATGAACTGTAACAATAATGTTAGGTCTTTCCTGGTTTGAGAGGAAGACTGAACGTCAGCCACTGCCTTATCAGTGTCCTTGCATTGCTGCCAATGAATCAGATAAATGAAAAATCATTTTATCTGAGGAAGAGTGAGCAAATCTTGTCCTCTCTGTGCTCAGAAAGAAAGCTCCTCTGTGGCAACACACGCTCCATGCAGGTATTTCCAGTTAGACAACACATGCCTGTTTAGTGTTCTATATTTGAACAGACCAAAAGCACTTCATTTCCCCTGACAAGGTACAAGTATGAAAGCTGTTGGAACAAAATAGCCATAAGGGGAAAATCATTTTCAACCCTGTGTTGAAGTATATTGAATATTACATTATTTTGTCTGTATTATGTCAGACATATAGGTCTACATCAGCATTAAAACAGACAAGAAAAGGAATAAAAAAATAACGCTTTAAAATAGTTTTCAAAATGTATTAAAAAAAGCAAGAAAAACACCCTGTGTCTCTCATTGTAGGCTAAAATAATGTCACTGTGGTTAATTCTTTGGAGTATTCATAAATATAAACATTACATTTCAAGTACAGCATATTAATACTTCATTTATACTTCACAACTTGGAGGGTCACAACTTGCATCTTTTTAACGTCTTTGGCTAAAAGTAGTTTAATAAATGGAGCAACTGTGAGCTGTTTTAATGGTTCAAACTGTTAACAGGTGATTCCCAGTCAGCCATGAAGTCCTCAGGTAGAAAATCTCTCCCAAAATTCATCAAACTAGTAAGATAAGCTTATTTAAAGCTGTTTTGAGTTTTCATCCCACCACAGTTTATGACCATAAGATGATTGCATCATCGGCCTGCAGAGATGATGACTCCACCACAGATGCTACTTGAGCGATACAGAAAAGTCCTCACAGGCAACAGTGCAGTCACACACCTTTTCCTAACTTGTATCTCTACTTCTAACAAAGTTACAGCCCAGAGCAGGTGCCTGTCTCTGTCTCCAGGTATGAAAAATGTCGCCCCATACACCTTGTTGTTAGGCACGCGGGGGTCAACCCCTCGGCATCAGATGACACTCGCTCACAGGTGTAACCGGGGTTTGGTGTCGAAATTAGACAGCTAGCTTTAAGAGAAAAAGCGACTCACCTTTAAAAAGATAGTCATATTCGTCTTCTCGGCTCGTCATTGCTGTTTTTCTCCGATGACTCTACGTATTTGCTCGAAGACTGACAAACTTCTGATACTTGGAGACCGCCAGACAACCGTCAACGACTTCAACCGTCACACGAAACACCGTCACTTCGCACTTACACGACAACACAGCCGAATAACTGTCACCGTTCAGTAACGTTAAACCGCTGTTACCATGAAGCATGAAAAGTTCCTACAGCCGCTTCTGTCTCTAAAACAAAGTTTCGCCTCGTCTTCCTCAACCTCTGTCACTTGCCATTACCGAGGCTGCGACGTAACGTCACCGTCCTCGTCCCGCCCTCCGTTCACTCCTAATGGTCAATTGCTGATCGACACCTGTCACGAGCGTTGACGTGATTGGTCGGATGTGCTGCCGTTCATAGTTTAACCGCTGGCCGTTGATTTGTATGACGTATGCGGCACCAAGCCTCAACAGGTAGTATAAAACAACAGCAGAGCCCAGCTGGAAAACAGAAGTATTAGAAATATGCGATTGATATATAAATAACTGCAGCCCAACTGCTTCAATATGAAAATATGAAAGACTATTTATCTCTTCAGGAAGATACAGACAGGAGACAACTCTGATAACCCGAATTTTTGGGGGAAATTAAAATTAATACAGATATAATTTTTTAAAGTCTTGCTTCGGTGTTGCTTTCTGTAGTCTTTTGCAGAACTACTTTTCCATTATCGCTAAGATTAGTAACACCATCACTATCGCCGGGTGATTTTTACCCGAATAATTTACCCAAGAAAAAGTACTTGTCATCAAAATATATCAAAATAGTACAAAACATGACACATTTAAGTAGTTTTCTTTTATTTTTAATCGTGCAATGTCCTAAGGGAGGGGGGGAAAGTGCTATGAGGGGACCATATAAAAATTCAACAAAATAACTGAAATTAGCCATTCATGAACAAAAAAATCATATACATACATACACTACAGGCCAAAAGTTTGGAAGCAAAATCAGATTTGTACAAAAAAAGATCATAGTTTCATATATATATATATAATTTGCAACACAATAAACATGACTATTGTGTAAAGAGTAACTTATCAGAAGACATTTTGACTATAATTATTAGGTATTTGAGTTATTGTTCCTTAGACTTTGCTTTCTTTAAAGTAACCTCCTCTGGCTTTAACAACAGCTTGGCATATACCAGGCATTCATTTCACAAGTTTTCTAAGGTATGTTTCAGGGATTGCATTCCAAGCTTTATTAAGTTCATTAAAAAGAGACTGCTGATTCGTGGCCTTTCTGACCGATCGATCCAGTTCATCCCGCACAAGCTCTATTGGAGAAAGGTCTGGAGACTGACAGGGCCAAACCATCTTTTGAAGAACACCTTCCTCTTCTTTTTTGTCTAGGTCACCCCGACAGAGCTTGACAGAATGCTTAGGGTCATTGTCTTGCTGCAAAACAAACTTGTGACCCACAAGTCTGAGTCTAGATGGAACAGCATGGTGCTGGAGGATGGAGTGGTATATATATATATATGTATATATATATATATATATATATATATATATATATATATATATTTATATATGTTGCTTTCTGTAATCCTTGGCAAACCTTTTTTTTTTTTTTTAAACTTGCTGATGCTTAAACTGTAAATTATTTTATGCTGTAGTTTGTGTGATCAGTAATCGCTGTGTTGATTTTTGTCAAACCAAGTATGAGAATTTGAAAAAACGACACCCAGAGTAGCATTCCTTTGAACTACAATAACTTGCAACAGGTTACATAAATACATTTTCAGTCAAATATAGGCCTCAAGTATTTGCAAACCATCAAATTCTGTTTTATCTGCATCTTCCTCTATGGTCCAGCTCTTATGGAATTTGACGATTTAAACTGATTTCAGAAAACATGTAAAACTGGATAAAGGTGTGCTTACAGAACATATTTTTATCATTTGTAAATAAGCTGAATTGGACCAGCATTTATGTGATTAAACCCAAATGTGACTCTCTTAAGTCCTGCTTTTTGTTGTACAACACAAGTAACACACCGGAGGACAACTGTCTTTATAAACTGTTTATTTCTTATTTGAAATTTGTCTCCTTTTTACATTTTCAGCTCAAACACAGCAAGAGTTGTACACAATATACACCCTAATCTGACTGAAAAGGACACATAAAACAGTCCTGTCTTACTTACATTTGAAACTCCCGCTCTCAGCATGCATTATAAATATTCATCACACAAGTTACACAGTGAAGTGTTTATTTTTGACCTATGTATATTCAACAGCAAGCAGATGGACATTTGCCTTCAGATCTTTTGGTTCAAATATATTAATCTTTCTTTGAATACATCACCAGCATGCAGTTTGTACAACCCACAAATCAGTCTCTTCAAAGGGGCATCACTTAAGACATCTCAATATCGTACCCCATACTGTGTTGCTGTACACTCTTCCAGCTCCAGTAAAGCATTGTTGGTGAAGGAGGAGTTTAGCTGGGACTCCCCTGGTCTCCTGAAGGTCTTTGAAGTCAGATGTTCCTGCAGCAGGGCTTCCTCTCCTCTGTGTTGTCCGCTCCAGAGTTGTTGAAAGACACAGCACCGATAGAGCCCTGATTCATTGGTTTATTGCCGCACTTCTTGCGAATCTCTGCAGCAGAAAGTGATCATGAATTAGTATAGTTGATTGATAGTTGATAAGAGCACTTAGAACCAAATAAATGTGCAAAAGAAACCTAACAGAAAGTTTCCTCGATCATCAGGCTGCTGTGGGAATACACGAGGTCATTATTTGACCTTTGCGAGACTTTCTCCAAACTTGCCCAAGCTGCAGAGATGAAGTCTGGTTACGTGTGGTTAAATTTGAGGTCAAAGGGTGGAGCTGGAGTTGGAGCTTCAGCACATTTATGGGTTCATACTATTTGTTTTTCTTCAAAGAGAAGACAGGGAGGGAAAGTTAAGGGGAACCAGCATGTGTGCAGCAGCCAAACCTGTCTCAGATTAGGTTGTGAATCATGATAACCTTGTACTGGAAGAAAAATTTTTATTATCTTTGTCAGACTGCAGATTTGAAATTGAAGAAGAGATTTAATAAAGCAGAAAAAAGTGGAATATGTCTTATTAAATTACCTGTTAGAACATTGTTGAATGCTGCCTCCACATTTGTTGACTCCAAAGCCGAGGTCTCCAGAAATAACAGACCATTCTTTTCTAAATCAAACAAATAGTACCATTTAGTTTCTATTTACAATAATAAAAAAAATTCCCAAATATGAAACTTCAAATTCTTAAAATTTGAAGGGAGAAGTTGATTTCTGGACCTTGTAATACTACTTGGTCATAACTTTTCTGTTGTACCTGCAAAGTCTCGAGCCTCCTCGGTGGGCACGGACCTCTCTGACTCCAGGTCGGTCTTGTTTCCCACCAGCATCACTACAATTTTGGGGTCGGCGTGCTCATAGAGCTCCTTCAACCAGCGCTCTGCACTCTCATAGGTCAGGTGTTTGGTGATGTCATACACCAGGAGGGCTCCAACTGCACCTCTGTAGTACCTGTTTGGAGAAAAAATACTGTAATTACACTTCTGGTGACTTTTGAATGCATTCGTTTTCTGTAGTTTTTGGTTTGAAGTGCTGTTTAATTAAATGAATTTGAGGTCTTGTGATAAAATTCAAACTCAAAAGCTTCAAACTGTATAATCTAAAATGGTCCTTCAGGTCACTTTGGGGCAGGGGTGTGTCCAGAGGAATGGCGAGCAGTTGCAAAGGCCCCCTCAAAGCCTGATTGGCCACCCTCCCCCCAGGTGCTGTTGTGTTTACACCTGATTGGAATAAAATTAATCACTTGCTCAATTCCCATGTAGCTGAACACCTGGATAGTTTGTGTTTACTTGTTTAATTTGCACAATTAATTTGCTCCATTCATTAATCTCAAAGGTTGAAGTTGCCACATTGGGGAAGCTGACTCCAACTTACACTCAGTTGGGGTCAGCCACTTAATTGGGGAACTACCGATCTTCCTGCACTTCTGCATTAGCTTCATTTCTCAACCTCAGAAGTCGCTGCTTCATTTTCAATCATGATTCAACCTGTCGTTCAAAGGGATGTTTTTTTTAAAGAGGGGTTGTGTAAGGTACTATGAATACTAAGTGTATTAGCCACAAGGGATCCCAGTCAGCTCAGCCCCTTTGTTGATTAGCTGCAAGAGAACTGCAGGTGCAGATGGGGTCAACTCTACTACATCATTTGGTATAACTCCAACAAAAGCAGTCTAGAGGTGTGAGGGAACACTCTGTTCGTTTGGACAAATATCAGTGCTATACTTTGCCATCATAAACCTCATTTGACATAAACGTGTTTTTCTGCAGGCAGCACCTCCTGCATAACAGTGCGTATGTGTTTCACACCAGATTAGTGCAAATGCTCAAATTTGATCAATCACGCGTCTTGATTGCTGAACGCTGGACTGAGGCACCCACATTAATTCAGCCTGTGCCTATGTTAAAAAAAACTTCAAAGATTTTCACCCAGAAAATTTCCAGCTAGCCTCCTCGTATCGTTTCGAAGTAAAGTACAGGTGGGCTCCAGTGAGTCCGCACAGCAAATCTTACAGATGATGGAATTTCAATGGAAAAATTCTCACTGGGATGTCAAGCAACAAAGCAGTGACAGGAAAACAAGACAGTACGGCTGTGTGCTTTAAAACCCAACACACAACGGATATAAAGATACCATACAGTGATCCAGAGCTGAGGGGAACTACATGAATAAGAATGACCCTGTTCACTGTGTACTTGATCTGGTCATTTAAAATCATCGACTGTAGCTGGTTTTACTATTGTCCTATCTTCATTGAGAATAACTTTTTCCCCCCTGCTCTCAATTAAGGAAAAACTGTAATGAATGACAATTGGTCTGAAGTGGAAAACCAATCAATACTTCCTCCACAATTACATTTCTGCTCCATACTTCCACGAACATAATTAATTCCACTTTAATAGGTTTTAGCCGCTTGTTACGGCACAAATGGGAAATTCCATGGGAGTGAGAATTTGCATAGTGGAATAAGTCGGCAAGTAATTACCCAAAAAGCCAAGCTGTCAGAAAGGAGCTAATCCAGCAGTGTAGCATATCCTCAGATTTTCCCATGTCTTAAAAATAAAACTGACATGGCTCTATTGTTTTAAAACCAGTTTCCACAGTTAATCCCACTAGTTTAATTAAAAAAAAGAAGAAGAGTGAATGAGGAGCAGCCTCGGATAGGACGGAGACCCAATGAGCTCTGAGCGTTCAAACAGTCTGTGCCCTAACCAAGTGTTTTTTCTGAACCCGAGTGTGCCAGCTGTAAGCCGAGCTGAGAATGTGCTGGTTGTTTTTCAGGTAATGTGGGAGGGAACCCAGGATCAGTGCCTGTCCCTGCGTGTGTTTTGGCTGATAACAGCACCACCTTAAGATGCGGACTTACAGGTTGCTCAGGAACTATGGAGCAAGAAAACAAGCATGAAATGTTGATTTAAAAATCTGTATTTACCTTCTGTGTGCCATGCTAAAAACATCTGCTTGTTAGGAGGACATGTAATCACCAAAGCAGTGCATCTGCTGGTACAACACATTACCAAGACATGGGAAGAAAAGCAGACATTGTCACTGAAAGTTACATTTGGCAGACTCTCTATAAACACACTCTTATGAATCACAAATGAAGGATGAGCCATCGTCTCTGCTAAGTGAGACTTTGGGGCTCAGCTACACAGTGTTTATCTACGGCCAAGTTGAACACAGAGTTGTTGCCAAGGAAAAAAAAACAGTTTTGTTGAAATAAATCTTACTCAGAATCATGCAGCATCCATTATAATTTTGGAAATATGCAGATGAGACACATTCACTCCCATGTGTACGTTAAATATGAAGTTATATTTGCTTAGACTCATACATAGAACAGGAGCATGGAGGTTAAAATTTGGCCTCACTTTTTTAAGGAGGTTAAAAATTATGCTATCATAATTTTTCAAACCTAAACCCAAAACATGAAATTACTAAAATATATGAATTGACTTCTCTGCCAGAGTGATTTAGTTGTACATAAAACGGACACTATCAGTTTCTTTAAGCCATAAGATTTAGAGCTCCCCCTACTGACTGGCTGCAGTAAAACTAATAAACTCTGCCCTCTTGGGTCAAACTATAAAAATCAAAATACAGGTCAAATGAATTAATCTTAAACATATTTTGCAATGTTTTGATGATCTTACTAAACTGGTTCATGTCAAGTGTTCATTTTTTCCGATAAGTTTTGCTTTAATTGATTATTTGTCGTTAAAAAAAAAAAGGATGTGATGTCATGCTTGACAGTTCTGTTGACAAACAAAAGCTCCTGTAGTCATCTGTCCCAGATTAGCACAAGAGTCATCTATTATGGTGGTAATGAAACTATAAAATGATAATCTTAACTAGTGATCCCCAAACAAAGGGGCGGTATTACTAGGCTCCTGTGTCGATTTTTGGCACCCCCTTTTGGCAAATCACTCTTTACATATCTTGTCCCCTGTATGCTTAGGTAGCATCTTGTGACAAAATATCTAACTATGCTATTAGTGAATATTAATGTACAACATATAAATCAGGGCTGTTTCATCAGCTGCCTAACTGACACCTACCCCTCCACGATGATTTCTGGCATCAAAAATTACAATATAAAAGCAACTGGTGTTGTTGATGGTGAGCTTTTTTGGTTTTGTATGTCATAAAAAAGCATCAATATGAATTTTAGTTTATTTCATGAATGTCAAAAATCTCCTCAGAGGAGCTTTAAAGGACTGCAAGATTAACAATAAGGCTGACAATGTGTTGGGCTGCTCATGCATCAGACTTTTTAATTACTACAAAACTGGCTTTTTGTTTCTTCCAGTTCGAGTTTTGGAGGTTATAATTCTGTATTTTTATGCATGGTCTGATTGTGTGTTTTGTATCTAGTGAGGGGAGCTCAATATTTTCATCCAGCAAAGGGAGGCCATGCAAAAAAAAAAAGAAAAAGTTTGTGAATCACTGAACTAAGCTGACTTACTTTTGGCTTCAGCTTCATGTTTGGTGTACAAGTTTGATCAATTTGGCTGAAAGAACCAGGATTATACCCACTCCTTCAAAGTCATACAGGTGAGACACATAATTACGCTAATAAATGTATTTCAGGTGTGTTGATTGATGATACTCACGCAGAAGTGATGGCTCTGTATCTCTCCAGTCCTGCCGTGTCCCAGATCTGGGCCTTGATGGCGAAGCCTCCGAGGTGCACAGTCCGGGAGCTGAACTCCACCCCGATGGTTGTGCGGCTGTCATGGTTAAACTCGTTTTTGGTAAAGCGGGCCAGCAGATTGCTTTTTCCCACACCTGATTCTCCTATTAGAACCACTGCAGAGAAAACAAAAATCAGAGGTATTTACATCATATTTTGTGCTTCCTTATTACTGAACTAAATCCCTGGATGAAGGAGACAACAGTCACGTTCCTGTGAGCAAATATTTGCCAACCCTGTGACACACACTCCATCCTTTACGGCCCCTTTTTATAGAAGCCTTTAGTCAAGGTGTGTCTTTTTTAGTTGCTCCCTAAGTCCTCCGTCTTACTTGTCTAGGAGTGGGGGGTAATTACACCATCGGGGATATAGTGTTCGAATTTAAAAGCACCACGCCTTCATGGTAAATAGGTGAATCATTTGGAGGAAAAAAGGTGTCGAGTAAAAGAAGGAAATTATTCCTAATTTCAATGCAGGGATTGAATGAAGCCAAACAAAAGTAGGATTAGGCACAGGTGTAGTATTCGAAGTAGATGACTCACATGGACATTTTGATGGTTTTGAGTTACTTTCTCCAACAATTTTCTCTAATTTCTCCCAAAAGGAGCAACTTCACTGCTTTCTTCTATCTTTTTTATTTTCAGTCATGTTCAATTCATGATCATAAATGTTTAAGGAACTCACTTTAATGAAACTGCACTGCAAGTTCGCCACTCTGTTCCTTTTTGTGGGGGATAGAGACACATTTTTCCTCTTCAAAGAGAAAAAAAAACCCTTACAAGAGAACCTTTGTTTCAGGAAATACAGCTACAGCAAGAGAGGTGATGCAGATCAGGTGGAACAAGTAATGCTGCAACTTCCTTTAATCTTGGTCAGAGGAACCAGCCCGCAGGGTAAACAGGAGAGCAATCCTGCAGACACCCCCTCTGTACATGTCACTGACTAATGTTTGGGTTTCAGTTGTAAGTAGCTGACTCAGAGAGCAGAAAGGCTTGGCTTAATTGGCACAGATAGGAAAGTCTGAGCACATTTTGGAAACACAGTAAGACTGGGATAACTGCAGAGCAAGGATAGACACAGTCAGATTCTTGCTGAGGCGTGTGAGCTTGTGAGCGCTGAGATAATTACTCCAACTCTTGTGACATCTTCACAGCAATTAAACATGGATTTAGGGCGTGATGGGAGCTAATAGCTTGTTGGACAATTTGGGAAATACACTTATTTGCTTTCTTGCAGAGAAAATTAGACAATAAGTTTGGGATAACTCTCCTCGCTGGGTTTAAATATGAGAGCCGTTAGCAAGCTGTTAGCTCTGATAAGCACGGAGTCAGTAACCTCTGGTGTTTAAAAATGAAACTGATGCAGGAGTGTAAAAAGTACCGTAGTTTTCTGAGGAAGCCAAGGAAATATCATTTACACCTCTGATGAAAGGCCTATTTTTACAGTGGTATTTAGTCACACTTACATCCTGGTTCAAAACAGGTCGAAAGCTAATAGCCCACCTTAGTTAACACCTTTAGACTCTTAGGTCTATATACAATCTACGGTTACACCTCTTTGCCTCTTGCAAAAGCTTGATTGTTACACCTCCTTTTCCCTTGTATATGAGTATGAAGGTTAGTCATGTGGGAGTTTGTTTATTCTTAAGAGAATGTCCATGAAATCACAGTCATTTTTCAGGTTGCTAATTAGCTAACAAGCCTTTTCCTTTGTTTCAGTTAGCCTTTTGGGTTGTTAGGACAGTTTGATACATTAAGAAGAACCTGTTTATCCTGAATCAAACGAATGTTTGTCTGCTTTGATAATTGGTTATATGTTTAGTTTAAGCTTTTATGTACAGGTGCCGGGTGTAACACGTCTTAGTTTCCACTGACCTGGATTTACATGGCAGTGTACTAAATGCTGAACAATGACAGTTGGGTTTAAATCAAGCACTTAAATCAGCTGCTTCAACTATGTGCAGTCTCAGTAGATGACTGTCTATCATGAGTCTGGTTCTGCTCGAGGTTTCTGCCTGTTAAAGGAAGTTTCTCCTCTCCACTGTGAAACGCTGCAGTGTTTCAATCATGTGATTGAAGATGGGATGGGAGTGAGTCTGATCTTACAAGGTGGGATGTGTCTTGAGATAACATTTGTCGTGATTGATTGATTACCGCTCCTCACTCTCTGTCTCTTTTCTGATTATAATAATAGCAAAGAGTATCGGTAATAAGATGATTACAAAGAAGCTACTTACTAACTCAGGAGATTCTTATTTTTTGTTATTTCTCTTCAGTCTTTTGTTCATATTTTAACACCCACGGTCATCTGGCACCATGGATCAACTGTTGATTATTAGGTCCAGATTTTGTTTGCAAAACTATATATAATAAAACTCCTTACATCACTTATTTTTAAAGTTAGCTGCACCTTTAAAATCTGCAAATATTGCATAGCATGCTCCAGCCCTGTGTAGATTTGGTTATATACTATTTCAGCATTTTTATTTGTCACAGATGGCCAATTTTGAAGCTGCATTTTCTGTGTGTAACATTATATTGATGGTATTTGAACCTGCAAATGTACAACTATCCATCTCTGATCCTTATATGTCAGTCATTATATGTTCTGTTGATATAGTTTTTCCCTGGTTTTGTTATTTGAGTGCATTTTCTTTGTGTTTTCCCCTGTGTTTCTGTCCCCTATTGTTTCTGTTCCCTATTGTTCCTATAGTCCAGTCTTGTGAGTTTTCAGTTTGTGTTTGACCCTGTTTCCCTCCTGTTCTCTTTGTTTTATTCTTTATATCAGTTGTTCATGTTTCCTGTTTGATTTTGTAGTTTCACCTTGTGTTTCTAGTCTTGTTTTACTTCCCTAATTTTCCCTCCTTCGTTAATCACCCATGAGTTTCACCTGTGTCTCATTAGCCTCACCTGTTGCTCGTTTCCCAGTGTGTATATAGTCCCTGTCTTCCCCTTTGTCTTGTTGGTTCATTGTGTGTATGTTTGTCAGTGTGCATATGCCTGTGTCCCCAGTTGTTCTCTGTGATTTTGCCCCAATGACTTTTGTGGCTTTTTCTCTTTTGTTGCTTTTTTCATTTAGTTCTTTTAATTAAATCATTTTTAGTTCTGCATTTGGGTCTTTTTCTTTGTTTAACCCTGCATGTCGTGACAGAGTTGGAACATTTTTCAGGTCTCCAAGTGAGTCTTTATTATTTATTTTTTACTTTTTCTCACATTTAGAAAGAACTTGGAACCTCCTTCTGACCCAAATTAGATTAAAGTTCCAAATAGACATGATTTTTCACAGAACATCTCTACCTCATTGTCTACAGGGTGAACTTTCCCTCCTGTGAGAAAGCAGATCACATTGTGAGGTTGTATTCAAAGACAAGAACGGCTTTATTTGGAGTCCACAAATCTGTTCCTCTCCAGTTAGAACCACAAAAATATTGCTGGCACTTTTTCCCTCAGCATTTTTAAAGATACTGCCTGAAAGCACCAGTGTCTCATCACCTCGGTTCCCCACTCTTAAAATGTTTAACCCAGAGTCTAAGGTCCTGAGGAGGAATGTCTGACAAGTTTTGCTTGAATTGTTCACCCGGCAGCCGCCTCACTGTAATGCCTTTTTCCAGTGTGGGCGAGGTGAGAATGCCTGTTTTCCTAGTTTTGCCCTCCTCTCCTCCACAACTGAGTAACTTCTTAAGCAAACAATACCTCTGGTTTCTATGGCGATACAGGACAAGAGGCCCCCGAAGCTCTCCAGCCGAGTTTGTTAATTCTGAGGATGCCGGGACACACTCGAGGTGTTGCAGGGAGGATTAAAGTCTCATTTTGTTTGTTTTATTGACATTCAGGACTAGAAATGTGACTGCTGTGCTGCACACACTGCTTTCGCGCTACAGCCTGAAATCCTGGATTTGTGTTCAAGGTACTTTTTAACAATACAATGTTGTTTGGATGTAATGCACACACACCTGCAGCCCATGTACTCCACACTGTCGCCCTGTAGGCTGTATGGAGGACTAAGAATGTGCAGGATTTACATTCCACTCAAGTGTACAGTATTTGATTTTACCGATAAGTTTCTCTGAGCTATCTGTAAATCACTGTGAGGAATGGAAACCGGCTCCCACTCTCAGATAAAGAGCATCTCGATGTTATGAGCACTGCAGCAGCGAGTACGATTATTCACAGATAAACAGTTTGTGAACATATTCACAATTCACCTGCTCCAGAAGGGAGTCCTCCTGTTCCACTGCTCATCGGTAACACTTTAATTTTAGTTCTAGACTTAAGTTCGATGAGAAGATAGACGCTACTATCAACTCTGCCAAATGTTCATAAGTCTGGAGCCAACAGGCAGTTTATAGCGTTAAGATTTAAAGGTACTATGAGGAGTTTTCAACTGGATGAGAAGCAGTCTAACACATGATATTAATGCCTCTTTATGACCTTCAAAAGCAAACAAAACTATCAGCAGTAAGTCTCATTATTACTTGGCTATAATTCTTAATGCCTGAAATCACTATGAGGAGGCGGGGTCACAGCAGATGATTGACAGCCAGCCAAGAAAAAGCTTGTTTTGATTTTTTTCAAAGGCAAATGCTCACAGTGAGTGATCATTTTCCCTACAAAAGGACAACAGAATAAAGTTTTAATTTAAAAAAGTCACATGTACAGGACGAGAGGTCTCGCCTTAAGCATGAATGTAGACACCACCACGCCTCTGTCTTTGAAGCCAAAGTATCGCTTTAGTGGGTGCAGAAATATTGTGCCAGTGGAGCAACAAGACAAGCGACACTCCACTTTAATGAAAACACACTTCAAACTTGTCACTAAAAAACACCCAGATCTGTCACGCCCACAGGAAAAACATTCTCCGTCACGACTGAGGAGGCTGACCAAGATCTTTACTTCATCCAGTCACCAGGGGGAGCTTTAAATTTTTTGGCTTCACTTTGGATTGCTATTGTGCCACTCATGTTTCATATATAGCCCATGACTTACAAACTGAATAGTGCATGACTCCTAATAAAACCACAATATGCAGCTTCTAAACTCAAGTCTATACAAAGATGAAATATTTCAAAGATAAAGGTTAGTCTCTGAGCTTTAGAGAAGCTTATGGGTGAATTTCACAACCATCAGACTTCGGCCTATCTAGACTTTTATCCCTGTTTTTTTCATCTCCACAAAAGTAAGCCAGACCATCAGTATCAAAACTGAAAATTACTGTCTAGTAAATTTTAATGGTTGTAACTGCTGCAAGGAGGTAGGTCTCAGACCAGATGATTGACAGCACACCGACGCCTTTGTGAAAACTTGACTTTAAAAAAGCTCTTACTGCTAAAAGAAAGCAGGATATGATTATTATTTTATTTGAATCAGGGAACAAAACTTACACAATAACAAAAACAAATCAGCCAATAGGTAAGAAGAACCTTTTCTTTCCACAGGGGATGCCGAATCAACTAAAAAACAGTAATTCACCGTAGATCATTTCATGATGACAATGCAGATGTACTCGAGGAAATGTCATTATTAGTTGAGTTCTCGCCATATGAATAAGGTTTAATTTATTGTATACACCATATTTTTTAAAGGACCTCATAGCGTATGGTATTTTATGAAGCTGAGACAGTTTGTCTTGTTAACCAAAGACCTTCAGTGCTTTATTAAAAATCAATACATCATTGGTGTGTCATATCCCTGTAAATAAACCAAGTGACAGCCTTGGTTCTTGAGGAAAGCAGCTGATGTAAATGCGCCAAAAACTGCATTTCTCCAAGTTTCCACCAGAGGCTGGCTGCAAAAGCACCAGAGGCCACATACACACCCATTCTAAAAGCCTGTCTTTACAGCAAAACACTGTACAGGGGTGGAGTTTTGAAGATATTAAGGTTTTGAGCTTTGCATGATTAGGGGTATGACTGACTTGACCAACAAGCCAGCACAATGTCACTTATTGTGAGGCGACCAAAAGCCTGCCTCAACCCCACCTTCTTTAGTCAGTAATCCCAACACTAGGACTGCCATCCCAACCCTGCTTCAGAACCTGTCTTCAGATCACTAATGGGTGAAATCAGCACCTGTAAGGTACTTTTAGTTTGTGTTGAATTTGACGCCTCCTGTCGACCAGAACGAGCCTCTTATATCTCCTCTAATTTTGTCCTGTTGGTGCAGAAGTCGTAAACAATATAAATCTCATTCTGCTGTCTGTTAACAGCATAGAGTGTATATGTTGGCAACGTCACTCATTTGTTTGTGATGCAAAGTTAAAAGCCCATGGGCAACAGCAGTTTCCATATTGGTTATACTGATTCAATCTAACTTTCAGTCAGCCAACCAGAGGCGGGCCTCTACAGTGTGCCCATCTGTCAGTCAAGTCAGCTGTGCCTCTGATTTGCCAATCTTGTGACCCTAAAGAAGAACTTGGAGAGTGTGGGACACTGGGATAGTTGTGCAAGGTCTTCATTGGTGCACTCTGGCAAACACAGTCAGACCTATTTTCAGAGACCTCGTCCACACAGTCAAAATGGGCAAACTGTCACTCATGTTCTTAATAAAAAAAAAGGGCACCCCAAGCCCTCCTCTGGTCCTGGTGCTTTCTGACTCTCCTGGTGTCACTCACTCATGTGTCCTCCGTTGACTTCCTGCCACGAGTTGGATGCTGCACAACTGTCCGGTCAAACTACGTTACAGCTCCGCTCTTTCTCAGGACTGGACCAGTTTTAGAGATTATTCTACCCTACAGTCAAGCCCTAGAACACATGGGAAAATATGACCCAGGCTTAAAAAAATACTGAAGCTCCCTCTAAATAATTTCAAAACAGACGTAGGAGCCCTAAACTGTTTTTAGACCAGGCAGTAAGTGTGTTTATTTTTGCTCTAGAAACATGCTTTGTTGGCTCAGTGTGTACGTGGTTTCTAGTGCTTCTACAGAGAGACTCTAGTGGACACTCAATTGTCAATTGTACAACTTTTCTGTTGAAAATGTTAATCAGGCTCCTAGTTCCTGCTTATTTTGATTAACATAAAAATGATCAGCTGTCCTGAAGATGGTCCGGTTTGCTTTTGTTTATCATGTAAAAACATCAGTATTAGTCTTTGTTTGTTTCAGCTGATAAAGGAGCTTTTACTCCTTTTGTACGACTGTTTACTCCAACTCATATGTCAGATGCAGAACAAATAGATAACACAATCACAGAGCAGCTTTGTGTTGATGCAATGAGGACACTTTGACAGTCCGGGTTTGCTGTACTGTATCAATGAACCATTTTGCCATCCTTCATTGTATCATTCCACACGAAACTCTAGACATAACAGGAATCAAAGACCACATCCTGGTTTTCAACAAAAGACCGTATTATGCATGTTTGCAGCTAACTTACTGAAGGATAATGTGCTGAACTGGCAATGTGATTATAGTCACACTCAGCCTCATCTAACATGTTCTGCAGCTTGCAAAACACCTGCAAACATTATTTACCTGAGCAGCTGAGAGAGCTGCCAACACACAAACACATTAGTGGTTATTTTAGTTTATCCAATCATCATGCACTGTGTATTGCCCCAACCTGTTCATTCATAACACTGTGTTATACTGTGATGACACAGATATTCCTGTTAATGGTAAATGCCAAGTTAATAATAAACAAGGAAGTTGAATTTGAAGGGCGAAGGATGAGAACAAATGAGCGCATTTCAAAGACTTCACGAGGGATCAGGAGTGAAGCAGGTGGATCTGAACTCACCTTTAAAGACTAAGTTGTAGGCCTCATCTGACCCCATACTTTGTCCATTCAATGTTGCTGCCCCACAGGTTAGCGCCGCGCCTCCAGGACTCACAGATTACCTGCAGGATGTAAGGTGACACTGGCTGACGACACGACCCACCTGCACCTCAGACCCTCAGGAAAGAAGACAGCTGCAGGAGTGTTTTTAACGCATGAATAAAAGCCAGCAGCTCCCTGTCCTTCACTACCCTATCCCTATCTGAGAGCTGGCTTGTTTGAACAAGACATGCTGAGTGTATCCAGGTTGTTGTGCAGCAGCAGGCGGGGTCTGTGTCAGGGAGTGGTGCTGCGGCCGTGGAGGTGTGTCTTTGTATTGGAGCGAGAGTAGGGCAGGTTGGACAGGTGGGGCAACTTGCAGGTACAGCTGAGAGGGTCTGTCAGGCGCCTTCTGCTGGATTATCGAATGACTGCATGCAAGGAGCAGGAAGTGAGTGTTTCTACCACGTTACACAAAAGAAATCATCCTAAAAAGATTAGACGTCATTTTCCTTTAAGGCTTCAACAGTTTGTCGATTTTTATTGATGTTTTTTAAAGGTTGAAAAGCTCTTATGTTCCCATTGTGCAAAAATCACTGTATGTCAGCTCCCATTAAGGACATTTTAAAGTCGGTCTGCTGCTTCACACTGTACATTTTACTGTTATGACTCCATAATTTGAATTTATATGCCAGTTTCTTTTACAAAGAGCAGACTTCTGCTCTTCTGGTCTTCTACTCTAAGACGTCATCCAGATGTCTTTCACTATTTTTCACTCTGTCTCTAAACATGCCACTTGAATTATGAAACTAGTTTCAATCAATCTGATGTAAAACTTTAAATGATTTTCGTTTAAGGATAAAGAAATCTTATGCGAGCCATGGGCTGTCGTTAAATTGTACCTACAACTAATTTTTTTCCAAACAATTCAAATCAATTTTAATATCAGGTTTCAATGCGAGAGAGTAAACAGAATCAAAATATGATAAGATTAAAAAATGCATCCTGTGATTATCCGAAAGTCGTCATGTTGTTACCTCTTAGGAAGCAGTTATGAAACAGAGAAATTAGAACTTGTTTTGAAAGAAAGACCGTTTTAAAATCAATATTTTTGCATCAATACAACCTGAGTATGATAGTAATAGGAAACATTTTATTAAGAAGAGCAAAATGACAAAATGATTTCCGGGCTCTGAACCTGAAAAATCAATCAACAACAATGCAAAACTTTTAAAAAGGTGAAAATTAGCTCACACAATCTGTACATGCTGTCTGCAGACGTTACACTCTGTGAAACCATATTTGTTTTTTGTTGCTGGACACTTACTGGATTATATCTTAAAGTCCTTATTAACTTGACCTACTTTTGAGCCTCTCTTTCCCAGACTATCACTATCTCTCCATTATTCATCCCTCTGAAATTGTAGTTGTGAACCTCCACTGACATCGACCAGAAGGGAAACACCGGCTTCACTCGCCTCATCCATTAAACCAGCGCTGGAAAAACCTTATTTAGAGAGAATTATAGACCAGTTTCAAAACTTCAGTTCTTGACCAAAATCCCAGATGTGTCCCAGCAACTTAAATCTTGTTAAATAGAGAATAATGTATTTGGAATAGTCTAACCTAGCTTTGCCCCCTCTACAGCACTGAGACAGCTCTCGTACAAGTTTGCAACAACCTTCTATTGGCTGATGACGCTGGTTACTGTTCCTGGACCTCAGTGCTGTGCTTGGCAAACATGAATCATGGGGTTCCCCAAGGTGCTGTTCTAGGTCCGACATTATTTTCAGTTTACATGTTACTTTTGGGAAACATAATCCTCAATTATCCAAATTTATATACCTGTGCCGATGACACACAGCTTTACCTCCCCATCGGAGCTGATGACCCATCAAACATCACAGTTCTTCACAAGAGTCTTGCAGAAGATGAAATCATGGATGACAGACAACTTTCTACAACTCAACAACAATAAATCTGAAATAGTTTAGTTTGGTCCAAACGCAAAAAAATCCTGAATAATCCAGACAAACTGTGTGAAACCTTAGAATGATCCATTTTGAGCTGCAGGTGAAGAAAGTAGTCCAGTCCTAAAATATCGCTATCATGTCACCTAGAAAACTCATCCATACTTTCATTTCCAGGCTTTTATTTTCACTACACGTGTCCTAATCAATAATCAATTTGACAATCCTAGACAGTTCAAAATCCAGCAGTTCTGATTTAACCAAAACCAAAACGTGTGCTCAGATCACCTCATTTTTAGCACAGGCTGCTGAAAGTTTTAGCTTCACATTTTAAACACAGCATGGACTCGCACCTCCTTTTAGTTCAGATCTTTTACCTCCCAATGAACCAGGATGCAGTCTGAGATCCTCTGGTAGTGCTCTGCTGGCTGCTTCAAGGTCCAGACTGTTCCAATCTTAATGTCTTATCTTTGACTTTATTCCTCGGTTGCTTATCTTTCCCCATTTTTAATTCCTATTTATTCATTTTGTAAAGCACATATTGAATTTCCCTTCGAGGATCATTAAAGTTCTTCTTATCCTTGCTACCTGTATTGAAAAGTGCTACACAAATAAAAGTTATAATTATTGTTATGAATAATGACAGCATTTATTTTTATGTTTAAACCTGAATATACACGCTTGTTTAGCTGTATTTTAAAGAAAAACGAATCAAAATCTATATTTTTAAGAAAATATTGATACTATGGATAATTTCAGGGCTTGTCTTCATGAGAATCCTGCCTCAGCTGTTACTTCTAATAATCTTTAAGTCATGTTGATCTGTAAGCCCACTCATTTCACACTCTGCAATCAATCCAGAGCAAATCACAGAATAAATACAGATTCAACTGTTTATTCGACAGCTTTGAAACAAGTAGCAAAAAAAGAAATCAAAACTGCATTTCACCCGCCGGAAATATTCAAGAAGGTCTCCACAAACTTTTGTATTATATGCATTTAGACTCTCTGATGGGTTTCAAAACGTTCAATTTTCTGCCTCACTGTCATCCACACGGCTGAGAAAAAAAACTGCAAATGAACAAATCAACTGTGGACCCGCCGATAATGGAGCCGTTTTGGCATTTTTACACTCAGACTACCTACAGACAGAAAGATTTGACTGTCAGAACAGAGAGACGGACAACGAGTCAAGAGGAGAGGGAAATAAACACACCTAGGTTTTAAACTCAGAATCACGGTTATAAATACATCGATTCGCCCCCACCCGCCTACCCTTCCCACACGGTCACTCACACGCCTCTTGATTTATGCATGTACAGAATGTGACAGTAGTCCATAAATAACCTGGATCTCATGATTCTTTGTGTCCAGGCGTTAGCAACAGGCATGTCTTCACTAAGATGCAGCGACTTGGGTCAGTGGTTCCTCCAGGTACTGTACCAGGGCCTCTGCCTGTAAACACAACAAAGCCAGGTGAGTACCTACAAACAGGGCCAAACCAGATCCCCTGAGGTTCAGCTCTGATTAGATATAAGTTTATTGTTTGTTTCATTTAAAGGTGGGGTAGGCAGGAATCCGCTCAAGAAGCATCTTTTTTTGTGGTGTATATAAAAAAAGCTTTTTTGAGCGGCCCGCTCTTTCTGACTGTAAACAAAGCCATTCTCCACCTCCCCGAGTCCGATTGGTTGTGAGGCAGACGCTGCTCCCCCGTGTCGTTCACGAGCCCAAACAAAGTTAGCCTGCTACAATATCGTACAGTAGAAACCAACCAGAAAGTTCGGAAAATTGTCTGAATCCTCCTTTAGCTGATACTGCCAACACAAGCAAGAAAACGAAGTAAATACCGGAGACTCTGGCGGAATAATGGGCGCTTAAAAAGCCAGGCGAGAGCTTAAAAGCCGGGTCAAGATAGCATAAACGCTTCGGGGACGCTTCCGGATCTTACAGACCCTGTAAACTTTCTGCTGGACAGGTAAACCGCTTAAACAAAGTAAGCCAAGTGTCTGTAACAGAAGTGTTTCTTGTCAAACGGACCTGCTGCATGTTGTAGCGCCGCTAAACTGTCTCCCTTGGGTCCTGGACTATGTCACTTTATCCTAGTTGTAGAAGTCCTGCAAACATTATGTTTGCTGGTCGTCTGTTTGCATCTACAGTAGCACCAATGCTTTTTACTTTCACGTTGACTGGGCCCCATTTGTAATTATCTGAAGTATTTATCTGCATTATATCTGAATTTAATTGGAACGATACGAACGAGCAGGAGCGTCTGTTTGTGGGCGGGGCTTGAGGAGAGAGGAGGAGCTGAGGGGAAAACTGGTTGGAGGGGTAGAGTTTACATTCAAGATTTCTCCCAAAAACTGGCACTTCCTCAGATCCTGACTACACCACCTTTAACTTTTAGTTGATCCAGAAGAAACTTCCTGAAATTGAAAAGTCGAGACAGTCAGGCCACACTATTCCCACTCAAGCATCTTCATACACAGGTGATAATAATACATTTAAAACATGAAACGAGAAAAACAAGTCAACCACATTCATTAGAGGCTAAAAAAAGCATCAAATTCCATGATTGACAGCTCTGTTGTAAATGCAGCTCGTGTAGTGCAGTGTGAATTAGAAAAGAAAAGGAGGAATGACAATAGGGAATGAAAGTAACACTAACAAAAGAGTCATTCAAGTACTCTGTAAGTTTCTGCTTCAGACAAACACAAGATGCTGCAGCGCTGAGCTAACATGGAGGATCTTTGCCACTTCACTGGTAACTAAAGCTCAAGCTCTTCGCTGTGATAAATGTTAAAAAGTCAGTTTCTGAAGCAGGAAATGAATCACTTTGATCGACACACTCACCCCCAGGCAGCATTTTCAGACATAAAAAGACACTTCATAGAAATAGCTGATCTTCTTTCTGATGTTCTGCTTAACTTACGAGGCATCAACAAAGACTTTAGCCTGTTTCAGAACCCGTCAAAAATCCCACACTGTAGCTTTAAATGTGTGTTCAGTAAACTCAAGACAGGTTAATACCAGCTCCACCAGCCAACCCTTACTGGGCATGTTCTGGCTTCAAAGTGCAAGTTGTGGGGGTGGGAGGTGTTTTGGTTTCACGGTGGTACAGTGGGAGTAGATGCGTCATCCGTCTTTGTGTACAGCCACAAAGTCTCCGCTTGTGCTGGGAGTTTATTTTTTCTCACTTCCACAAGAAGGTCAAGCAGCTCACAGTGCAGTTATGTAGCAGTGCGCTTCAAAAAAGTCGCACAAAGAATTCCAGTCATAAATGTATTTGTACATAAATTCTGAGGGTGTCTGGCTGTCCTTGTGCTCAGTAATATATGCTGTGATATAAAATAAAGGTGTGTTTCAGTATAAAGAGTCTATGGGACAGCTTTAGTTTAATTTGTGGAGTTTTAAAAAAAGCCTTGGAATGTATAAGAATACAACAAAAATGCTGAGATTTGTGAATATAATTAAGGTGAGCATCTTGTCCCAAGTATCATCCCTACATCTGTAAATAAGCAAGTTCAAGTTAATCAAAAATAAGACACACTAATGAAAGTCCTGAATCAAAACCTAACATGTTCATCAAACTATCAGGAATACTTTGTGTGTGTGGGTAGCAAATATTGAAACTGATAAAACTCTCACCTTGGCTTTAAGCATCCCGAATCCCACTGTCTCTTTGGCGTACATACACAGAAGAAGGTTAGCTACTCGAGTGATGGCCACTCTCCCTTCCTGAAACAGAAAATAACACAGTTATAAAGCGCCACAGAGTCTGAATTCACTTATATATTTACTTTGTGTTTTTGAAAACTGCCAGTATCGCAATCACTCATCATATATCGACGTACAGCTTCTTTGGTTATGGATGACTTGTACTTGTCTTACCATGCAGTCCATGAGGATGAATTTGAGTTTGTCTTCGTTAAAGGCTTGATGTCCGTTCTTGTCATAGGCCGCCCAGATGTTGCTGGCAATGGCAGCTGTCACCCGTGCATCCGTGTCTCCATAACCAGAGTACGCCAGGAGTGAGCCTTCATTATTCAGTAAGCTAGTGATCAGTAGATGAAGATGTCAATGAATTACAAAAGACTATAAGTTTCATCACACTGTTGACAACATCTGAAGCAGGGCGAGATGATGAATCGCATATCGTTACCCTAGCTTACATTGCTATCCATATCAACCCTGACAGTCCCCTTAAAGTATCAATGAATGTTGTGCTATGTGGAGATGTTTCACTTAAAAAATAAAAGAAAGCAGAGAAGTAGTGATGTTACGAGATGTGCCGAGGCTTCGGAGCGTGTGTCGGCCAATGGAGGGGGCGTTTCCGTGAAGTGCGTATCGAGGCTTGCTTCATGTAGGGGTGGAGCCAAAAATGATGACGTCTGAAGCCTTGTTGCCCGGCTGTACCGTGTGACTGATTCAAGAAAAGGTTTGAGGGTTTGGCGGATGATTTAACAGGCAGCAAAGCGCAATGGAGTCCCCTCAACTCACAATCCATCCCATGATATGATAGCCATTAAGCAAGCCATTGTGGTAGCCTGATTTTAGACCAGTCGTCTAGGCTACATTTAGACGTCTATTTGACCTCTTTTAGACCAAAAAATGCTCAGCAGGATAGACCCGAGACTTGATGAAAAGTTGTTTTTTAAATAAAAATAAATGAAATGTTTATGTTTTTATATGTTGTCCCTGTAACAAAAGTACGAATAACAAATTAAGTAGCACAAGCACTTTCATGTCACAACCAAGTTTGGGATTTTAGGGTGGCCATTAAATTCAGGAGGGCAGGGCCACCCCTGGCTGCCATTTGGATCCGCCTCTGCTTGTATTAAATGACTTACAGTGGGTCAGGAATATTGAACCATGTAAATGAATGGACAATTACAGTGATATTTCAAATAATATGTTACTAAAACATGATTACCAGAGCAGGCAGTAGATGAAGAGCTAAATATGTTCATTTTTATCCACCATTTCAACACTGCTAGTTTGTCTGCTTTACTAACTCCGTACGTTAAAAATGAGTAACGTTTGTTTCTGTATCACAAACTATCCATATCTTAATGTTTCAGGAAATTTTCGTAAACGTCTTCAAAGATTCAGAGAGGATTATAATGTCAGTATGTAACTTCTGTACCATCCTGCTAACATGCTGCTAACAGCTAACAGTACTCACAGTGTGCTCTGGACTCCGTTTGTGTTTGCTTGGCTCAGCACCTGCGTCAACGCCTTCGGCCGTAACATAACGATTTATTCACTTCTAACCTGGGCTGAAACGACAAGATAATTCACAAAGACGGCTGAAATCTGACTTTAAGCTGTCAAAAAATAATAAGCATCAACACAAGGAGAGTCAGCTGACTGTTTACTTCCTTTTCCGGGTGTTGAGCCATTGCATTATGGGGGTTGTATGCTGGTGTATTATCCTCAGTTTTAAGTGAAAAAGTCAGTTTTTGTACTCTTATATCCTTACATGTTTTTCATATTCAGCCAAATATTAAAAAAATAATATTTCAGCAAATGATATAAAATACTGTAAACTTAAGTACCTGTATGTTGTGCAGGAGCCTCCCCATTTTTTCCCTCAGTATCTCAGCTATCGGAAATCGTTAGAGGAATAAAAACTGTGTCTTCAACTGTGGAAAAAAAGACATTTTGACAGAATTAACAAGAGAGGAAAAAATATCAAAGTTTGCCCATACCTTAAGTTCTGACTGGCTCTGCAGACGGGATGGTTACAATAACATCACAGGCTGAAATCACAGAAACTTAAGAATGAAATTAAAAACTTTATAACATCCCTAAGGATGTTGTCAGAGGAAAATCTATGAATGAACTTTATCAGATAATGTCAAAGTATCTTGCTCTTTCAATTTAATCCTATTTCTTCAACTCGCTTAAGGCACTTTTTGCTAAAATGTCACCCCTTGTTATTATTTTTTATTTTATTTTATTTTTTACCTTGTAAATGTGTGATGTGTTTGTGCTCTTTCGAGTACACACAGTTATTTCCTCAGATGAGTTCTTTGAGGATTGTTATGTATTTCATTTCAAATTGAAATACACAAAATATTTTTAATTCAAATAAAGTTTTGGGGAAAAGGGAGACGTATGTGCAGAGTCACAGTAAGACTGGTTTGTCTTCAAGTCCTCTTTTTTTCTGTACAGCTCCATTTTTAAAAGTTATTAGGGGGGTTCATGTTTTCTATGATTGACACCTGATACAGCCTATGGGCGTTTAGGGATTGCGTAGCTCAGCTATTTGAGCAGAGCGTCATCACAGCGACTCTCGGCAACTCCCCCGCCGAATGCATATAACACTACTGGGCAATGCTGGTTTCAGGAAATGAAGAAAAGTTGTGGAAATACCGAGAGCTTTTTGACTTCAAATCCGTATACAGGCGGGAGGCGGAGCCAAGTTGTCTGTAGTATATATAGTATATGCTAAAAACTCCCCACAGGATCTTTAATTTGAATGTCTTTCTTGTGTTGATGTTTGAAGTACTGTGCCTTGTAAATAGGTATTTTTTATAGCAGGTGTATATGAAATGGTTTCTGTTTTTATTTTTCCACAGGTAATTCAAAAAAATTGAAATTTACATAAACCAATCTTGTTTTGTATTTATTCAGTATATATTTTTTGTTATTTCTGAAGCGTGACTGAGAAGTTGGTTCAATAAAGAATAAAAGGTGATGAATTGAGTTGCAAAATGTAGGGGGAAATTTTTTGTTTTTGTTTTTAAGACCCACTTCTGCCTGTAAATAGTTAACCAGCAGCGCTGAAAGAAATCCGGACTCTCACGTATGAGAGGAAGGATTTCATGGAAACGCTTTAGTACCTCCCTTTGCCGTAATCTGCGCAACAGAGGCATAGACGTTGGGATTGAGCTTTCAGTGTCACATATAAACGGGTAAGTCATACATTGTTTAATTTTGTACAGTATAAAGGAAGAAAATATAAACTAAGACAGATTAACGACGCTAAATTGAAGCCTTACAGTGTTGCGCTGCCTGACTGAACTCTCACAACCATTGCGTGTTCACAACATTTAGACAGATAAACTATTTGGGTTGAATAATAAATGTTTGTTAAAGTCTCTGAGACGTTCTAGGAAAGAAGAGTGTGTGTTTTTAATGTAATATGATAAAATAACGACTTTGTTGGGTTTACTCGCTGACTGTCGGTGTTAAGGTTGGATTGGTGACCCTCTTGTTGACTAGTGACGGTGCGTTTCCTGGTTGTCGCTGTTACTGCGTAGATAGAGGATATAATTCAGATTTTGTCACCCGAAAACGCACAGAAAAAGACTGAAGGAGCGAATCTCATGAGAATTTTTAACGTGAGTTAAAAAAAACTGTTTTAGATCATTTTTAAATTCTGTTTCATACAACTTTACGTCAACGACTGACGCACAAAGTCGCCAGTTAACACGGTCACAAGTTCAACCGAAACACCGGCAGGGCAACGCGGATGTAAGTAAGCTCAGCACTGACCTGTATAGATCAAAACTGTGATTTGGAGACTTCACGGTTGATAACATTAAGTTGGTGGATTTGTCGTAGCAACGTACCTGGGTCGTTCCCAGTGATTATTTGTGCCAATACTAAAGATCAAAAATTGAACTACGATGTGTTTATGCTGCAGCTTCGACCGCTAGAGGCAGTAGTGAGCGCAATGTTTCAGACAGCTGCACCCTGACTGGAGAGTTTACAAAAAAATAAAGAAAAATATTCAGCTTATCCACAGATTTGGGAGAGAATTTTCTTTTTATATTGGTACGTGGTAAAATCGTACGGAGTATATCTGAATTATGTCACAGCGACAATAGGTCTGGTTGTTTTGATGGTAAAAAAAATATGTAAAACTGTGAAACTGAGAGTTTGATTGTTGATCAGACTGGCAAACTACCTCACAGAGACATCTGTGAAGGTATGGCAACAAGTACAGTATTAAAAACATAATATTCATAAAGGGTTATAGATTATTTTTATTGCTAATATAGAGTAGTTTAATTATTGCAACAAAATAATTATAGCAGCAGTAATAATCATCTCAATAAAGATTGTTACTAAAGGAGAAGCTGTGTAAATGTAAGCAGCCATAACCTTATCCTGTTGTGTCCTCTTTTTTCTCTTTCAGTCTACAGAAGTGGGCAGGATGTCTGTGACCATGACCAAAGCTGAGGGGGTCACTGTGCTCACTCTGACCTCTGACCCCCAAAGTTCCTTACCTCCAATTTGCCAAATCCTCAAAGGTCTTTGCTACAGCCCTGTGTGCTGCTCTGTGTCTCAGCACCTAAGGAGGATCCAGGGAACTTCTCAGTTGGTACTTGGGGTGAGTAAGCATCTTCAGGAACACCTGGTAGCTACACTTAAGCTATACAGGCACTTAGTGTTCATATTGTGTTGTCCTTTCTACAGACTATGCAGATCATGGTCGGTTTGCTGAACATCGGCCTCGGGGGGATACTCCTCTCAGGTCCTGGCGCTCGGTGGCAAATGGATGAAACCAAGTTTCCAATCTGGTTGGGAGCACTGGTAAGCAAAGTATTATTGTATGTGATTTTCATGTTTTTGGTTGTTGAAAAAAATAGTCACAAAATACAGAATTTTTGCTCAAAGATTGCACAGCCTCAAGTCTAAAGAGTCCAGATAAGAACAAAATGTAATGGTTTTTAGATCATTTTAACACTTTATTTGATTAAAAACAGTACAAAGCAAATATTCCTAATGGTGAAAATGTAATTTACAGTTTGATAAAAAGGATACGTTCTCAGGGCCCAAAGATCGTAGTCATCCAGTATTGATTTCTGTTCAATGATATTATGTTTTGTAGATCCTTATATTCCTTGCAGTTTTAAGCTGAGGCAAATCATCCTGAAATTGTTGAACAGCTTGCTCACACGGTCTCTCACAGATGGTGAACCTCTTTCCATAAATCAGTTTCGAAAATGTCATTTTCAACATTTGATATGCTGTCCTTGCAATGTTCCACTGATATTGCATTTAAATGATTTTTAAATGATCCAAATTAGATTTATGGATAATTTATACCTGTTGAGGTTGTACTTCTGCATGACACCGGCTGTTCTGCACAGCTGGAATAAAAGCCAGTATGACTCTATTGGGGCTGTTCTGTAAAAGGAATCACCAGATGGTTTTCTCATATAAGACAGGACCTGTTTTGGATGACAGCAAAAGCTGAGGCTGCTTCTTGGTTACTTTTTAAGACACGTTATAATTCTTAGAATCTGAAGCACTAAAGCAGAAGAACTAAAAGCCTTTTGTTGACTTTTTCTTGACATAATTGGTAGTGAGTGAAATATTAGATAGTTTTCAAGTGACTGTTACAAAACCTTCTTCTTTTTTTTTTGTCTTTTCGTAGTTCATTCTTTTTGGTGCCATGAACATCTTGTCCGAGAAGCAGCCAAGTCCATGTCTGGTGAGTATTTCAGGTTTATCCTTCTGTCTCCACTTTGTCATTTATGATACTTCTTCGAATTTTTGCCATGCACTAAGGAGGATTTATACATAATTGGTGGTTTGCCTGTTTATTGTCACATACCCCTCAAGAAAGATGTTTCACACATGAGCAGTATTTGTTATAGAAGAGGGGGGGGTCTAGAGTTCGCTGTCTTGCTCCAGTGGATAATAATGGAGTTGCAGGGGGGGTTTCTAAATTAAGCTGCTTCCACTACATGACTTGATTTCTGTTTTAGGTCATCCTCAATGTGATGCTGAATATCATTGGAGTTGCTTTTGCCATCACAGCCATCGTACTCTACAGCATCAACACTGCAAACATTTGGTTATGGTGGGACTGTGACGAAAGGGAACGTTACAGACATCGTTATTATGACGACTATGACCGTCACACCACCACCACAACTCCATCTCCCCAGGAAAAGATCATAAAGGAGAAGTGCATGGAGGCTAAATACCTGACACAGGTATGGATGGGAAATTGTCAACCAAGAAATGAACTTAAAAAATCATCTGAGGAAAAGAACTGATGACTGTTAATGACTGACCAAAGTTAGTGTATTTGAATCTTCCTGATTATGACTTACAGCTCATGGAAATCATGTTCATCTTTGTTCTCAGTACTTTGTTAGAGCTCTTTTTGCACTAATTACTGCATCAATGTGACGTGTCATAGTCTGAAGTCCAGGTTACTTTGATAGCTCCTTTAGCTCATCTGTATTGTGGCTCTGGTGTCTCTCATCTGTCTCTTGATGACACCCCAGAGAGTTTCTGTGGAGTTCAGGTCAGGAGAGTTGGCTGGCCAATCAAGCACAGTAACAACAAGGTCAGAAGACTAGTAATTGGTTGTTTTGGCGTTGTGGGCAGGTGTCAGATCCTGCTGGAATAGGAAACCTGTATCTCCATAAAGCTTTTCAACAGATGGAAGTATTAAATAGTCAGTACGTTTACATGCGCTCATGAAAATCGAATTATTGCCTTACCGGACAACTGAGATGCATCTAAACACCTTAGTCCACCTATAATTGGAGTTTGAGATGGTGGATTTTAGATTTTTGTGAGATTCAGAGGATAGACTGGTGGATTGGGGAAGAAAGCTAAGTTGGGGTTGGCCATTTTTAAAGTTTTCAAATCTTGAATGCAGTAAAGGTAATTTGGTGGATTGAAACAGAGGTTAATAAGAAACCCAAAACAGAGCAGGAAATTCGTCTCTGAGGTAAGTAATTATTACTATTGCTTGGCCTTTGTTTCAGGTGATAGTGCAGCTGAAGAGAGACCAGAAGTACAGGGTAAAGGTTGGAGATGACAGGCTCTGAATAGTTGCAGGCTAGAGTCATACCAGAGAGGAAAGCATCAAGGAACTCATCACTGTGTCTGATTCTATTAACTGGGGCTTAAAAAAAACTGTGTTTTGAGATTTTAAAGGTAAAACTGCTTCTTTTTGTGCCTCCAGATGCTTTTAAGAAGCATCAGTGCCGTGCTGATCGTCTTGTCGGTCCTGGAGCTCTGCCTCACCATCAGCTCTGCAGTCTTGGGGATCAAGACTATGTGTCACCGTGGGAAGAAAGAGGAACAGGTAGAGTCTCAAAATGGTATCATACAGTTGAACAGGTAGTTTTTCATGCTCTGTTTTTCTTTCCAGAACATGAGATATCTGAATATCTGTTCATGTTTTTTGGACGATAACTTTGATTGTTGACCTGAACTTGGACACTTAGTTCCATCTCAGTCAGAACCTCTACTAAAGGTTTTGGGATCAGCTGACCTTTTACAAAAGAGGAAAGGTTTAGTGTAATTTGTGTCCTATGACAGTATCCAAGTTAGCAGTCTCCCGGCTGTATGGAGTCTTGATCTTAGTGATAAGCCAGTCACTTGCTGTCTGTAGTTTTATTTTCATCAAACACACATGAAAGTGAAGTAATTGTCATTTAACGTTTAGTAAGAAGCTTCTGTCTTAAATATGGAAGTACTTGCAAGTTTCAGCACGAGTGGCTGTAGGACACCATTTTAGATATGACCCACTAATGTAAATGTTCTCTTTCAGAGTCCTGATGACCCAGAACTGTACAAACCACTGCTGGAGGAAGTGACCAGTAACCCTGCGGTCTAAATGAGAATCTCTGCTTTGCATCAGTGGTAAACAGAAACTGTTCTGTTGTGCAAAGTCTGTCATATGCATTCAAATAACTGACTGTATTTACTTCTATTCTGATGAACTACACCAATACAGCGGGTACGATTGCTTCTTGATTTTTTTTAACTGTTTACTCTAATACTTCACTGCACTTTTGTTTATAATTTGCACTATTCATGCATACAAACTGCTTATTTTCTATTCTGTTCTTTTCTATTACAATGGTTTTTTATTAAAGAATGTGACTTTATTTTTGTAGCTAAAAGGGATGTGTGTGCGACTGGTGGTGCAGGGTTTTGTTTGTTTATCACATCAAGCCATGTGAAAAAAATATAATGAATAAAAAGGATTGTAAGCTTTGTGTTTTATTAGCTTTTAAATCTGCTGTGTTTATGACATGACACTTAAAAGAATGAGTGAGAAATTCAATCATTTACACACACTTCTCTCCCCTCTGTTTTGCCCTTAAACCACAACTGCTTGCCAAATCACAGCTTTTTCAAAATGTCTGCTGTCTCTTCTTCAGACCATTGCTCGTGTTTGCTAATTTCTCTTACCATCACAGCTATCACACTCTGCCTGTATTAACATTTGACAAACCGGATGTACTGAAATGATGTTACTGAACTCAGGCACCACACCCAACCTTGTTATCTTCCGCATGTGGTGTATGAGAATTGTCTTGTGGGACCGAGCTCTGTAAAAGGCAAACATTTGGAGACAGCTGATGTCTCAGGATGTGTCAAGAGAGCCATCAGTTTTCAGGTTTTTCTTTTCTGCTCGACACAATGTCCAAAAGTCAAACTGGTTTAACTATGAATTAAATCAAGTCATCAAAGCACAAGTCGTGTTTCTCTTCATTTTTACAATTTACTTGCTGTAGTGGCAGGAGTGTGTCGTCTCACTTGTCACAAGGTGGAATGAGAGTGTGTGTGGGGTGTCACTGGGGCTGACTGATTGTATAATGGATGTCACCTGTGTCTGCCAGGGAATTGGTTCCTTGGTTCATGGAAAGAGGAGGCTGATATTTCTGTTGACTGCTAAAGCTTTTTTTTCTTCAGATAATCTACATCAAATTCATGTTTCAAAGTTTGATTTGTTGAAAAAGAAAATAAATATCTTAGAGCTGCAGTAAAAACTTTATGCTTCCTTCTTGTATTCAGGGCGTCAGACCCTGTACTCCCCTCTTAGTGACTAATTTAGTTTTGATAGTCATTGTATTTGCAGTGGGAAAGGGCTGCATCAAGTCAGAATAGTTTCAAAAATCAGGAGTTTTATTGTATTGAGACTTTACTCTGAGTTTATTAAGTTTTGCTTTAAATCCAGTTGAATAATAAGGAAAAGATAAAGTCTCTTAATGGTTAATAAGTTTGCTCTATAGGCTTCCTCCCCTTTTTCCGAACATTAACTGCACTCTGCCAGGTTTAACATATCCAGCGCCTTTAATAAGGCTTTGTTTTCACTTCTACAAACACTGACAGATAAGTCTTGAATTATTCTTTGAGTTTTAGACTAAAACCTACAATTTAGAACACATTTATGTGGTGCTACATGAGGGTCGGTCGCTGCTTGGTGTTACAAATGTGACGGATATTTTCGTGTAGTTCCAACTTTCTTCTCACCAACTTATCAGGGTAAAAGCAAAGTAATTTTAAACTTCAAAAGGATAACTTTAAAAACTTAAAAAGTAGCTACTCTTAACAATACAAACCAAAATCATTTATAGCCCACTTACAGCAATATACACCCACACCCAGTGCTGCCCCTAGTGGCTGGGAGTTTGTCAAAAATTAATTTGAACAAAATCTGTTGTAACATTCACAAAAATATACAATCAGCTGATTTATGAGTAAGTTTTTGTAGCTGTTTAAAGATGCTGAAAAACAAAGAATTTTACAAAAATGATCTTTTTACGGAAAAACAAAGTTTAACAGATGTAATAAAGTGTTCGACCACAGGTGGCAGCACTGAGGACATTTCCCGCTGAGCGAGTAACAATACCATCAGCGAAGAAGAACAGTCTCCTACGTTTTTTATTGCTCTGATTTTTTTGTTGTTTTTTTGGTGGCGTCGGAGGCGGTTTGGTCGGAGTTAACCCGTCTTTGTTTCATTCTGGGGTATCCTACATAGCTAAAGTGAATAAAAAGTGGCCATTCCGCTTCTCCACACTGACTTTTGCTCCTCTCGGTAAGTGAAGGAAACTTTATAAATCCTCCGAAGGTGTTTCGGGTGTTTTAAACTCGTCTGTTTCTTGTTTAGCAGGGCTGCGCAACAACTCTTAGGAATGTTTAGAGGCCATGATCTAAAACAGTTGATCATCATCTCTTCGTCTCTTACAGTCTTCAGGAGCAGTCAGGATCATGTCTCTGACTAAGACCCAGGTTAATGGGGTCACTGTGGTCACCCTGACTTCAGACCCCAACAGTTCTTGTCCCCCACTTTGTCAAATCCTAAAAACCATCTGCTACAGCCCCTCATGCTGCTCCCTGTCTCAGCAGCTGAGGAGGGTCCAGGGATCTTCGCAGTCTCTTCTTGGGGTGAGTTAGGGAGTTCATCTGTTTCCTTTCAGTTTGTAAATTCATACATTGCATTATTTCAATTTTAACTTCTTAATTCTGACTTTTGATGGGCATATACTGTATTTCTATGTAAAACTCATGTTTTCACAGTTTGATTTCCTTGTTGTACAAGAAACACTGAATCTTTCTGAGCAGAGACCCACCACAACAGAATTCATCCATATTTTTTAACCCTCTTTTCCGTTTTCCCAATGTCTTACTTCTCTCTTGATTGTATATTTCAATGATATGCTTTTTAATATTATGATGACTTGATGTTATCTTTATTTTAATGCTGTCAGTTGTTTTTTTTAAATTCTTTAGAGCACTTTGATTGCTCTCTGTATTAAAGAGGCTAAAGATGTCAATAATCTGTCTTTCTTATTTTCTTTATATCACAGGCTCTGCAAATTATGGTTGGCCTATTGAACATAGGTTTTGGAGCAGTCCTCACTAGCAGTGCCCCATGGTGGCAACGGTTTAACTACCTGTTTCCCTTTTGGCTTGGAGTGATGGTAAGCAATATTTATTTATTTAAAGTTATAAATCTGACATTTATTTTTGTGATTTTCGTTTATATATTTCCCAAGTGTCTTGCAAAGCTAGAACAAAGGCTGGCCTTGTTTGGCTTGTTTCAAGGTGATCCAGTTTATGTCTTTTTTTTAAATGGGTCTGTCAGGATGCAGCTGGTTCCCTGTGCGCTCAAAAACCTTTGAACAATACGGACTAAAATACATTTATTTCAGCTGCTGGTTTGGCTTTGCAGTTAAAGCGTACTTCAAATAGAGAGGCTGTGGTTCTCGTTACAATGTTTGCTGGTTTGACTCCTGCCCTCAAACCCTGTGCTGCATGTCTTATCCCGCTCTGTTCCCACATTAGCTTCTCCTCTTCAGCTGTTCAGAAATTGTACTTTAAAATCACATATTTCACATCATGTTGTGTTAATCTTTTGCACATGACAATGAAAACACAGATGAAGGATGAATCCACTCTGGTGCTTGTCTGATAGTGAAGTGTCCCTCTTGTCACAGGGGACATTTGGGTAATTCATGGGTCCAAACTCCCCAAAGAGACTCAAAAACACACTCGCCAGATAAAAATTCTTGCAGTTGACTTCTTAAGTTGACTTTTTTTGGTAGGAAGTAGGGAGGAATTTTAAAGTCAGGAAGTCTTCGCTTGCATGGACTCTTGTAATCAGAACCAGTCCTTTTGTTTTATAACTTAATCAAGTCCAGCTGCGGGTTTAAAGGAGCATTGCAGAGTATTACTTACTAAGAAAAAGCAGAATTCTTCCACGATGACTGGACTTTTAGTTTTAATGGTGACTATAATACAACTGAGAGTTTCTGTGAATAGATAAGATTTTCCTTTATTCATCCCTCGGTGAAGAAATTAAGTCATTAACAGCAGCGGTACACACAACATACACATTCATAACGGGTACAAAAAAGCAAATAAATAAGAAAGAAATACAGTAAAAAAAAAGAGAGAGAGAGCAGTGCAATCGAAGAACAGTATTACAGACAAGTATGAGAAAAATATTAAAGAAAAAAAAAAAATACGGGGCCAACAAAGAACAGGTATGGATGTGATGATGATGTTGATATTGCACACAGAATAATCCTGCAAATGGAATAATATTGATATTTTTTGTTTCATATTTAGTTTGTTTTCTTTGGTGCCATGTGCATTTTGTCTGAGAAGCGCCCCAGTCCATGTGTGGTGAGTGAACCAGCTTTATATCATCCTTGCGTGTTATCTTTCGTTGAATTCAACTCTTATTCTAATGCCCGTGGTTTCGTATTATTGTGCATCAACTGCTTATTTTTCAGGTTGTCCTCAATGTGATCCTGAGTCTATCTGGAGTTGGTTTTGCCATCGCAGCCATCATACTCTACAGCATCAACATGGGAACCATTTATCTGGGATGGATGTGTGAAGAGAGTTATAACTATGATGACTACATTTCGGATCATCAGCGGACTCTGTCTCCTGGGGACCAGTTTATGAAGGAGAAATGCTTGGAGGCTGAAGACATGGTTCTGGTAAGTGTGGAAGGAAACCTCCTCTGCCAATAATAATAGACAAGTTTTTAAATAGAGTAGTGATAAAACAACGGCTCAGACCGTTTCACAGATGCTACCTCAAAAATGACCTTCCTTTGTTATTACCATCCCTGACTCTCATCACATCCATTTTGGAAAACCCCCCAAAGTTTTCTAAAAGACAAATGCTGAAATCGTGACAATAAGCTGATGACTAACAATGCAGATTAGCAATTAGTTTTCAAAGTCACCTTTCAGACAAACACCAGACATCAACTTGGGACTTTTATCTGAACATTTCTGTTTTTTTTATTCCTGTTCGGACTGAAAAAGTCCAAAGTGTCATTGGCTCTTCTCCAGGTTGATCCTTTTGTCAAGAGGAAGAAGAAAGTTCGATTAAAAATACAAAAATAGAAACAAAGTTATGAGCCCTAAATCCAAAAAGGGATAAAGTGTTGGATAGCCTGAAGGTAACATGAATTATGGATGTGTGCATTTGTGTGTGAACCACTAGATGATTATGATGGGCATTTACGGTATGCTGATCGTCCTGTCAGTCCTGGAGTTCTGCATCACCATCAGCTCTGCCGTCTTGGGGATCAAAGCTCTGAGGAGGAGCAAGGGAGGAGAAAACCAGGTAGAGTCTGCACGATCATGATCACACTGTTGAACCTGTTGTTTATTTATGACAGTCTCTTTATGTGAAGCTTGTCACATGCTGGCTGTGGTGTTTTATTCCACATTTGATTTGATTTATTTGGGATCCCCATTAGCCCTGGCCAAGACTAAGCTATTTTTCCTGGGGTCCTTAAGCCAACTTACAATATATCAATGTAAATATCTCACATATAATACGCTCCAGGGAAAAATAAAGTAAAATAAATTTAAAAAAAATAATAATAATAACACATAAAATATACACAGACAAATAAACAAACAAAATACATACAAATACACAATACAACAATACATAAACAACAACAGATGGCTCCTGAGTCAGCAGTATGTATAGTGTTTGACCCTTTTATGCTATGTGTGTATATATATATATATATATATATATATATATATATATATATATATATATATATATATATACATACAGTATATATACACGTATATATACATACACATACACATTAATGCCATCTAAATATTACATTTTAACTTTCTGTTGTGTTTCTTGACTATGTTCTAAAAATAATTTTACTATCTTCTTGTGTAATTGTTTTCTGGTTATTTGTTCCATACTTGCATGGCTCTGTACATAACCATCCGCTTTTTTCTGTCTGTTTTTGTTTTGGGTAGTGTAAATTTTCCTCTAGTCGCATGTATGTCACATAAATGCACCCTAGTTGAATTGATCACTCTTGTACAGTGTATGATCTTATGCCTATTTGGAAGTGCTGCAGTTCCTCAAGTGTCCACTGGAGGCTGTGTGTAAATTTATCAGAAACTACATACACACACATTCAAAAAAGCCCATCTTGATGACAAAAACAAACATGTTTGTTGGTAATGTGTTATTTTTCTCTTTTAGAGCCCTGATGAACCAGAACACTACAAACCCCTGCAGGAGGAAGTCGACAGTAACCCTTCAGTCTAAAAGAAAATCTCTGCTTTGTGCTTTTATATGATCCTCAACATTCAACCTTTTATGATGTCGCACCAATGATCTGTTCAGTTTCAGCTGATACAGTTTCCACTATATTTCTCTACAAATTTGCCTGAATTGTTTGCACTTATATTTTTTATCTTTTTTTACTTCTAAAGCTGAAAACATACAGGATCCGTATTTGCTCCTTAGAGCAGCATTGGGTATTGCATACAGGATCAGCGTATTTGGAGCGTAGCAGCAGTGAAGTGCAGCCCTGGTCAGCTGGGCTCAGTATAGAGGAAACAACACGCTCACAACAGGCTGTTTTTTCCTTTCGGTGGTCGATTTCCTGCTAATTTGGATACAATTCAGTGACCGTTGATCCTCAACCATATGTGAAAAATTAACGTGATTTACAGTTTTGGTTTTTGCAGGTTTACTCGTGTTTAATAAAGTAAACTTTGTTCCTTTATGCCGTGCTGTTCCCTTCAGACAGAGTTAGCAGTTAAAGTCCTGTGGGGGTCCACATGGATCAGGGATTGACCATCGAATTGTTCTGTGTTACTGATAAATCCAGAACCAGGAAGGATTTCTCATCTACATGAACAGGTCATAGACTGTATATAAAATGGACGCCGTCTGCCTCCTCACTGAGTGAAGCCACTCCGAGAACAGCACCCTCTGTTGACGGGCTGCAGTATAGGTCATAAATCCCGCCTCCACCAGCAAAGCTTATGGAGCTGTGGACAAACTTTAGAAGTTTATTACACAGAATATAAATGTTTCTCCCCTGATACAGCCTATGGGCGTTCAGGGATTGCATAGCTCACCCGGGGGTATACGCTGTTTGAGCTGAGTGTCATCACAGAGACTCTCCAGCTGAATGCGCACAACGCTACTGCACAGCGCTGGTTTCAGGAAAAGGAAAATCCTGGAAATACCGAGAGCTTTTTGGTTTCAAATCCGAAAACAGGCGGGAGGCGGAACCAAATTGTCCATAGTATATACAGTCTATGGAACTGATACACTGTCGGGAGTTCGCATATGGTCTTTTATTTTGAAATACCGGATGAGATGCGTGGTTTTCATGCTTGACTTCCTGTGTAGAACGATCTCTGTGTGGACTGACGCTCATTGGAAGCGTAGAGCCGCAAAAATAGATTCGGCGCGTATCTTTAGCAGAGCTGCTCTCGATATGATGCTGTGACAGAGCTGAGACACATCCTGTATGCTTTGCTGCATTGATTAGAATGGCAACCTATCTGCTGCGTGATACGCGACGCTGTTGCCGTGCTCCAAATACACATCCTGTATGTTTTGGCCTTAAGATATGCACCTTTTGATATGCTGCTTTACTTTTTTATTTCCTAATATTTTTAAACTGTCTGTTTTATCATAATTTTCTATCCTGCTGTGTGACTTACAGTCAGTATGTACTGTATGTGGGTAAAAAGGAGTTCATGGATGTGTGTGACACTGATGGACTTTATCGAACGAACGTTTACAAAATAAAGGCATTAAAATGATAAATCTGTTCCTGTTGGAGTCTTTAAGTTTCTCTTTAAGTCTTTAAGTCTTTATGTTACAAAGATGACTATGTACTGTGTTGGATATTAATTGAGTTACAGGAAATACAAGGCGTAGAGAATAGTCTGGACTTGAACCAAAGAGCAGATTGGAGTTAAACCTGCAGCTGATGCAGCAAAGATTCAGCCCCTGTATAAAGAGCTTGAGGGGAACAACTTGGGGCAGAGACTTGTTGTGCATTGCGTCGCTTTTTCTTGTATCAACACCGAACTGCAGGTAGGCCACATTAGCACCTGGACTCCTCTACTACTGAGCCATGTAGTTGTAAATGTGCAGGATATGAGTTGGTATTGTGTAGCTGAAATGTGTTAGGTCCTGTCTGGATAAAGGTATTGTCTTGGTGACAGTGTAGTATATGTCACTCCAAACCTGTGTACATCCCCCAGCCTTAAAGGTGCCTTTCTCAGATTGGGAAGCTGCCTGTGCCATGGACACAAATTTATCCCCATATCACTACAGATGCTGGTTTTTTAATTGTGCACTGACAACAAACCAGGTTATCCTCCTTTTTTAGTGTTTTACTGTCCTCACAAAACATTTCACAGTTTTAACATTTGGTATCTTACTATCAATCGAAACCAGTCATGACTAGATTTGAATGTCATTCAGATTTTTTGATGACTGGAAATGTAAATCAGTCTGTTGAAACAAAAAGAAATCAAATGTTTTTGTTTGGGGTTTTTAAGGAGAGCGGTTAGAGTACGTAGAAACAAAGTTTTCCATCTTGTGTTTTGAATCAAGTTTCTTTGATAGCCCCTGGCTGGTGGGAGGTGCTGCTGGGAAAATGACCTCCCTCCCCTCCGGTGCTGTCAGACCAGTTCTGTGAAGTGAAGCCGCACTGTTTTGGTTTTATTTCCTTTCAACACTAACGGGTAAGTTCTCCTTCTTTGTTTAATAGAAGTTTTATGAACCCTATAACATTTAAACTAATCATTTGTGTTTGTTTCGGCAGTTGTGCTCAAAGTAAGATTCAGTTAAGAAACCCAGAGCTTTTAAAGCAGCTGTACCTCTTCCTGTTGACTGTTTCGATCCTAACAAAGCGTACGTACTTCTTTTTTTCGCTGATCCTTTTTCATACCTATCTCCCTTGTTTATTAAAAAACATTTCTTCTGTGAAACCTTCTTAGAGGAAGCGCAAACAAAAGCTATTTCTGGATTGTGTGCTGGAAAGTGCAATGTCAAGTTCAAACGGACATTTCCCAGTTTTTCAGGTTTCCTCCTGTAGTTTACAAAGAGGGGTCAGTGGTGGACCTCGTGACCTGAAATTTAAGCTGACTTCAAGATAGGTGAGCTTTGTGACAATTACGTTCACGGCACAAAAAAAGAGAAAAAAAAGCAAAAAAAACAGACAAGATGTTTGCAGCATTTGTTTAAACTTACAGTTACATCCAAAATGAGGTTCAAACTTCTCGCGTAGCTTCTAGGAGGCCGACCTGATTTTGTAATTTTCCCTCTTCGTCTGCAGGAACAGGCAGGATGTCAGTGACCATGACTAAAACTGAAGGGGTCACTGTGCTGACCTTGACCTCTGACCCCGAAAGTGCTTTACCTCCACTTTGCCAAATCCTCAAAGGTCTTTGCTACAGCCCCGTGTGCTGCTCCGTGTCTCAGCACCTGAAGAAAGTCCAGGGATCTTCTCAGTCTGTGCTGGGGGTGAGTTACAGCCCTCATGTCGTCCATCTATACTGAAGCTTTCCCACTGCACTGCTGCTTCTCTGCACCTGAATTTAATGATGGTCTGCAAACACACAGAGGAGATTTGATAACTGTATCGTTTCATTCTGTGCTTCCTCCTGGACAGACTGTACAAATCATGGTTGGTCTGCTCACTGTGGGCTTTGGAGCGGTCCTCTACAGCACTTACAGCTCTCCTTGGTGGTATCTTGACTCGACCATGTATCACTTCTGGTTAGGTGGATTGGTAAGCAAGCTTATTTATGCTCTTTGTCCTTGCCTGATTTATGTCTGAATGCATAGAAACTCTGATCTCCACAGATTTGTGACAAGCCTGTTAGCAAGTCCAAGTCAAGTCTCAAGTCCTTGACTCTAGTATCAGTGAGCTAAAAGGGGGGATATTATGCTTTTCCACATTTACAACAAAAACATTACAAAGTTTGGTGTCTATACTACATGTATGCAAAGTTTCAAATCACGAGGTAAACCTATTTTGTCATAATCTGAGACAGTAGATGTAAATTGCTCAAATCTCGGACGAACAATCATAGTTTAAGTATATTATATATACTTGATTTTGACATGAGTCTCACCTCTGACAAAGCAACTGGCCTATCAGAGTTTAAGTTTTGGGGTGGTACCTGAGGGAGGGGCCCGTGCCACCCTTTGCCCCCTTGCTGTACATGTCCCTGTAGTCTTCTAAAAGAGTGTGAGTTTAATGAATTTGCTTTTTCTCTCCTCTTTAGTACATGTTTTTTGGTACCATGTGCATCTTGTCCGAGAAGTGCCCCTCTCCATGTCTGGTGAGTGATTCGGTTCTACAACATTGTCCTGTTATCATCTTTCACTTTATTGCACTCTTCTTCTAGAGATGTTGATGTTGATTTTTGGATTGGTCTGAATCACCTGATGTGTCCTATCTTTTCAGGTGATCCTCAACGTGATTCTGAATCTAGCAGGGACTGTTTTTGCCGTCACAGGCATCGTACTCTACTTTTTGAACATTTTCCTCCTCAGGACCCCGAGTTGTGATTATGATTATTATTATCACCCAGTCAGTCCTCCAAGGCAGGATTCAGTGACACAGGAATGCTTGGAGGGCCAAAAACTGAGTCTGGTAATTATTTTATGCCTTTTGGTTAAAAAAAAAAAAACATTAGACATCCAGATTAATTACATCATCTCTCGTTCTTTCTCTCTCTCTCTCTCTCTTTGCACGCCTGTCTGAGTTAAAACATCTACAATTTGTTAAAAGAAATTGATTAATTGATCTATAACATACCTAAATGATGCTTAGAAGTCATGCCCTCGTACTCAACGCTGTACTGCAAAGTTAAATCACACACAGGGACACCAGTATTCCTGAGTTGCAGATGACTGTTTGCAGGTGTAATAGCTTCATGTCTCTTTTCCTGCAGATGCTTTTGCGAAGCATCAACTCTCTGCTGATCATCCTGTCAGCCCTGGAGCTCTGTGTCACCATCAGCTCTGCTGTCTTGGGAGTTAAGGCTCTGAAAAACAAAAAGACGAGGGGGGACAAGGTGAGGGGACAATAATTTATTACTGTTTAATAAAAGGTTGTGATAAATACCTGATTGTGATTGGTCGGTCCTGCTTCTTGACTGGGCGTTTTTGCTGTCAGACTCTAGTTAACTCACTGTACCCTTATCAAAACTCTTAAAGAAGTCCTGTTAACCTGATGTCAGTTTGTTTATAGTGAGAGGAAAGGAAAGAGACAAAACCTGTTGAAAAAGGAACAAAAATGACATAACACTGCTTTGAAAAATGTGAACATCTGAAATGATCTTTCAAACACTGTGCTGCGTAGTTGTGTCTTATTTTATCCTCTCATTATTTATGAATTAGTTATGTAAGTCCACAGAGAAAAGTGTTATTAGATTGAAACTGATCTCGATGTATTCTTTATGAGCTTCGCTGATATGATTTCTCTCTTTCAGACCCCTGATGACCGAGAAGGCTACAAACCACTGCTGGAGGAAGTCACCAATAACCCAACAGTTTAATAAAAGTCTCTGCTCCGTGCTGTGACTCTGTGCACTTACAGTATATGAATGAATGTTGTGATGTTTTACTGAAATACAGCTGAAAACCTCTGGGTCTTTTCTTACGAGGGCTGCATAGAGTGTCTTTTGTGTCAAGTCTTCTTTCACAGCTGGAGAAGACTCTCATCCCGACCTCTACGGTAGTTATTCTTCTCGTGCAACTACAACTTTTTGTGTATGATAGTCCTTAGCTGACTATCTCTCCGAACAAGCATTTTATTCATACACTAGGATCCTTTTTGTCCTCTCAGTCTTTCACTTCGAGCACTTTTTACTTCCTTCTTTTATGGGCTGGGTGTTATTTGGAAGAGAAAGGGAGTTTCCACAAGGATTGCACATTCCCCTCAGGCCTGTCTGAGCTTGTTTATCATCTTGTAAACATTTTTCCGTGAGACTTGTGTTTACATTTCTCCATTTTGGATTGATCCTTTTCCACATTCTTGTTATTTTGAAATGTGTGTGTTATTCATGATTAAATTTATAATGGAGAGTTTTTCGCCGGATATCAAACAAACTGCAGTCAGAACTGATGTCTCTTCCTGATCTACCAACAAACATTGAAAGAGAGTCTTAGAATATGAGAAAAAAAGAACAATGTTAAATAAAGACAAACCAGAAATCATGTTGTTTCAACTCTAATTTCTATAAAGCTTCTGTGAGGAGTTTTTCCACTTCTCATTAAACAGGCTTTAATAAACAGCAGTGTGAAATACAATTTCTTTATTGTAATTTTTTGACGCCTTTAATGACTGAAGGAGAGGTAAGTGCGCTGAGTAAATATTCACAGGTACTTATATGTTTAATTGTTAAAACAATAGGAGAAGATTCTGTGTTAATTAAAACCTCTTCATAAAGGTGAGTCAAAATGAGCTACTATGTGAGATATAAAACTTTGTCCACAGGGGGCACCAAAGTCAACACAGACAGAAAGTTAATCACAGGAGCTTTAAAGTTACAGCCTTTTACATGAGTGAGTATTACTTTTTTAAAATTGATTAATAAAATTCTGCAAAGCTTTAACAATTTGATATTTCCTCTGCCTTCTCACTTTGTAAAATAATATTAGGGGTACGTGGCACATTGAGCACCTTTCTCTCCTCCTCTATCCTCTTTCTGTCTTTGTTAATTACTTTGAATCATCATGTCCAATAGAGTCACTTACACACTCTTTTCTGGGAGTCTCTGATCTCCATCACGCTGTAGGTTCCTCTGGATCGCTGCTGCAGACATGGACCTGCCTGCTTTCCAAACATATCCGTCTTTCTGCATCTCCCTCTCTCCCCTTTCTAAACCTAATGTAGAGTTAGCAGATGACTGTCTAACATCAGTCTGGTCCTACTTGAGGTTTCTGCCTGTTATCAGAAGTTTTTCCTCTCCACTGTAATTTGCTAAATGCTGAAAAGTGCGACACTCATGCTTGAGTGGGTCTGATCTTATAAGACAGGGCTCAGTCTTATTCTATCTTTGCACCAGGTCTTGGTAAGTAGAGTCTGGTCTAGACCATAGACTGTTTATACTATGGACAACTTGGTTCTGCCTCCCGCCAGTTTACGGATTTGAAGCCAAAAAGCTCTCTGTAATTCCACGCTTTTTCTACGATTCCTGAAACCAACACTGCACAGTAGTGTTGTACGCATTCAGTGGGAGAGTTGCTGAGAGTTACTGTGATGATGCTCGGCTCAAACAGCGTATCCCCAGCGTATACGCCCATAGGCCGTATCAAGAGTCAATCATAGAAAACATGAACCCCCTAATAACTTTCAAAAACGGAGCTGTACAGAAAAAGAGGACTTGAGGACAAACCAGTCTTACTGTAACTGCATGTCAACATCACAAGCAGGGGGGAGAAAAATTTATATTCTGTGTAATAAATTTCTAAAGTTTGTCCACAGCTCCATAGCGATTGCTGGAGGAGGCAGGATTTATGACCTATACTGCAGCCCAACACCAGAGGGTGCTGTTCTCGGGGTGGCTTCACCCAGCGAGGAGGCGGACACTGTCCATTCTATATACAGTCTATGGTCTAGACTAAACATTTGGTTCAGTATCTCTGGATAGCACTTGTTGTAAATTGGTGCAATATAAATGAAGATTGATTGATTAGATTTATAATACGCTGATTATTAGCGATGAAGGAGAAGCTACAAGCCTGGATCCCTCTGAAGGTAAAATAAAATCACAGAAGATGCCACCTTTCCTGAATCTTCCATGTTTCCTTTTCATTCCCTTTCATTTGAGACGGTCTTCATGTTTCAATTGATCCAACAGGTTTTTACTGACAAGGACCCACTCAGAGTATGTCCACTTAGGGCTTCTGTATAAAACAGCTTCATCCAGTATGACTTACACTGAGCTCTGTTTATAGGCTCTGCTGCTGGACTTTTATTCTGAAAGAGGAATGAGCTGTGAGGTGGGAGGTGACTGTTTTTGTGAAGAGAGGCTGCAGGTAGAGGAACCAGACTGAGGGATTACAGCTCTGAATCATTAACAGGTGAGTTTGCATGCACAAAAATGTGAACTTTATTCGGGCACAACATGTTGAACGAGGTCTTTACATCGCTTAAGTTTGCCACCATTAAATCATAGAACATTTCTGCTGCAGCCTGGTAAAGAGAGTGGATTTATGTTTCAGAAAGAGATGGATGAAAAAAAGTTAAAGCAAATACAAAAGAGCAACATTATCATTTAAGGAAAAAAACAACAACCTGACTTCAAGAAGTGTCCAGTTAGACTCATATAAGTGCTATAAAAATGTTAATGATGTAAGTAAGACAGACTCCTCATTTAGATCTTGAACTGACACCATCAAGTCTCTAACTTTGGCAGTGAGAGCCTCCGCAGCCTGGCTTTGAGTTACTGAATAAAAACCCTCAAAAAAGGAGACAAAGAGAGTAATCTTACAGCTTAAAGCTCTAATACATCTGCATATTTGGATTTGATAGGATTGTTAAACGATAACAGTGACTCTGTTGACTCAGGTGTAAAACTATTCATTCACTTACCCCCTCTGCTCTGAAAACACACACAGAAACAGACACACAGCTGAAAAACAAAATGAGCAACAACTTTCTGATGTTTTCAGGTGTGTGAGCAGGTCACAGTCTGAGTATGTTTCCTTCATGGTGCCAGATCCTGAGGGCCTTCTGCTCTGTGTTTGAGGAGCTGATACTGCAGTCCAGTATCAGCACAGCTTTTGGGGTAAAGGAAAAAAGAAATGAATATTTTCTGTATAGCTTTTAATTCAGTGAAAATGATCCTGATTGAGCTGAATCTTTTTGCAGACTTTGCAGATCATGGTGGGGCTGTTCAACATCGGTCTCGGTCCAGGGCGAACAAGTGTAGTCCCTGGGGATTTGGCCAGCCTGGGAGCTGCTTACTGGCTGGGTGCTGTGGTAAAATAAGACTCACACTTCTGTTACTTCTCCTGCTTAATTACTGCCTAATTTAACATTTCTATCAGGTTTGTTTTTACGAATTTATTCCCACAGGAGGTGCATTCATAGACAGAAATAAACATTTACCCCCAATCAAGGTGCTGATTTGTACAGTAACCCTGAAGGTCAATGGAACATATATTTTAGAATGGTAAAAAAAAAAAGTTTAATAAAACATAAAAAATACTTAAAAATAATAAAATAATAATAATAAAATGTTTCGGAACCCCCCCTCAAAAAATGAATTAAAAAGATAAAATTATCTTTCATAAAAACTTTAAATTTTAGAAAATACAGATTCTTAAGACATACAAATATTTTAGAAATGCAGATACATTTTTAAAACTATGGTTTTGATGATTCTTTTGTTTGTGTCTTTTCCAAAATATTTTTTATGTTTTGTTAGTATTTATTTGTGTTTTCTAAATTTTATTTTGTGTTTATGTGAAAGATGTTGATGTTTTGGGTCCTAGTAATTTTTCTTTTCATTAATGAAATATTTTTCTGTCTTATTAAATAATAATTTATTACCTCCTGAAATGTTTGTGCCATTGACCTTCAGGACCACTGAATCTTTGGCTTTGTGGTTAACTGAACAGGTGCAAATGTCCTCATCACAGTGGTTGCTGGTTTGATTCCCAACCCTTTCTTTCGTGTCTTTCTCGCTCTCTATTCCCTAAAAATCTGTTACTTACTGTGCCTTAAACAGCAAAAGATCCTAAAAATAATCACTAAAAAGAGCACTGGTTTCTGTCTGATTGTCTCTGATTCGAGCTGTCTGCTGATCTCTCTTCAGTTCATTGTGACTGGAATCATGTCCATTTTGGCTGGAGAGTTCCCCTCACGTGTCCTGGTAAGCAACACCGCAACTACCACAACAACTACCCTGACTATGACAACTACCTTTAGGCACCGAACATACGATGAAAAAGCTGGGTAAAGAGATAAAAAGAGTTTAAAGTTGTCCACAGGGGGCGCCAAAATCAGCATAAATCAAAAGTTCCTCACATTTGTCTTTTGAAAACAGCAAAAACTTGACAAAATGATGTTTGAGATGAAAGTAAAGCCTGTGAATTTGTGTTTTTATCTAAGTTCAACAACAGTGTGAATCCGACTTCTAACTCTCTCTGCTCTCAGGTGGGTTTCACTGTGTTCATGAACATTTCTGCAGCGATCTTCGCCATCACCGGTATCGTGCTGTATGTTATCGACATGCAAAATGCCTCCCTGCTCTGGTTGTGTGATCGCAGCAGAATCGGTGCTGACAACTGCACGGCTGTGGCGCTCCGTGCACAGGCAAGCATGCTTTTTAACTAAAACCCCAAACACAGTCATAAGGAGCTTTAAAATGTTCAGAGGATTTTACCCCTTTAATGCATGAATTGAGAAGAAATGCGCAAACACCAGCTGTACTTGAAGCATAAGTTAAGATAGATGGTAATGGTGATAGCAGCATGCAGGAAGACAGCAGTTTCTGTTCTGCTTTTTCTCATACTTGAGGATTGAAAACCTCCGTCCAGAGGGAAGAAGCTGAAACCTAAAGTGTCAAGTGTCATTATTTAACAAGGGAGCTGTTTAAAGAAACATGACTAAAAATGAGCAGAAGTACGAAGTGGCATGGACTGAAATGCCTCAGGTTTATTATTAAAAATTTAAAGCTCCTGTGAGGAGTTTTTTTTACATATATTAGACAGCATGAAATTCATATTGATGGCTTTTCATGATAACCAAAAGTAAACAAGACCATTTGCAACAAGACTGATGGTTTGTAAGCTGTCACTTTTAATGAAACTGGAGCGAGGAGGTAGGTGTCAGCCAAGAATCAGATTTTTTTTTTTTTACAGTTTTTGCATAAATATAAATATTTGGTGTGTTTTGAAGCTCAAAAGTCGACAGGGTGAGAATTCTTTGGGTCAAAAGTAAATACTCAAGTGAGAAGAGGACTAAATAAATAAGGACTTCTTTGTCCATTTAAAGTAACCCAAATTAAAAGTTGCTCAAAGGGACCTTAAAGATTTGTGTTTTGTGTTTCTGTGAAAAAATCCCGTAGGGTTGAAACAGATTTAGATCAACGATGATGCCTCTTTATATATGATGTTATTTTTTTTACAATAATTTGTATCATTTAGAAGTGATAACATATTTTGACAAATAAAAACAAGGAAGACATGCAAGTTTGGTACTTGAGTAAATTTTCTTTATCTTTCAACTCTGTGATTTTGATGTTTTTTTGCCTGATCATAACCACTTTTTAAGTATTTAAGCTGAACTGGAAGATTAAGGACATTTTTAAATATTGCTTTTAGTGAATTAAATTATATTTATTTCTTCATTTCTGCTCCCTCAGACTTTGTTGGTGTCCATGGACACCACGATGATCGCCATGGCGTTGCTCCAACTCACTGTCAGTGTTAAACTCACCATCCTGGGCATCAAGGCTTTAATCAGTGAGATAAAAAATAAAAAGGTATGAACCGAAATGAGTCTTAGGGAGAACAAGCAGCTGGAGTTTCTTCATTAATAGCAGTACCACTGATAAGATTACCAGCATCACATTTACTGCCATTTATGTTACCCTTACATCAATTTCCCTTTTCTGTTGGAGAAAAACGACAGAGGAAATAGAAACGAACAAGGAGACATGCATTCAGATTAATCAAAAAGAGAATATAATACAATAAAAAACTTCTTTATAAAACAGCTGTTGTTTTATTTCATTTAAAATTCTGGGAAAGTATTTAGTGTTATATTTTCCGTAATCATATTCTGTAAATAACTATTTAATTCATGTTTCTCCCTTCACACAGGGTGGTAATGGTGCAGAAGATTAGCTGTCGTGGCTGAAGGAAAGTCCTCCTCACCGGTCCCTTTATTTCAGCTAAACATCTGCACTGAAAGAGCGGCCTGTTATCATAACACTTTTGCATCTAAACAAACTGATTTGTTGAATTAAAGCTACTTCAACTGCTTGATTCAGAGGGAAAGTAACGTTTTTGTAATCACTTGTTTGTTTTATCTGCTTCTGATTTTTTTTAAAGATGTAAACCTGCTTTAATAAAATGTGTTAAATTGTTTAAAAATAAAAATGTCTAAAGAGACTTGTTGTGAGCAAAAGTGAGCAGGTTTCATGTCTGCTTTTCCAAAACAAAGCACATAGTTACTGTCCAGCATCCACAGCTGATGTTTTCCAAAGATTTAGAAAAAGACAGTAAAACACAATGAATGGCAGACATGCGGTGTCTCTATTCATCTTCTTAGGGATCCTTAACTCTAGCTACTACTCTAATAACATGTAATAAATAAATATCAGCTTTCTAACATTGTTAAAATTGTGAGACTGATGAAGCAACTGGAAACACACTGAAACTAAAGATATTAGAAAATTAGTCAAAACAAGCGAGGAAAGTCAAGAGAAATTGTGATTTCAAATATCTATTTTTCTTTTATAGTTTTGCTTTTTCACTCAGTTGAGGGACTCAAACCACTTTGTCAGCCAAAGTATTCAAACGATATTGTGAGGCTTTTATTTTGAAGGAAAAATCTGACGATGGGAAGCGTCAGTTTTATTTCTGCTGAAGCGAAACCATCACCGACGTCTCATCTGTCTGCAACAGTGAGTGAGACAAGAACCAGGTGAGTCCTCCACCTTTAAAACACGATAGAAAATGTAGTTTTTAATGTTTTAATAAGAGATAATCTTGATTTAAAATTCATGTGTAAGTAGGATTGGGTTATGGAGACACAGAGGCTAAAATAGAAAGTACAAGGAAATGTTGGAAACTCGAGAGACGTGATTTTTTATTTTTTAACACTAGAAGGACCACAATTTTGCTGTTCTACCTATAAAGACCAAAGGGCGGCCGATCGGTACTAAACCACCTGTGAACACTCAGTTCAAACGAGGCGATCGCTGGAGCACCACAGGAGGGGATGTCCATGTAGATTCTCATACATCCAGGTCATGGTTTTCTTCAAGACTCCAAAATCAGGCAACTGCACTGTGTAGAGTTGAGAAGACGTTTCGCCTCTTATCCAAGAAGGGGGGGGGGTAATGCTGAGTCACTTCAACAACATCTGCGGGGAGAGGGAGTGGGGAGCCTGGCAACAACTGTAGACAGAAACTGCTTCAGCCATAGCAACTGCACAGACAGTTTGTACAAATAAATGATGTAAAATCTGGGGCCCAGGGGTCCGTCCTAGGACCAAAACTGTTCATACTTCATATCATTGACATTCTCAGTGTATCTAAATTGTTAAGTTGCATAGCTACTGTTTGCAGATGACACTTTTTTCTACTCTGGTGAAGATGTTGAGAGTGTGAATGTGAATGTGAGAATGACCATAACGACTCGTGATGACTCAGGTGACTGCAACCACTACCATTCACAGAATCACTGTTTGATTGACAATTTATCACATTTTCATGTAGCCTTTTGCACTCAAATCTTACATGAAACCAAGTTAAGATGAAAACAATCTCAAATAATGACCCCCAGGCGTTTAAACGAACCTGGCGTTTATTTGAGACAGGTGTGTAATTGACAAAATGAGGTTGGACCCTCGGCCATTATATGAGACCCGGCGGCGGTTTGACACCGGGCTACTAATCATTTACAGTATGCAACAATATATTTTCCCCAACTATATTTAAGTTCCCTGTTGAAGGCCAACCTTCAATTTTGTAAATTTCAGATTTATTCCCATTAATTCCCGTGGAAAGTTTCCCACTTTAAAAATTCCCGGAATTTTGCGACCCTACTTGAGCCTGATTTATACTTCTGTGTCAAGTTTACACCCTAGTGTACAACACAGATTTCCACAGTAGGGGAACAATGACAGTATTGTGAGTATAATGTGAATGGAAGGGGACCCAGCACTGATCCTTGAGGCACTCCTGTTGACTCCTGTAATGCTATTTGAACACTCCCAACAAAGAACTTGGCAACACTGGATAAAGAAATTGACATTCAGGATATTACCAGGCTAAAGTGTCCCAGTTTGAGTGTATCTGTTTTTCAGTTTTTGATGTTTAACTTCGTAGGTGTGAAACATGTCTGTCACTGTTGTGAAAGACAAAGGAGTGACGATGATCACTGTGGTATCGGACGTGAAGAGCATGCTTCCCCCACTGTGTCAGATCCTCAAAGCTCTCTGCTACAGTCCCAGATGCTGCTCTGTGAGGCCAGGAATGCTGCAGACAGGCGTGACTGCTGCTCTCGGGGTAAGAAAACTGAATTATTTTTATATTTGGATGCTGTTTATAGACAAAGTGACGGTTCTGTCTGATGTATTAACTTTGTATCTCCACAGACTGTACAGATCCTGGTGGGCTTGTTCAACCTTGGGCTTGGGCCAGGACGAACAAGCCAGCACCCTAGAGATTTTGCCGATTTGGGGGTGGCTTACTGGCTCGGTGGTGTGGTAAGAGGATGTTTATTTCCTGGGCAAGCTGACCTGTGAATGTAGGAAGTAATAGTCTGGAAAAGTCAACTTAAGCGAGTGGGTCGTAGCAGTATGGTGTCTCTGCACAAATCTGAGTATTCTTGTCTTTTAAAAGAGAAGTAAGGGAAAAGAGTGCTCTCAAATCAGTCGCAGCCCATGCTGACAACTAAAAGGTCCATTTAAACATTAAAATATGAATTTTTCTGTTCTTTGTATTTCAGTTCCTGGTCACTGGACTTGTCACAGTTCTTGCTGGCCAGTTTCCCTTTGTCTGTTTGGTGAGTTAAAGCCTTAAGATGCACTTTTTTAATAAATCTAACTTATCACCATCAGAGAAATCAGCCACAGAAGACTCTAAACCTGCCAGAATTAAAGGTAGTTTAAGGAGTTTTTACTTATCCTTCATCGTGACGTGCTTCTTCTCAGGTGGGCTTCACTGTGTTTATGAACTTGTTGGCATCCCTCTCCTCTACCATCGGTATCGTGATGTACAGCATGGACCTGGGAGAAGTCATTAGCGATGATTATTGTTGGGACGTAGAAGATAAAGACAGCTGCATCTACATGGAGTTTTTTTACAAAGTAAGCAAACTTTTACAGAATAAAGCTGATATATCGAAAAGTTGTGTATATTATTCAGTGTCAACACATCCCATTGAAAAAATTTGAACAGTGCTAGTCACGATAGGTTCTCCCAGATTTGTCATCTGAGTCTTTTTTTTTAAAACAGTTTTTTTTACATCTTTATTTGTAAAACTAAATATAATTTAAAAATTCAGTTTTATATATATATTCAAAATCCAGCACACAAAAAGTGAAATATTTTAAGACGTTATTTGTTTGAATCATAATGATTACGACTCACTGAAATCAAAAGTCAACCATCTAAAACTTTAGAATAATATAATTCACCACTGAGCAATAGTCCAGTCCTCAACATAAATCTGAGAAGTTAAAATTAACATTGGCTGTTTCCCAGATAATTTATTTGTTTGTACTTTATACATTAAACTCAATGTATTTTTACTGGATACATCTCTACTAACTTTAATTTAAACTTTGGTAACACTCTATTTGACACCTATCTCTATAACCCATTATAAATATATGTATAATGCGTTATAATCACGTTGTAGCACTGTATGACTTTAGTTATAAACACTCATAAATTATCATAATGTTTTATAGCAATAATCAAAACACATTATAAAGCATTTTATCATGACTCACAAGGTCAAATATTATAACGTGTTATAACTGTTAACGACTCACTGACAATGCCCACATAGATAATGTATTATACATATATTGATGATATAATGATAAATGATCATGATGCATTATACAGTGCTATAACGTGATTATAACACATTGTACATATATTTATAATGCGTTATAGTGATAGGCGTCAAGTAAAGTGTTACCCAAACTTTCACTGATTTTAAACTTTATCTGAGTCAGATTTAATGATCTTGTTGTTTTGTCTTGTCTTTGTCAGCGCATGTTGAAAGCAATGGACATCACAATGCTCATCCTGACTGTCCTGCTGCTGAGTGTCAGCATCAGTCTGTCTGTTCTGGCCATCAGAGCTCTCTGCAGGAAGACAGAAAAGGTATTAACAGAGACACAGCATGAAAAAGTGGTACCAAAATAAGCCTTACAAGCACTGGTTTAATGCAATGTTAGGGGAAATAGACTAGCTCATTCAAATGGAGCAATGTAGACACAGATTTTATAACGATGTTGTGTTGCTTTCTAACGAGGAATACTTCTGTTTCCTGTCAGCAGAGCTTCAGAGATGTTGAGCCAGAGCTGACGGAAGTCCTCCTGACCAAGCCTGAGCCTTAATATTACAACAAAAACACAAAGATGTTTGAGCTACACATAATTTCAGTACTTAATCATACAGTATATCAGCTTTACAAATCAACAAAACTGCTTTAAATCACAATTACATGACCATCATATAGATGCTTTGATATCGTTCTTGGACATGTGTTTTAAAATGTCATATATCAGCTTTTAAACTGTGAGGAAATAAAAGGTAAAAAGTCAAACAAAAAACTAATAGAAAAAAAACAGGAATGTTGGATCACAATATTTAGACAGTCAAAGATTTATCTCTGCGATTGTTTGAGTGTTCAGCATTGTGCAACTTTTTATCAGCAGCAAAAGAAAAAAAAAAGGTAATTCATGCTTGATATAAAAGTAGTGCCAAACTGTTTGTGAGCATAATTTATTTCTAAGAGTTCATCAAATTATTATTTTACTGTTTGAAACAACACAAGATAACAAAAAGTGGTCATGCAGGCGCCAAAAGCGATGAGAAAATTCATCTTGACAATAGTGCCAAACTCTAAGATATCAAATTTACTCTAAAAGAATCAAACTATCTCTCTATACCTGCAGGAAACATTTTTGTCAAAGTTCATCACTTGAAAATAATGAATCCAATCGTGCACTTTATTTTTTCTGCTGGTCTAAGACTTAACCAAGATTTCTTGCACCATCATCTTGTGAATTTGTTGTTAGCCTTGACGATGCAACAGTTCCCAAACGTGTTCAACTGTTTGATGGGGCTTTTATTTTGAAGAACCTAAACATGAAAGTTTCATTTCTGATTCTGCCAACTAAACAAACTAGCCTGTAAGAGAGAGCGTTTGCACAACCAAGTGTGATTTCTGAACACAAAAGGATCTGAGCATGTGACTTTATTATGGAGAGCGGTCTGAGCTGAGACCGTTTAATGTCCTACTTTAAGAGGTTATCATGTTTTATCAGTCTGAGAGGAGAAAGATGAGGAGAGGACTCTCAGTGTGACAGGACCTGTGAGACTAAACCTTCTCCTGGGCCTTTAGGACCCTGATCCTGGTTTCATTCAAAGATTTTGTCCTGATGGTTTCTGCTCTGTGGGATGAGGAGGCAAACAAAGTGAGTGATTTCTGGGAAATGGCCCTCCCACCAGAGATTATTTTCCTTTTTCCTTTTTTTTTTTTTTTTTTTTTCAGTATCATGTCAACCTGTGACGACTCTGTTAGCCACTAGATGGTGCTCATTCTTTTAAATTCACATACAGCCTTATATTGTACATCACTTTCTTCACTGAGGGTTTTCTGCTTATGTAGCCTGTGAACTCTAGAGATGCTTTTGTGATGCGTTTTATGAACAGATGAAAATAAATATAACTTTACCATCTTAATTTTACACAGTATAAAAAGTGTCTTTAGATCTTTTATTCCCAGGAAAAGAAATATTAAAACCAAGTTAAGAAATCGTACATAGACTTGGCATTAATGACAACTTCAGTTTACTATATACTTATTCTTTAAGCTTCACTGCATAGAATAAAAACAATAAGAGGAATGTACTAAATTATAACCTTTGTTGAAGTGCAGTTTATTTTTTTACTTGTGCATTTAATATTTTTTTGATGCAAATTCAACTTTGCACAGCATTTATTGATGATTTTATTGCACAATAACACTTTTTTTTTTTTTTAATCTTTAATTCTTTGTAAATGTGGATGTTAATGTTCAACTTGAAGCTCCTGAGAGGAACTTCCTACTCTTGGCGCCCCCTGGGGAAAGAGACTCATGCATCTGGTGTGCATGTGGAAGTTGTGCGTTCTGCCAAAGAAATAGGAAAAGAAAAATCCCATAATGATTGCTTTTTTAAAACGGTGATTTCTAAACCTATTTGGTGGTCAGCTGCTTGGCCTTTCTTCTAATATCAGCAGTGCATTTTTATACAAATATCCTGAAAATCTCTGCTTTGATTATATTTAGATCAGCACTGAATTATTCCGTTTTTCATACAAAAAGTTTCTCCTTAACTGACTTCCACTGGTTTAGCCAGCACTTGTGTCTATTAGAGGACAATCTAAAATTTTATGGCGCATATAAACCCCCTTTCCTCTTGCCCTTAATAAACTTTGTACCTGTCATATCTGGGAATAAGCTGGAATAAAAATAAATCTATATATTTTTATTCCTGCCTCAACATGTACTTTTCCCTCAAATACAGACTCTTAATTTCCTTATAAGTTTTATAATTCCAGGATTTAGACCATTAAACATCAGAGCACAACAGAGGCACCTGTCTCTTTTTCTTCACACTATAATCCTCTGCTCCCCTCGCAGCAGGTGCGTTGAGTGTACTTGTTGATTCATGTCAAATTCCTGTTGCACAGCGCAGTTACAAACACAGAGAAAGAGGCTTAAGGCAGAGCCACAGGTATGTCTGTGTTTTCCATGAATAATCGGTCCTGAATGATGAGGTGTCACACGTCTGCAGGATACGGTACAGGTATCGCTCACAAACTGATCAACTTATTCTGACACAAAAACAAGAACTATAAGCTCATACTAACTCATAGTTTGTTATAAAAGATATATCACACTATGCAATCCCTGATTAAAGCTCCTATTAGGAGTTTTTTAAAGTTTATGAAATGAACTGAAATTCATATTCATGCTTCTTTACGGTGATTCAAAGCTAACCCTAATCTCAGCAACAAGAATGACAAATTTCATACTGTAATTTTTAACGCCTGAAACTGGTGCAAGAGGGTAGGTGAAAACATCGTCCTTCAAACTTTTGAAGGTCAAATTTATCGATTTGTGCCCGCTTGTTTGTGGGGGAGCTCTGACGAGTTGATCACCGAGTGCAGCGGAAAATTTATGACTATTACTTCATGGGGATACACAAGAACTCTGATTGCATTTCCAAAAAGTAATAATCTTAAATGTTCTTCCTTGAGCTGTGAAACTCCGCTGCACTCGGTGATCGACTCATCAGGGCTCCCCCACAAATGGCTGCTGGAGGAGAGTGGTTGAGTTGTGTTTAGTCTCTTTGCTAAAGAAACCTACATGTACTGTTGATGAAGTTAGGTGCTTTTCTGAGCATTATTTGTGGCTGTACAGTGGCGTTTTGGTTGAGGTTTGCGCATGGAGACGTAGACGTACAGTGTCCAGTTGCCGAGTAAAGAGAGCACCATCAGACCTGTGTTGATGTAAACAGAGTTTAAAAAGGTGGAGAGGATGTCTGAAGGCTTTACATAGTTTCTGGCGGTACTACTGTTTGTTATCATATTGCAAAACACTCACAGCTTGAGCATTGTTCGAAAGGTAAAAGGTATGAAAGGATCTTTATGATGCCTCAGGTTACATTTCGATGTAATTACGAGACACTATCTGTGATACCACCTCTAGAGCTCCTCAGTGGGAGACTTTTCTTTGACGCACAGTCATCGAGCAGCGCCACATAAGCCTGTCGGGTCTTGCCCAGACATTGGTATGCGATGAGGGAGGACACAGGAGCAAATAAACAAGGGTGGGGATGGGGACGATGAGATGCTGACTGAGGCATACGCCAACCTTACAACTCAAGATAGATGTAGTTTTAAGGAGAATCTTCACCCGCAAATTCCTCACGGTTTTAGAGGAGTCAACAGCAGGAGAGCGGTGGTCTCTCTGTGCTCCAGGGTCTTTTCTAAATACAGTTCAAGGCCAAAGCACGGAAAATATGTAAACTCTAACCCTGTCAACAAAAAGAAAAGAACATGTCGATGAAAACAAAAACGTGAAGCTACAAGCTTTCACCTGCTGATAACGCATAGAAAACAAACGTGCCCACTGCTGCTTATAGCCAACTTATGTACTTAGGGGAATTCCTGCTTTAACAGTTGGAGAAATACAAACTTAACTAACCAATTCTTGGCGCCCCCTGTGGACAAAGTGGTACCTTATATTTCTTGCTGATCTTGTCCTCTGAGTACTAAAGTAGTTTTTCCGGGTTAAAAGACTCATCCTGCTCTTTTTTACGGCCAAACTTGTGAATAATGTGAACAATGGCGCTCCTGATCTGTTTAAACGGTATCACCTTGTTTGGCCAAAAACGTCCACTAGTTATGTGTGTGTATGTGTGTGTTTGTGAGTGTGTATCATGACAGCTCCACACTGGTTTGGCTGAGTTTTCAGAGCCCAGCATGGAGCAGCACCAGCACACAGTCTGAGTCCTGAGATCCAGGGTTTCTTGAAGGATCAGGGGTTTTATATTTCCTTAAAGTTGCTCCACATGCGTGTGTCGTCAATGGCCTCTTTATTTAACCAGGAGAACCCCACTGAGATCAAAAACATCCCTTTCTAAGAGGCTTTCTAAAAACCTCTAAAAACCTCTTACCTGCAGATCCAGCCTGGCTCTGCTCTCTTTAGGGTTATTAATGTATTTACCTCAACCTCGAGAATTGAAGCTGATGTAGAAGTGCAGTTCCCCAAGTGCCCACTAGAGGCAGGCTGCAGAAGCACCAGACACAACACACACACTCATTCAAAAAGGCCCATCTTTACAGCAAAAATAAACACGTTTAAAACCTGATTTAAAAAAAAAAGTTTTATTCTGAAAAACTCAATCTTCTCTGCACACACTTGTGCACATGGTGAATTTTCGTCACATGTTAATTTCTAGAACATTAAGGTTATGAGTTTGACAAATCAGAGGCAGTTTGAGAGGAGGTTAAAGGCCTAGATTCCTCCTTTTTGCATCATGGAGAGTCAGCCAAAAGTTTGGTTGTGTCAGTATTTCCAATACTGCTACAAACAGGCTTTGTAATTCTGCTCCAGAGACAAACAGCTGACGTCACTGAGATCACAGCCATGTAAGTCAAAAGTCCTTCCTCAAATTTCCTGCCTCTTGTTGGATGCCTCATCCAAGAGATGTAAAAATAACTTTTAAAAAAATAGAAATGTTAAAAAGTCTTGATGGTCTTGGCTTCTTTTGTAAGGAAGTATTTGTGTCGGTGCCTTTGAGGCCGCAGTAGCTAACCCATAGAGCCGTCCTCCAAATTAAGTTCAAGGACTCAAACATCTGCGCTACATGAGAGCTGATTAGTGACTGACTATATTTAGCTGACTTTGAAGTCTTCCAACATGAGCGTCCCCATGATCCAAACACTGTCCTTATCTGCCCCTATGGTTAAAGTGAGCTAGGTTCACGGTGCATCTCAGAAACCAAGCCCCTCCCCAACCTCATATGACCAGCATCATCCAGTTCAAGTATGTAACCGGTTCCTCATCACCAAAATGACTCCTGTCTCCATTAAGAGTGAATTAAGGCCACGATGAGGTGGCGAGCGGCAGCACAATGTATTCCTGCAAGACGGGCGAATCTTTTCGATGCCTCGTGATGTTTGTCTGCGTTCCTGAGGTCACCTGATGGGCCGGACTCAATGCAGGACTGTGTGGCCAAATCATATTCATGGAAGAGTAATTCTGGTCTGATTAAAAGCATCACTTGTCTTATTCAACGGTGTACGACGTGTAGTCCCCTTTAACCCACCTGGGCACAGACAAAAACCGGCCTGAGGCAGCTATGTCAGCCTGACAGAGCTGAAGATGGTGTGTGACGCTAAAAGAGCAGTTTTATCATTATTTCTACACTTCTATCAAAGTTCCTGGCAGGTACTCAAGTTAACCAACAGTTATTTGCTTAAGTTTAGTTTGAATATGATGTTTTTTCATCGTCTTTGACATATCGGCATTAAGACTCATAGGCCTACATCAGCAGCAGCACTAAAATGTTTTTACCTAATTTGACTTTATTCTTACAATAATATATATATTTGATCATACAGAAAGCATCACTCATAAATGCAAAAAATAAAAAATATTCAAAAAATCTACTTTTTGATTGCTCTTGGGGGCCCCCTACTGGCCACGGGGCCCTAAGCAGGCACTTAGGCTATGTTCACACTGCAGGTCAATTCAGATTTTTTATTCACATGTGACACATATCTGATTTTCATGTAAGTGTGAACAGTGCAATTCTTATTCTTTCAAATCTGACCCAGGCCTCTTTTGTATGTGGAAATAAACCGGACATGTATCTGTTGTGACTGCAGTGTGGACGCTCAGGTCGCCTCATCAGACCTATACATCATCAATATGCGACAAACGTCACCATTGTTCGACAACACAAACAGGCGCGGAAAGCAATTTGTGCTTTGTGGGCATGCAGGTCACTTCACAGACGCATTCCGTTCACATTAGATGCTGCATTCGTTGTTGTAATTTGAACGACCGCACAAAAAGATCGGATTTAACAAAAAATCTGAATTGTGCATCATAACCTGCAGTGTGAACGTAGCCTTAGTTCACTTCTGCCTTGGGCTGGCTCTGTCCCAACCTTTAACCACGAAGTATTTAGGATGTGAAGTGTTAAAATGCAAATTTTTAAACAGTTTACATGCTTAGTCTGCAAAAATTTTTAAAGTCATGGTTACACATTTGTCTTCTTTCTTCAGATATTAACTCTAAAAACACAGAATGATGCTACACTTCCTTGCCAGCACAGCAGTTAGCAGCAAACTGGTGGGCATGGGTGCAGCCAAATATAGCTGCTAGGGGACTTGAGAATTTGGACAGAAAGTTCCCTCAAGAGTTAGTAAGAGACTGTAGACGTATAAAAGAGTGGGTAATAGTCTTAAAATGTTAAGTGAACACCAGATGAATAATCAGGATTTTTTATAGGCAAGCTGCTGCAAGTGTAAACAACCAGATTTTAGCCAGGTATACTAAGTAGGTATTATATTTACTGTCATGGTCGGTCATTACAACCAGAAAACACCTCTAAGTCTCCCCATATTGGCAACACTTGTCAGTTTAGATCTTTTTCAGACTCTAAGCTTTGTCTGAATCTTGCTGATGAAGCAGCATGTGGGCCTCGGCTCGCTGAGCATCGATTCAAGTGGGTCATTTGCCAGTGGAAATTTGGAAAGCACTTGTGAGAGATTTGCTTCGTTAAGAAGAAACTGGGAAAATCTAAATTCCTTCTGTCTCAGTTTTGTTCCATTGGCAAACAGGTATCTGTCTGTTCTACATGCCCAGTATGGTCATTATTCAAAGACTGTCTGAGCTCTCTGTATTAACATCATTATAGGATTTCTCTCAGCACATTTCTCTCCTCTGTTCTCCAAACTGTAACTTCATGCTGTGACCAGTAATCTTTAAGGCATACAAGAGAAACCAGTCCCCTGTACCCCGTATATTCTTACTGTAAAGAAGAGATTGTTTCAGTTTTGTCTGAAATGCTGCTGAAATTTTGTCGTCCTTGTTGTAAATTTGACTTATTTGGCTGTTTTATGCAGCGTTCAAGTTAACTCGGGAGTCAGAAGTCCAAGCTGGGAATGACGTCACACCCGATATACCAGCATTTCAGTTACCAAGTCAGAAAAAAAGCAAAATCGGAGGTGGAAACAAGATGGCTACATCTAAGAAAGTTATTTTAGCACTTGCTGAATAATAAGCAAGGACAAGGCAGGCGCTAAAATAACTTTCGTAGATGTAGCCATCTTGTTTCAGGCCTCTGATTTTGCTTTTTACTGACTTGGTAACTGAAACGCTGGTAACTCAGGTTTGACGTCATTCCCAGCTCGGACATCTGACTTCAGAGGTAACTTGAACGCAGCATTACTCACTTTGACAGGAAAGGTCAGTGGTCAAATTTGGCGAGGCATTGTAGAAATCTATGTTGTTACATGATCAAACATCAAACCTACTAGCACTTATATATCAACATCACAAAAGTGTCATTTCATCATGAGGATGTGGCTTATATCCTTTTTTGGCTTTCATGACTTCTGTCCATTTATTTTGAAATAACACTCGACATAAAACTACTCAGCGATGTCTGACCCACTTGTTTTCCTCTGCACTTGTTCCTTTTTATTGGTTTATTTTGACCCGTCATGGTGATGTACGGCTGCGACATGTGTCCTCAGAATGTGCCCAAGATAGAAAAGCCACAACCACATAATTACAGAGCGCTGTGGGTGTTTCCAAACCAGCTCCCCATTATATCCTTTTCCTCTTTTCTTTCTTTTCTCTGAGCCGTTTATTTCCCAACAGAACAGCTTGGTGTTAACTCAGCAGTGTTGCTCCGTTCTGTGCTCTTCCTCGCTGTTTTTGCTCACATTTAAGTTGTTCACACCTCTGTGCAGGTGGCATTTGATGGGTGTGGTGAAACAACCTCTTACCTGGTTATGTAATGTAGTTGTTGTGTCGTAGTACTGGTTTAACTCAGCAGCTGGGAGGGAAACAGATGAAGAGGTGTCCATGATGAAATGTTTTTAAAATATCTCTTTGCTCCTGACACCTTCATCGGGGAGAAAAACTTCAGTTCATGTCGGTGTCTTTACTTTTTTTCCACTTCTGATAAATTTGACTGATACTAACATCTCCCACAAAACAATGACTGACTGCTCAAAGCTGCAGAAAAAGAAAACTATAGTTCTTTAACATGCAAACATCAGTTCAGAAAGTGTGAAACATGAAATTTGTTTGTAGCATTTATTACAATCATTGCTTTGGAGTTTTCACTCTTGAGAGATTAACAACCCAAATATATTGTCTGCAAATGTTACAAAGCAGTGCAACAAAAACAATCATTTTACAGTAAATATTAGGCTTGTTTTGGTCTGATAATAACATTTACAAAGACACAAACAAGGAAGAGACACAGGCGGAGAACAACATATCTTAAAAGGTTAGTGGAGAACCAGTTTGCAGAGCTGACACATTTTAAACAATGTAGTGTCCATGTCAAAGTTAGATTAAAACTATTAAAAAATAAATCCCAAACCCAAGATTTACACTTCTAATTTTAATTGACTATAACTTTTGTATGCATTAAAGCATAAACAGGAGTGTCCAAGGATCAAACCTGGTCCTGATACAGTTCGGTGACCTTCATCCTCCCTTTCTACATTGTCTGTCTCTTTCAAGCTGTCCTATCCAACATAGAAAAAACATCCAATCAGTGATCCTAAAATAAAACAAGTGTGAGAAAAGCTGCAGATTTTGAGGTGGTGAAAATATTCCAGTTTGTGTTGCACAGCATAGCCAAACAGGTTAAAAGAAAGCAGTTATGTGAGGAATCTGTATGTAAACTCAGTGTTGCTGTCACTTTGCCTAAGCATATTCACGGCAGGGTGTGTAAATTAAGTTTCAGGACTTTCCTTGTGTTATTTTGTGCACTTTTTTTGCACTATAACCAGTAAACACGTAAAATGGGTACCTTTATATTTTCATTACATATCTGGAGACACTTTCTCTCATGGTTTGGAGCCCTGAACTGACCGAGGTCACGGCTTATCTCCACCAGCAGAGGGTTATCTCTGCACAACAGCTGAACATAACATTGACTAGACCAGCACATCCTGCAAACTAAACAAAAACACAGGTTTGAGGGTTCAACTGCAGATCTTGTACCCAAATTTCCTATCGACTTTCTCAGTGCAACACTAACTAATAGATAGCTGATAGATAGCAAAGGAAAAGGAGGTACTAAGACTCAATAAAGTGACTCTCTCTTGCATTTTTTTTCAAGAAATAAACACAGCTGCATGAAATCAAACAGTCATTATCGCTGGTTTGGTGTTTTTCTCTTTCTCTCTTGGAGGATGGACACTTCCTCTGCTGCTCTTCGTGAAGTTTCCCCTTTTCTGTTTCGTTCCAAACTTTTTTTTTCTGCAGGTGTCGGAGTGCAGCTGGGAATCCTCGCACAGATTGTCAATCCCAGAGAGGAGAGAGATAAATTTGCAATAACTAGACTTGACTTTATGCATCCTTACTCCTATAAAAAACTATCAGTAGAATTTCAAAGATTTAGAGACTAATAGAGAGGTGATACTAAGGCACATAGTGTGTAATATTTGATAGCTGAGGCCAAGCAGAGAGGCAGTGATAGACTGTGATTATCTGTGTAAATATGACGTATCCGACAAACATAAGGAGTGACTTTTGTCAGGTGAACACAGTTTTCAGTGTCTGAAACTTCAGGCTGAGTGAACGCAGACGTACAGGGGCTTGTGCTCCTCCCAGTAGTAGAGCTCCTCTGTGAAGCTCCAGGAACAGGCCAGATCTTTGCTCATTTTCACCGTGTGGACTATGCATTCGCCGGGCAAAATCTCAAACAGGGTCTCAGCCAGACTCACCACCGAGAGCCTCTTCTGACTCTGGATCACCTGCTCGATTCGATTCCTGTCCACAGGCTCAGGCGAGGAGCTGTACGACACCACGATGTTCAGTTTCTCATCTGATGAGGGGACCTGGAAGCGGCTCTTCCCTGTCGGGCAGTGGAAGACTTTCTTTTTGTTTAACAGGCCTGAAGGAGACCTGAATATACGCACAGACCACCCCACCCAGTCATACTTCTTCTTGAGCTTCTCTATGAGAGCATCAGCTAGCTGCTGATTGGTCAGCTCTGGATGGTCTCTCACCAGGCGGCGGGAATCCAGCTCTGCCTGCTTGGGGAAGCTTTCAATGCAGTCTAAGATGACAGCATTCATTTTCTCCTGGACCACCTTCATCTTCTCACCCCAGTCTTTCAGAAGTGCATCCTCTTCATCGTATCCCTTCAGAGCGGCGTGGCCCAGCAGAGCGATCAGCCCGATACAGAAGAGCTTCTTCAGCCTGGCACAGAAGTCCTCCACCGGCCGGCGACTTTTCTCCTCATAGTTCAGGGTGATCTCCAGCACAGATTCCCCGGAGAAGTTATCTCCTGTCACCGAGTTGTAGAGCGTGTGAAGGTTTTTGTCCCCGCCACTTTTGCCAAAGTGGTCGAGGAAAAGCTTCTTCTTGACTTCCCTGAACTTTGGCTTGGCGTTGAGGATGTCCATGTACTTCCTGAACTGGTTAGTGATGTTCTCCTCCACGGGGAAATACACAGCATCCAACCCGCTCTTCTTGATCTCATCGTTGATCCTCTGGATCTCCTCCGAGACCACCTCCAGGCGGTCTCGCACCCTCTGAAACTGCTCCTTCATGTATGTTGCCTCTTTGCTCTCTACGTTGTCCAGAGCCAGTTTGACGATCGGAGCTGCGATGGCGAAGACTGGGAAAAGGTCGCCGGCGATACTTGCAACCACCTCAGCTCCTTGTTCAAAGACCTCCATCACATTTTCCACCATATCCTTCTTCTCCGACACAAGCCTCTGTAGCTCTGCCATCTTTGCTGCTGTGAGTCAGACTGGTCCTGGGAAGGGAAAACAACAACATACTTAGAAACAGTCGGCAAACACAGAAAGGGATAGCAGTTTATTTTTTAGATTGGGTTGAATGAGGTACTTGAAGACATTTAAGGGCTGGAAGTTTTCCAAGTAGAGTGTGGTGTTTGGGTCAGAGTGTCTGAAGATTAGCTAAACTGTGTGGCAGACCTGATATCTTCTGTAGCAGCTGATAGCCTAGCTTCCTTTCCGGTTCTCCAGCTGGTTTTTCAACAAAGAAGCTGAACAGACCAACGTCCCCTATGTCCAATACACTGACGACTGACAAGTACCTCATATATCATCACTTCAAAAAGACCAAACTACCCCTTGAAGCTAGTAAAACTCTCCTGGAAACAAACTGAAGCTGTAAGAAACTGATAATAATTGTAGCATCTATTTTAATCGTACTGATGCGACCAAATGTTTGGGTTTTCTGGTGTACTTACAGTTCTATTTCAGTGTTGTTGGACTGTGGCCTCCTCCTTCGCTGCTCTTACGACACAGCAAAAACTGATAAGGAAAGAGAGAAACAGCAGAGTGAGCTTCTTGGCTGAAGGCCACACCCCGTGAGCAATGAGTCAAACATGCAGAGGGAATTCAGCAGTGACAGAGGACTGGACAGGTTAAACTGTCTCTATGTTACGTCTGTGTGTTTAATATTTAAAGGATAAGGTAAAAAGTGAAGATGGTGGACTGTATTAGAATGGCAAAAGGGAAATAGGTACTATTTATCCCTGACAGCTGCAAGTTTGTTCAGTTTAACAAGATGTAGCAGCACTTGTTTACAGCTGACAGAGCTAAGACAAGTAATTAAAACACAATGTTGAATATATTTCACATATTAATCCCCATTTTTTAGATCAAAATACTGCAATGCAAGACACAATCAATCATCTGTGCTTGTTTATTTCATCTCCAAAGTGAATTTAAAATATCCTCTTAAATAAGTGTTACTGTGGCCCTGAGTAAGAGTTCAAAGCAGTAAAAGCTAAGTTTTTCCATGATACTCAGCGTTTGTTGATATGACAGAAATTACTTCCAGCCTGGTGTTGTAAAAAAACAGAAAGTGCTGGACTTCAAAATTTTGATCAAACATCAACAACTCCTCCTTAAGGTCAGAAAACAGAAAAAAAGTTCACTTTCAGAGCAGACCCTGTTCACTGCCTGGGCATGTTCAGACATGTCCTTTTGCAAAACTGGAAATGTTTAACGTGGAAATCCAATTTTGGCACAAATGTAGCGTACAGTCACCGGCTACACAAACAGAGTCTCATGCTCATGATCTAAGAAGGTAAAGATCTTTTCATCATGTGCTGTCATCGAGGTTTCTGACCTTTAGAGAGTTGTAAATATTCTCGTTTTTAACTTGTGACTGAATGAAGCTGCAGTGATGTTTCCCCCTCAGTTAGTTCGGTCAATAACGGAGCAGAAGGCGTGGGATGTGATTAAAGAGAAGAGGTTAAACTTGCTGGGCAAGGGTGCTGTATTCCAGTGTATCTCAGCAGGTTACCGTAGCAACAAGACAACGGAAAGTTATCTGTCAGCTGGTTTGACTCTCTGCTGAGATCTGCTCTGGGGGGTTTATCTGACTGCACTGCAGGGAAATGAATCCACTTCTCAACCATCACAGTCTGTGGTTCACCTACGTCCACAGACGTTCATACAGAAGAGGGATGTTTACACTGGGAGGTTCCTCTTATCATAATACTACATATCTGTATCTCTAAAAAGTCTAAAAGGAGTAAAATTGACATTTTGAGGGGTTCAGTTATAGCTTAGTGACTGAGAGTTGCTGAAAATACTTTTTCTGATTCCTCCACTGACTACCAAGCAACAGTCAAAATCCTATTTAGCTTAGCTTAGCTTAGCTTAGCTTAGCGTGACGAGTTCAGACAGGGCCAGTCTGATAGTCTTCATGTAACAAAAGTTGGCAACACACACCTCTTAAACTCAAAGTCAGACATGAATCTGATTTTATTCAGAAATTTGAGTAACAATCACACATTACTGTTTTTTGAGGTTCTCCCCTGCCCTACACTGCAAAAAACTCAGTGTTAATTCATGTCATTACTCAACAAAAATCTCTTTAACAACTGATGTGATGGAAAAGAAGTAATATCAACAAGACTTCATTCATAGACTTCTGAGCTAAAGCAACAAAGTGCAGACGATCCCTGCAGGATGTCGGATCGTTCACAGTTACTGTATCTTATTTAATTAGACTGTGTTAAAACTGTGATTCCTGTTTTCTACTGATGGTCTCTCTCTCTCTCTCTCTCTCTCTCTCTCGCTCTCTCTCAGGCTCCCAGGGGGTGTGTAAATGCAGACTGAGTGCATGTAAAGCTCTTTCAGGCTGTTCTGACAGAAAATAGCTGAAAGAAATCAAATTTTCAGACAGCGTTTCAGAGTGTTTTTTGCACTTTCTATGCACAGGCTTTTTTTCTGGTAAGAGCCCTTGACTCATTAAACCCTGTAAGCTTCATCTCAATTGTGTTTATTTCTATATGGCCTACATCACAAACTCAAGGCCCGGGGGGCAAATCTGGCCCACAAGATCATATCATATTTGTATTATTTTTGGCCCACCAGTATAATACTGTAAAGTTTAGCACCATTATTTAAAATGTTCTAAATAAGCCACGAAAATCTGGGAAATTAAAGAGTAAGGAAGATTTGATAAACATTCAAGAATGTGGAGGAAAAGATATTTGGTGTTTTATTTCATGCTTTCAATTTACAAGTCAAACATGATTGTATTTTTTATTTCATGCTTTGATTTTGTTCAACTCAGTATTTAGACTTGTGTCATTTTTATACTTTAGATTCCAATTTTAAATTTTAAGTCATATTTTGACCTTTTAAACCTGATTTCAACATTCTCCTTGTGTATTTGCTCTTTAAAAGCATTATTTTTCCGTTTTCAATATCATGCTCTGATCTTTTGCACTGATAAATAAAAATAGAATAAAAAATAACATAATTTTTTCTATCTCAGGCTGTGTCCGAAATGGATCCCCAACCCCTATATGGGCGACTATATGGGGGTTAGCGCCATTTTGAGGGGCATCCGAAACCTGAGCGATCAAATCCAATGCCCCATGTAGGCGACTCAAAATTTCCCATAGAGCATTGCAAACATAGTGACCATCCAGTGGTCACTACGTTTTGCATTGCGTCTTGCCATGTGGTGTCCGAAACCTCACTATATAGTCAGCTATATACTGAAAACCCATATGGGGGTTAGGGACACAGCCTCAGATCGCCTTTAAACTTATCTTTTTATCTTTTTTTGAATTTCCAAATTATTTATAATCATTGCTGTTTTTGTTACACATTTTTTGAAAAAGAGGGTCGACAGTTTTGGTGAAATGTTGGCCCTGTTTGGCCCCCAGATTATGGCCCTTGCTGTGGTTGAGTTTGACACCCCTGGCCTACATCATAATAAAGTTATGTAACGTGATTTATGAATAAGACACGGAAGTGAATCAGATCACGTGTATGCTGTGTAATAGAAATCACAGACTAGCTCCTAAAGAGTTTAAACTACTTAATGTGTCACTGATGTTATGTGTTAGAGCTCTCTAAACACAAATATGACCATCTCTCTCTCTCTCTGACCACTCAGCCTGACCACCGAGAGATGCTGAGCGGTCTGTTAATGCGCCCTCTTAATGGAAAATATATCGATCTGTCCGTGTACAAGGCCTCTAATTGTATCACTTTGCAGCTAAAGGACACAGAGGCAAACAAACATGGCAGGTTAACACCACAGATCACGGTTTTATTCCAAAGTGCACAGCGTCTTTAACAAGTTTGACACTTCCTGGTAAAAGTGGCTCGGTGGCATGAGAGCTGGCAACCAACGCCCAGAAAGTACACAGATTTTGTTTAAAGTGCTCCAAAGTTTGCAGATTCACCCAGTTATCCACTCCTCTTCATTAAATAAAGCTGCGTTAACAAAAACTGAAAGTGTATTTGACGCTTTTTAACAGCGATGATGTGCCAAGAGGGGGGAAATATGGATTACATAACGAGAGACGAGAATGAACCCGATGAATTAGTATCGATTACTTCATAGACCTATTAAAGTGCCTCATCATACAAGTAGAGAGTTAATATTAATGTGTCAGTCCAATATGAAGCGTTTAAAGCAGAAATAGACTCACCTTTCAAAGTTTACGGAAGAAAAACTCTAAAAACTTCCAGACTGTTTGTCTTCCTATTGGTCATGTGGCTCTCATGTTACAGAGAAGAGGCACACCCAGTCAGACTGTTACACACTAAAAAGTTGGGTGTTGGACAAAGAGAGAGAAAAAAAGTTGAGAGTATAATACACTGTTGCTGTGGCGATATTATTACAGACTTTCCTCCACCCTCTTAGTAAACAATGGCGTGTTATTGAAGCTTTATTTACCGTTGCATTCATTTAGAGTATGCTAGCAGTTAGCTAAAAGTGACAGTTAGCCAGGACTTTGAATAACTATGAGCCTGTAGGTCGAAACAAAATAAGCACTTTCAAAAAAGCTATAGTGATTTCCAATGAGAACAGAAACATTCATATTTGTTTTGTTTATTGCAAATTAAGGTAAAATACAGCTGTACAAGATTCTCAAGGATGATTGTGGAATACTTTGGGAGTTTAACCCACAGCAACATACTGAAAATAGCACAAAACTGTAATTGATTCTGATTTGTTTGCATAAACTTATAAGAGAGAGCAATACCAATTACCGCACAAAAATGAATTTAATTCATGATTTTATACCTCATATACTCTAAGTTAATTAGCTTTTGTTGTAGCCTAAGTGCATCCTTAATGATTCTGAGGCCGAGTTGATGGAAACTCAGCGTCAAATTAATATGTTGTTCTTTAGCTTTTAAGCAGAAGGAGTTTGCTGTCTGGACAAAAGAGACTAGAATAATAATCATACTACTTTCTCTGCTAAATATTAAGCTGTGAGCAACAAAGGGACAGTTAGCTTAGCTAAATATCACACCACAATTCAGCATATCTGGTTTTTACTTAAAATTTGAAATTTCTGCTAACAGGCATTTCAGAAGCACAGTTTAGCATGTGGGCTTATCATTTGTTAAAACTATGAGGTTTACCCTTTAATTTTGTAGAATATATTGGGCCAGCGTCGAGATTTCTGAAAGTCAGTGCTGCTCTTGGTGGGCTAAAAAAAAAAAGTCCCTTAACTAACATACAAAAGTGCTACCACAGTTTACTTCTGAAACTTTGAACAAGCAAGATAAGTGAACTTTAGACCTGTTGATAAAAGATTTTTCTCTTATCTTTAGGCAGAGCCAGGCCATTCCCTTGTTCCCAACTTCTCCTTGCAAAAATAAGCTAACTCACCCAAGCTTTTTAACCTTAGTCTACCATGACTTTGGCTCCACATACAATAAACTAGTTTAGATTCCCTCAGATCTACCACCTTGCCATGATGGTTGGACATACCCAGAGATCCAATCTTTAAGTGACTAAAAAGGAAAGGCACCTTGACATTTGTTTATATCAAAGCATCAGGCAGCAATTTATCATTATATAGTAATACCTATTGGGTAAGTGGTTAAATAATTAATAACACTAAACTGAAGCTGGCAAAGAGCTATATGGCTTTCAAATTTCACCCTGAACCTGTATAACAAACAAAAGTGGAAAGCTATGTAAAAGTACAAAAATAGTCGAAAGTAAGGTAATGAATCACATTCAAAAACTCTTATAGAGCAGATTATGCATTAACGCCGATAATTTTTTTGAGTACATTTCTAAATTTTATGGTGACATGTCCAGGTGCCTGGTAAAGACATTCATAAATCTGTGTTGTTCCACTTTGTGAGTTCCCGGGAGTCTACTCCGGGTGGATGCACAGGTAAGCTCGCTTGTGTTTCCAGTAGAAATAAGAGTCCTCATGGAAGTTGTTGGACTGAACTACCTCCTTGTAATGGCTGACAGCATGGACCAGACAGTCTGGGAAGCTCTTGTTCAGAGCCAGAGCCAGAGCCATCATGTTCCCCTTCAGCTTCCTGGCCTCGATCTCCTCCTGGATCTGACTCTTGTTGATGGGCTTCGGGTCAACACAGAAAGAGACGACCACTTTGATTTTGTTCTTGGTCAAAAAGTCAAACCAGTTTTTGCCTCCATGGCCATGGCACTTCTTTCCTGCTAGCCAGTTGAAGAAGAAGATACGCTCCCTTTCATGGAAGGCTCTAATGGACCACCTCACCCAGTCGTATTTCTTCACAAGTGCATCCAGAAGGGTTTGAGTGAACTCATCGCTGACTGTGGCAGGGTTTTCCTGAAGCATGTGCTCCACATCCAGTTTGGCCTGGTCTGCAAATTTCTCTGTACACTCATCCACTGCTGCTTTCATTCGCTTCTCCACATCCTCCATGCGGTCCTTCCACTTCTTCACCATCTCCTCGCCAACCACTCCTTCTTTGAGGGCAGCGTGGCCCATGACGGCAATGATGCCCACCACAAAGAGCTTCTTGAGTCTGGCACAAAAGTCCTCCACAGCCCTTCTGCTCCTCTGCTCTATGGCCACCACTGTTTCAAGCATTGGGTCTCCTGACATGTTGTCCCCAGTGACAGAATTGTAGAGTGCATCCAGGTTTAGATCTCCGTCGGTGTTCTCATAATGGTTAAGGAACTTCTCCATCTTCTTCTCCTTGAACTTTGGCTTGGCATTGACAAAGTCCTGGAACTTCTCGTACTGACTAATCATCTGGGCTTCTCGGTCGAAGTTCTGCTTGTTCATTGATGTCTTCTGCAGCTCCAGGGCAATTTTGTCAATCTCGTCTTGGATCCCTTCGAGTTTTTGGTTGACTTGTTCAAACTGCTGGGCCAGGTAGCGAGCCTCACTGCCGTCTGGATTGCTGAGTAACTCAGCAGAAGCTACAAACACGGCCTCCAGGACAGGGTGAAGCTGGCCCACAGTGGCAGCAAGCACCTCCGAGGCTTGCCCCATGATCGCCACCCCTTTCTCGATCTTGTCCCTGTTCTGCAAAATCCAATCGGCCACGTTGTTCATCTTTGTATCTTAGATTTCAAACAAGCTAATGTAATTTGTTATCCAGAGCCAGAGACTTTGATGGTCCCTGAAAAAAAGAAACATGAAACCCTTGTAAAGTTCATTACAGTGCACTTTCATGACATTTCAGATGAATTATGGCACTCTTTCTTTTTTCAATCAGGTTTCACAAAGCAAATGTTATCAGCTGACGACAAGTAGATTTTTTCTCACAGGACATTTTCCTGACAAACAAAACCCTACAATAAAGCAAACGGTAGGTCATGTCAGCACATGCAGGCATCCAGTTTCATGCCGCACCCTCACAGCTTCACTTAATGACAGGGACTCTGTTTCTTTAAGCCTTGGTGGCATTGAAACAAATCCAAAAAGCTCATGAAGGTACACAACCCAGGCATACATCGTTAGCAATTCAGAACAAATATCAAACATGGTGTGTGTACTCATGAATTATGACGTCAAGTATTGTGCAACATTGCAGTACTGGCCCTTTGGGATGTTAATTTTTATTGCTCTAACAATAGCCAAGACTTAAAGCAAACACAGATGTTCACAACATGGTAAAAGAGGGGGGTATACGTGGTAATGATAGTATGGTTTTCGGTATAAAACACACAAGAGAGATGACCTAACTCATGCTGCGTTCCCTGGAGGCCATTTTCAGATCAGAAAAAGGCACACCCAATTCAGAGAGAAGAAAACCCCCACCAATGCACTTGTTCAATAATGAAATTAGACTCCTCATTATGGACCCAATATCATAAAAAAATCCAAAATATCCTGTTATTTTAGGACTTGAAAAAAAAATAAAGGTCAATTGAAGAACATAAGCTCACCAATGAGAGCTGCCATGAAGAAATCAGTGGTGTCATTTTACAGCCTTCCTATAACTGCACTAATAAGATGGACTTTATCCAGTCACATGCCATCAGTGTGAGTTTTTTAGTTTTTGCTGCACAAACAAACATATCTTACATATGAGATACATAACAAATCTTTTCAGAAAAAGTGTACATATTAAAATTAGTTTTTATTCACTCAAGAGAATTAAATTTCATTCTAACAGAGAAAAAAGCTGAAAAGTGAAAAAAAGTACTTACTGATCAATTATGTTGATTAGTGCTTCAAAATATCCTCAATAAAAAAGTTTTTCTTCTTAAAACTGACCAAAAGAGTGAATTATTCTATGTTGAAGTCAAAAAAGGCGAGTCCCTCTCAGCTCTTGATCAAACACTGGTCCACCATTTCAGAGTGATCTGCTCTCACAGAGCCTCAGAGCTTTCTTAGACCACAGAAAGACTTTATACCACAAATGACTTAAATCTACCTTTAGTTGAGATTTTCTTCAGCATAAGGTGATTTCTCTTTTGTGGAAATAGTGGAATTTTTTTTTTCCAAGATGAAGTTCCTCAAAGCTTCCAATGAACTCAAATGAAGGCCAGTTTATACATAAAAAAGGAAGGCTGAAAAAGGAAAACTTTCTTTCTCTCTATCTTTCTTTCTTTCTTTCTTTCTTTCTTTCTTCTTTAAAGGAAATTTTACAAAAAAAGTTCAACTTGATGAAGTAGATGATGGAGATGCTCAAAAAAAGAAAAAATATTTTTTAGAAAAGGACTCACCTTTCTTACTTAAATCCAATGGGCTAGAGTCCAGTTATTCAGTAGTCCAGCTGTGCCTGTGAGCACCAGCCTCCCTGGGATGTATATATAGTCTCTCTCTCTCTCTCTCTCTCTCTCTCTCTCTCTCTCTCTCTCTCTCTCTCACTCTCCCTCAGTGTCTGTCTGTCTCTCTCCCTTGTCACTCCCCCTTTGGAAATCCTCCATCTCTTTCACAGCATTCCTCAGAAACCCACTCAGAGGGATGAGGGGCCGGCACTGACACAGATAACATCCTGTAAACACTCCCCATGCAGGGACACCATGCACCATGGGAAAATTAAAAAAAAAAAAAAAAAAAAAAACAAGACTGGTTTCTCCCTGTCTGTGTGTTTGTGTTTGAGTGAGAGTGTGAGAATAAAAGGAAGACAAGCTGCAGTGGGGTTCAGCAAAGCGACCCGTGAGGACAAAACCGTTCTTGTTGTGGCTCAGACTGCGTTGCCATGGCTGCTGCACTGGTCCCACGAACTTTTGTGCAAATGTGCATGCTTGAACACTAAGTTTAGCCTGTTTGCAACAAGTTGAGGATTACTTTATCTCAAATAAAGACATTTAGACTTGCAAAATAATGAAAATCTTGTAATATAGTGTTTAAGATACGCAACTTCTCTCTGAATCTGATAGCAAGAAATGCTACTTGGTTGAAGCCTTGAAAAGCGGGATGACATTTGCCCTGCAGAGGCAGTTGGTCACAGCTCAGCTAAATGAAAGAGCGTCTGTGTTTGCCAGGATACACCATGACAGTCAGAGCTCCCTCATGTCCTCTGTGCTTTATGTAGCAGGCCGTGACACAAACACTAAAACGTCACTGTGAGACATGAGCTTTGATGGCTCATTAAGAGGCGGGGACAGGAAGAGGAGGGCGGCTGATCTGCAGCGGGATTGATGCAGGTCAGCCGAGCGAGACCAGAGCTTGGCGAGCACATCTGTTACCGCCTTGCTCCTGTATCGTCCCACTGTCACATCTCACACTTGACTTGTTTGTGAGCGAGCAAAAGTAGATTCAGGCTTTCGCAGGGACTCAACAGTATGTGGCGTGATGGGTGGTACAGGCTGATGATGGTAAACACCCACTATAGAGCGCCTCGTAGCGCTGTGTCAGGACTTTACTTATCCTCTGGTCTTGTATTTGGCGCTTTTTCCAGAAAGATCCAGATGCTTTTGATGTTGAAAACTACCTGCAGGTACTACAACTATAAGTTGAAGCAAAGTCTGCCCTTTGTCGTTAATAGTTTCAGTCTTCCCAGGTGGAAACAGGAGTGAAATATTTGAGGTAATGATAGCCAGCAGGAGGGACAGGGAGCTTTGTTTTGTCTGGCTATGCTCAGCATGCTCATGTCTTTCATGGTTTGTCTCACAGATGTGGTGCAAGGTATTTGAAGCACTGCCAGTACAGTAGACACAGTTCAAAGCACTAATAAAACATTAATGCACTTATTTAAGGAGAGATGTATAGTGAGCAGGTGGTTAGAGCAGATCATGACCTGTAGGGTCTTGTCTCATCCTGCAGCAGCTGATTTACATCTTCATAACTGACCTGTGACTAAGCACTGCTAACACCCTCCCCATGTTCCATTTCATGTTTTCTTTGATTTGTTAGATGTCTCTTTCATTCAGCTCCCTGTCATATAACCAAAATTCTCCATAAAATCCTCCATAGATTTTAGCCCACTGGTTGCAAATGCTGTCAAAAAAACTATCAATTTTGCCACATTGTCAACAGGTAGGGGTGAAATGTGCTGCTCTACTTAATACAGATTTGCCAACACTCACTCTCCTGACTAAGAGCTGTCATGAAGACGCCGTTGTATTATTCACATCCTCAAATTCTGCCTTCCCACTCATCAGATTTTTACCTATTTTGATCTGCGATGTTGCAAGGAGCTTCCTCATTGCTGTCGTCACTGCGGTCAGTTAAAAACATGACAGGATCATCAGATGACTATCAAGCAGAGAAATCCCCTTTACTCACTCAATTGCATTGTCATGTAAGCGACAGTATTAGCCCACAAGTGAAATTTTACAACAATATTTAAATTTAGTGTGAAGGAATTTTCACAAGAGTTACATCCAAAGGTTTATCAATGATTATCCATGTGGTTTATACCTCTAAATGTGAGGGGGTCTCCATATTTATACCTGAAGTGCTGAGACAAGCGGAGCAGGTTTCACAAGAGAGACAGATATCTCTCTATGTAGACAACATACGAGTGAGAAATGACAAAAACAAAGAGAGGCAGGGGAAGATAAAGATGACATGACTAAAGCATAAATCAAATATTGGCAGAGCATTAGGCATGACCTGCTCAGACAAGGATACAGAGGCAGCTAGTTGAACAAACTGTACGAGAGTTTATAACGCCGTTTCATGTGTCAGCTCCTCAGTGTTTCATCAGGACTGATCCACAAACAGTGAGTCGTTAGATGGAAAAGCAGGATTTACTGACTGTCACGCTGGATTATGTTGACTCCCATGAGAAAAATAACGGTAGGCAGGACCGACAGGTTTTAAGCTGAACTTTAAACATGGATGAGTTAAGGAGGAGAAATGTCTTGAGGATTGTGGGATTTTGCCGGAGGTCTAAAAATGCAGCTGCAGAACAGAATGGTATGACCCCCAAAGATGATGCTAAGGCCTATTCCTGCAAAAGAGGTCGAGGATAACATCATGAACTTTTTGAATACAGTCAGAAAGGTGTGGTTTACCTGGTTCCACCTAGTCTACTTACCTCATGGACACAGTGGTGCTACCAAACAGTAACTAAACCCAATCTTCTAGCTGTTAAGCACAGCTACTCAGCTGTTCTAGCTGTTAAGTTTAGTACCTGCAAAAAAAAAATATCTTTGACTTAAAAAGGACACAAAACTCCAAAATTTCAATGTTTTTTTTTTATTGTCACGTCGTTGCTTCATCCAAGATCCAGCAAAAGCTTCTCATGAACAGCGCATCTATAAATGACCTTTTCAGGGTTTATACAAAATAAAAACTACACGACATAAATGTTAAAAATCACAAAAAAAAACCTGACATGTTCATTTATGAAAGAAAAATTGTATGTGTATGCTATCACATGTATATTTTGTCATTATTTAAGTATGTTAATCATCATTTACTGAAAATCACTTGGTGTGAATGCTTCCAGAGTCATATCTGTTTCTTTCTAATGAGCATGGGAAAGGAGAAGTATGGCCTCGGAGTTGGGACTGATACTATTCCGCTGAAGCCATGCAACTAGATGAATATTACAATTTCACTCACAGGTTGTTTTCCCAGCAGAGTGACATTAAACTGATAAGCAGGAACCTGATGATGAACTAAGCTGTCTTTGTCTTCCCAGTACGGACCACAGCTGCACCCTGTACCCTCTTTGGATACTATTGTAATGTCATGCCAATTGTGAGATGATGTTAGTGGGCGGGGGTGTCTGTTTCTTGACTGCATAAAGGATGTGTAAAAATCTGAATTCCTCAGTCAGAGAAAGCTGCCGCTGTTGTGAGCTGCTGACTCCTTGCAAGTAAAAGATATCGAAGGAAAAAAGACATCCACTATCTCTATCGTTCTTTTCAGCTGGGTGAAAGTCAGATGCAGTATTATTTTTCTGACAATTTATTGACATCCCGATTATCATCCCCTTATGAGACATTAAAGCTACGATGTTGTAAATAATAAAAACTCAAATTTATACATCAACTCCTCTGCATAAATGTGTACAGGAAAAAGCACCATCCTATACTAAACTGTGATTCTCTATACTATACTATAGAGTAGAAGTACAGCAGATATTTGGTTAAAAACGAACCTCTTACGAGTCCCTGGGAGTCTACTGCGGGTGGATGCACAGGTGAGCTTTCTTGTGTTTCCAGTAGTAATAAGAGTCCTCATGAAAGTTATGGGACTCAACCACCTCCTTGTAATGGCTGACAGTATGGACCAGACAGTCTGGGAAAAAGTTGTTCAAAGACAGAGCTAGAGACTTCATGTTCCCCTTCAGCTTCCGGGCCTCGATCTTCTCCTGGATCTGACTCTTGTTGATGGGTTTCGGGTCAGCACAATACGAGATGACGACTACGATTTTGTTCTTGGTTACAAACTCAAACCAGTTTTTGCCTCCATGGCCATGGCACTTCTTTCCTGCTAGCCAGTTGAAGAAGAAGATACGCTCCCTTTCATGGAAGGTTCTAATGGACCACCTCACCCAGTCGTATTTCTTCACAAGTGCATCCAGAAGGGTTTGAGTGAACTCATGGCTGACTGTGGCAGGGTTTTCCTGAAGCATGTGCTCCACATCCAGTTTGGCCTGATCTGCAAATTTCTCTGTACACTCATCCACTGCTGCTTTCATTCGCTTCTCCACATCCTCCATGCGGTCCTTCCACTTCTTCACCATCTCCTCGCCAACAACTCCTTCTTTGAGGGCAGCGTGGCCCATGACGGCGATGATTCCCACCACAAAGAGCTTCTTGAGTTTGGCGCAAAAGTCCTCCACAGCCCTTCTGCTCCTCTGCTCTATGGCCACCACTGTTTCCAGCATTTGGTCTCCTGAGATGTTGTCCCCAGTGACAGAATTGTAGAGTGCATCCAGGTTTAGATCTCCATCAGTGTTCTCAAAATGGTTGATGAACTTCTCCATCTTCTTCTCCTTGAACTTTGGCTCTGCATTGACAAAGTCCTGAAACTTCTCGTACTGGCTGATGATCTGGGCCTCCTGGTCAAAGTTCTGTTTGTTCATTGACGACTTCTGCAGCTCCAGGGCAATTTCACTCATCTCTTCCCTGATCCCTGCAAGTTTTTTGTTGATTAGATCAAACTGCGTGCTCACGTAGCGAGCCTCACTGCTGCCTGGGTTGCGGAGTAACTCTGCACCGGAGATAAACATCACCTCAAGGAAGGGGTGAAGCTTTCCCACAGTGGCAGCAAGCACCTCCGAAGCTTTCCCAATCATCTCCACTCCTGCCTCGATCTTGTCCTTGTTTTCCACAATCCAATCTGCCAAGCTGCTCATCTTTTGATTGTGTAATTCACACAAACTGATAAAAAGAGACACTGGCTAGATCTGAAAGATAAAACATGATAAAAAGATGTTTGTTGATCATTTTTGCAATAATTTGTCATTGTGAGTATAGCGAGGTTTATTGTTTTTTCAGTCATTTTTTAAGAAAAGATGATGTCTGCCATCATTACCTCTTATTTGGTCCCTTTCTCTCACAGGCATTAGTGCTTTTTTTCATAGTAAACCACCAATAAAAAGGTCGCCATCCACAATTTGGAAATATATATCAACTCTGCACTAATCTTGTGATTGTGTCCGTTTTTACACATTTACTTTTTACTATTTTTTAACCAGTAATTTTGCAAAATTTTAACAGGCACCAACAGTGGTAGTCCCACAGAGGACTATCCACCACAAAGACTTGTATATTTTTCTTGCATTTGAGTTGAATCTCACTCCATTTTCAGGATATAATCAGTTTTTTCTTGAGCTTGTTGAGTTTTTTCCAATAAGCCTTGAGTTGGATCATCTATTTTCTCAGTTCAAATGACAAATTACAGTCCAGGCCAGTTTGAAGTCTAACAAAGGGGTGATATAAATTAGTCTCTACCCCTCGTCAGTTTCATGTCAATAAAAATCAACAATATGCAGGAAAGTAAAAGATGAACGGTTAGAATTGAGTTGAAGGACCTCACCTTCAGTCAAGTCCAGTGCGTATAGCAGTAATCCAGATGCGCCAGTGAGAGATAGCCTCTGTGACATGGATATATTGGGGAGCCCCCACCCCACCCCGACTCCCACCTTTGTTTACAGCATTCCTCACACACCCACTCAGGGGGATGAGGGGCCGGCACTGACACAGATAACATCTTTAAAACAGCCCCTTTGCATGAACACTGCAGGGAAAAAAGACAAGTTCCTCCATGTTTGAGAACAAAAAGGTGACCACTTACAAAAGGAGGCCCATGAGGACATCACCTTCTCTGCAGCTCTCAGGTTGCAGCAACTACACCACTGGTACCACTAACTGTCATGCAACTGTGCCGAATCAAGCTTGTTTGCACCATTATGGGGCTCACTGTAGCTGCCTGAATAAAATATTTTGTGAAGTTTTTCAGTCAAATTAGTTTTATTGTCTCAAAGATTGTTAGAAATCTCCAAGACCAATCACAGAGTCTGTGCTGCAGTGTCAGTGGAAAGTGTGAAAGTTGCAGGCGAGTTTGTTGTTGTTTATGGTTTCTTTGTCCTCTCCATGAGTGAAATATCCAAGGTGATGATATCCAGCTGAGAGGTGAGGAGGAGCAGGGGGCTGTTTAGTCTTTGTCTTGCTCAGCATGCATCACTTTCTTAGTTTTCTTACATATTATTTAATAATTCTGACCAAACTTTGTTGAAGGTTTACATGTCCATTACTTCAGCAGGTTAGTAAATGTCTTAGGATGTACAGATTGTTCAATGTTTTTTACTGCGCTTGGTTGCAGCTGAATATGAGGATATATTTCAGCTTTTCTCTCCCTCTGATGCCAATAATCGTTCACATTTTTGCACCCATCCAACAGCATTTCTACCCTTCGTACCTGGATTTTAAAACTTCCTTTTAGCAAATGACTAACTCTAGCTCTTTGTTGTCTGCATATGCATGGTAAAAAGACCTCAGAAGATTAGGCAAATAAAGCTGTTGATGTGTGAAAGTAAGGTAAAACACTCAAGCTTGGGCCTTCATAGCAGTAAGACTTACAGGCTTTATAGAGATGAAAATTGAGCTTAAGTGTGACTTTACTCTATGCTAATAATTGGCGTTATCAAACTGCAGCAGTCTTAAGATTAAAAATTAAATAAGATGATGACTTTTCTTTCTATTATGTGTAAATTTTTGTTTCATCAACTGTTTAGTCTTTTAAGAATAATACCCTCCAACAGCAGACGTTGTTCTTGTTTGTTGTCCCTGATAGCTGAAATGATAAATGACTCCTCTGCCTGGAGAAGCGTCTGACCTCATCTTGTTGACCTTGTCCACTCATGATTGTTTCCTCCTCACCACAAGATGTCTCCTCAGCTCACAGGAAAAGCCCCCAGTGTTTTAAACCCCGTGAGAGAATAATGCAGCAGCTTCAAAAGACTGGTAGTGTTTGGTAAAGTCGATAAAAATACATTTTTTATTTTGTATTTCTTAATGTATTATCGACAGAGGAGAGAGAATTGTATCACAAAGGAAATAAACATTTTTATTAATCCTAATCTTGGCAAAGTTTCAGCCACGAAACATAAACAGTGTGTTTGAGTTGCACAAAGTGATAATACTATTAGTTATGCAAGCAAACATGATTTTGACCAGAAATGAGAAGTGATAGTGCAAAAGAAATAATGATCATGTGCTTGATACATCCTGGCAGACGGTTCCTCTCAGTTTCCATGAATCAACTCTCCAGTATTACATCAGTTTATCGAGGGATTGCTTCATAAAGAAAAGAAGTGTTTGTGGGAAAGAGAGGATTTAGTAACCGTCATGTGGGATTAAGCCGACTCCCATGGGAAAAATCAATGTGGGTAGGACTGACAGGTTCTTTAAATACAGCTGAGCGGTGAAAATGAGACCTTGTAGTGGTGTTATGTGTCATGGATTCTGGGACATCGCCTCAGGCCAAAAAGTTGGTTTCAGTACGAGCATGGATTTTCATATTAGTCTTCTCTACAAAAGCAGACATTATGGATTCACTTTGCAACCCAAATGAAGCGCTTGCTTGATAACACATCACACGGATAAGGAAACAGCCTCCTTTGAACTCCACAGCACGAGATCATGACAATCCTAACTTGCAAAATCAGAAACTGAAGTTCAGAGGGTAAAAAACCTCCTGCTTCAAGAGGACATTTGAGATTGTGAGTGTTTCTGCCGTTTCTCCTCAGGGGAAATGTGACGACTGTCGCCTCATTTCTAACCTCCATAGGTGAGGGGGTCTTTGCAGGGAGAAGAACAAAAGAAAAAAGGCCCAGCAGATTTTGTGATAGCGCACCATTTCATTCAAATGACACGTGAAGAGCTTAACATATTCATTAACTTGACGACTGCAAGCCTCTATTTTAAAAGTCCAACCCCCACAATCTAAAGGAGCGTTAGGACACTCAGATCAGAGCCATTCTCAGTGTTTTAAAGGGATTAGCATGAGAATAGAAAAGGATGGAGATAACACATATCACATCATGAAAACTGCGTCAACAGGAAACTCAGTATGAGGCCAAAGGCTGAAACACAAACAAAATACTCATATTAAGTTGATAGCATTTTCATTTAGGCGTTTTAAACCATTGATCGTGTCCAGAATAAGTTATTTTTTAGGTTGTTTGCCACATAGATAAGCCTGGTCCTCGGTAAATAGATTACTGGTTATGCTTTTCTCTTTGAATGTTTAAGTGTTTGTGTTTCCCTTACATGAGAAATATTATTCAGACTCAAACTTAAGGCGAATGTTTGGTTAAATTTACACTCTTACTTCACCCACAGCTCTTCCTGTCTATCCACTATTCTGGTAGGGTAAGCAGATTTATTGCAGCAGGAAATGATCTGGAAAGTACCCTGCCAGTGTTTGGGTGGGGTATAACATTATATCATGTAGCTGGTACAAACTAGAGCAAAACAGTGGGGTGAACGGCACTCTGCACATGTGAAGACTAGAGCTGGAGTCGCGACTCTCACAGAAACCACGATAAGTCTTTCGTGGTCGGACATGACACTACAGGAGCTCACTGTTGCTTTCTGCTCAGCTTCCCTGTACTTTCCCTGAAGCAGCAGTTTCTTTTCAGCGTCTCCCCTTGTCATTTCACAAGTGGATTCTCCATTTCTGACTGAGTTTATGCCTCATGTTCACTGTTGATATGTCTTCAGTCAGCTTGCCTGATTGGCTATGGAGTTATTTTAATGGACAGAGTGCATGCTCTGATTTCTGACAGTAAAAACTGAACATGTTTGTTATTTATGGTTTAAAGAGGCTTCGATTGTCTTCACCATGTTCATGAACATTAGCAAGAACAAAACCTAGTCTACATGTCTGCTGATGGTTTGATGTGAAGTTTTAAAGTCCGGTGAATCTGATGTCACAACAACGCAAAATCTGATTGGTCAGAAGTAGACACACAGTATGCGAAACATTAGAAAATTTCGACTGTGATATGAAAAAATAAACGCAGCAATATCCCAGGACAGGAAAACGACGCTGATGTGAACGCTTGTATTGACAGGATACGGGGTTAAAAAAAAAATATTGACGTCCGAAATAATCGCACGAAAAAAACGCCCCCAGTGTGTGAAGACCTTAAATTCTGTTTCTGTTTTCTCTTCTTTTTTACTTCTATTGTACTAGAAATGGAGGAGCTCTCAGATCTCGTTGTACTCCACTATAATGACAATAAAGGGTTTTCTGATTCTGATTCTGCCCTGAGCTGCTCAGATCATAACTGATTTTTGAACCAGGCAGTAAATTTATTTATTTTGGCTCTAAAAACAGCCTTTGTCAGATAAGTGTTTGTATAGTTTCTGGTGCCTCTGCAGACAGCATTAACCAGGCACTCCTTTCACCTCTTTTTGCTCTCCACTTGTGGACTGTTTCACAGACACCAGCACACCTAAAAACCGTGCTAAATTTGGATCGTCAATGTCTCTATGATAATATTAAATTATCTCTATTTTGACTTAGAGCTTAAAGCATGCACAAAAACGTGTGTATAGAGGCGACAGTCCTCATTGAAGTAGAAGCAGGTTGGACTCTTGGCTTTGACGCTGCGTTGTGTGTCATCTCCTGCTCTCTAATCCCCACATTTCCCTTCATTTCCGACCAAAACATCACTCAGCGTAAAGGAGTCGCAGGAGGGCAGGGCCTGAGGGAAAGAGCTTCCTCGGTTCACTCCAAGGCCTGTTTCATGAAAATAAAAGTGACGAGCCTGCTATCAGCTCCTCTTTGCTGACTGGTCTCTGCTTATCTCCTGCTCAAACTTGAGAGGAGGGTCCAAAGTTCTTCAAATGATGAAGTTAGTTGAGGTTTTTGTATTTGGCATTCAGGTAAATAATCGACTTTTAGGCAAGTAGGCAACATGTATAAACTTTAAAACAATGATCTCCACCAAAGATCATTCTGGACATGAATCTTTATAAAAAAAACAATCAATTGTGATCATTTAACCGGTAATTTAAACATATTTAGTAACAAGATTAAGACTTTATCACTTATCACTTCCCAGCCCTCTTTTTATTGAGCCGCAGTTCAGAGTTAAATAACACGGCTGAACTTTGACCGGTCTGAGTCACACGCCAACGATCTGTGTGCACAACACCGGATCCAGCAGCGACACTCGGCCTCGATACGAGCCCATCTGTCACTCACACGGATCAATACAAACTCGAGTAGATCTGAGGAAACAGATAAATGTCCAGTAGCTGGAAGAAGATGATTTATTGATCGCCAGAGTTCACCCCAGAGTCTATCTTTGCTCGAACACAAGAGAGTCAAACCACCTCTTGTAAAAATGTCGTAGAGAAATGGAGGCAGGGGGCTGAACGAGCTCTACAAACCGGATCAATCGTGTAATCACAGATGTAATTCACTAATGCTCTTGCAGACAGACAAATCAGCCTCAGGGACTATTTATATTTGTGCCTCTGGAAGGAAAACTCCCAGAAGCTCTCTAAAGGCTGAGGTTACACACCGTCATCCTCTGGCCTCCTCCTGAAATTATACCGTATCTTCTTTTGTGAAACCACACAGAGTTAGTTAAAGGGAACTCCCACACAAGAATGCAACACAGAAAAATGGAGAAAAGGATGTTTACAAGACTGTTTCTGGGAAGATCATCAAAATAATGCATCTACATTTTGTTTCAATATTCTCGCCTTGATTTTATTTTACAATGACAGGAAGTGAAGACACGACGACAATGTTTTTATACAGTAAATCTCAACAATTTAACATCTACTTGTTCTTGTTGTAGATTTATGTTGACATTCAAACAAAGACCAATAAAAAGTTGGTTTCAAAATCCCATTTAGGTGGATTGTAGATGCAAATGACATTTACACCCAAGAGTGTTCAGCTTCAGCAGCATCTTCTGTCTTTGTTTTCAAACACTGAGTTCAGACGAAGGGGGGGCTCACGCTGGTATTTGCCCCCAGGCCTTAAATCATTAAGTCCGCCCCTGCATCTGATCCTCTGTGTTTGTTGATGTTCTCATGAGGATTTGATCCAGACTGTGAGGGATTAACCCACTGAAGGCAATGACTCTGAGTGACGTGGCATTTCCTCCCTCGCCTCTTCTCCTTTCCTTTTTCACACGCTTGCACCTCTTCACCCGTAGCTCCCTCTGGGTCATTATCGACGTATTTACCTCCCCTGTTAGTGTTTCACAACCAGACGCTGCTACAAGCATCTGTTAATGATAAAACTCAAGAAAAACTTTTTTTTTTCTGCTTCTGCTTCCTTGGAATTTCAGCTTTTAGTTTCCAGATTACAGACGGCAATGCAATTTAAGAAATGCCTTCAGAAAGTCTGGATACTTTTATTTAGCAAAGCTTAATCATTGCAAAATGTGGTACATTTTTTTCTTCTCTTCAGTGAGACCTTTAAACCCAACTTTGAAAGAGCATAATAATAGGAAGAGAGAGAGAGAGAGGAGACAGACAGGGAAAGAGGAAAACAGATAGTAAAGGTTAGGCTGAACAAGAACAGATAAATACTCTGAGATTCTTCAGTCCTAACGACAGACTAATGGTGTGTGTGTGTGTGTGTGTGTGTGTGTGTGTGTGTGTGTGTGTGTGTGTGTGTGTGTGTGTGTGTGTGTGTGTGTGTGTGTGTGTGTGCTGTGGTTTGGACTACATCAGCACAGGGGGGTGTTGGAGAGAGATGACACAAGGCCTTAGAGAGGAAAAGCAGACAGCGATGGCATCCAAGGAGAAAAGGAAGCATCGGAAAACATGAGGGAAATTTTGAGGCTCTGCAGCTGGACGACACACGTGTTTACCACCCGGTGGAATCTAACTTTAAAGTTCTGCTGACAGATGGTTACTCTCCCTCTTTAAATGCATTCAGACGCACTTCAGTCCTCCACAGCACAGCATGTAAAACTGCGGTTAAAGCTGAAGGTTTAACTATTTTTGATTCAGCGTTATCTGCGTCACTTCACTGCATACAAACACCCACTATTAGTAAGTTATTCGACACTTCTAATCAACATCACTAAGTCATGCAACACCAAACATATGTAATCAACTATTTTAGACCCAGAACTGACGAATCATGTACTGCATTATGTTCATGTTTTTTATTTAACATGAATTTAATGCATAAAAGGCCTCTCTCTTGTGGGGTGCCACAGGGCTCTATTCTTGGCCCTATTCTGTTCTCTTTGTATTTACTACCCCTGGGATCAATTATAAGAAAATACAATCTGTCTTTTCATTCGTATGCTGATGACTTACAGTTATATTTGCCCATGCGACCCAACGAGAACAGTGCACTTTCTCACTTACTGGACTGTATTACTGAAGTAAAACAGTGGTTGGCTCTAAACTTTTTGCACCTAAATGACAGCAAAACTGAGTGTATTTTATTTGGCACGCCATCGATATCAAACGTTTCGATTACAGACTCTGGAAATCTGGCGCCTTTTTTCAAGCCACATGTAAAGAATCTTGGGGTAACATTTGACAGTGGACTTAAGTTCGATAAACAGATTAGATCTGTCGTCAGTACCAGCTTTTTTCAACTGCGTCTCCTGGCCAAAGTGAAGTCCTTTTTAAGTCGGCAGGACCTCGAGAAGGCAATCCATGCCTTCATCAGTTCCAAACTGGACTATTGTAATGCCCTTTATGTTGGCCTCAGCCAGTCTTTAATCTCCCGTCTCCAGCTTGTACAGAACGCTGCTGCACGATTTTTAACCGGCACGTCTAGGCGTGAACACATCACCCCTGTGCTGTCTTCGCTACACTGGCTTCCAGTTTGTTTTAGAATTGACTTTAAACTTTTATTATTTACTTTTTATGCCATAAATGGCCTGGCCCCCTCCTACCTGTCAGAGATTTTAACTGTTCGCGATCATGGCAGGGCCCTCCGTTCCTCCGGTCAGTGCCTGTTGGAGGTCCCGAGGTCAAAACTCAAACAGTGGGGTGATCGTTCTTTTGCTGTTGCAGCTCCTAGGCTGTGGAACAGACTGCCGCTAGATGTACGCACCACCACTGACCTCAGTTTATTTAAATCAAAGTTAAAGACGCACCTTTTTAGACTTGCTTTTAACTCTGACTAGGTAGTCCCGTACTTATAGGTTTTTTAGCACTTCTACATACTATTTTATTGTATTATTTTATTTTCATATTCATTTTTATTATTTCATCGTTCTTGTATTATTCTATTCTATTGTATTATTTTATAATGGTATTTTTTCTTGTGTTATTTTATTGCTTTTATGTAAAGCACTTTGGGTACCATTTGGGATATTGTAAAGTGCTATATAAATAAAATTTGATTGATTGATTGATTGATTAAAGGTAGAGATGAAACTCTAAATGAGTTCAGTCGTTTTTTTAATCTGTTACCTTGGGAATAAACCAAAAATGCTGAAGAAACAAAAAGATCGATCACTTTTATATTCTCTAACTCGACCCAACAGTTTGTCTCTAAGCCCTCTGAGCTCAGGTCAAGGTGAACTTTGACCTGCAAACCTCCCACAACCTTTTAGACATCCCAACCACAAACACATTAAGTTTGTTTTCTCATCTTGTAGCTTTTGAAACATTCATTGTTTATGTTTCCTTTCCCCAAGTTTCAAACTTTTGTGTTTGGGGGCGCTGTACCTTTAAATTTCTGGCCCTACCGTGTGTGAAGCTCCTATTGGCTGATTAACAAAAGAGGCAGCCATCTTGCTCTGTATATAAACCCTGTAAAACTGACCACTATCTTCAAAGTCAACAGTGGGAGAGGACTCAAAAACTCCTGAGAGAAGTCATTGTACTCAAATGTGTTTTTATCAGTTAGTTTCTACAAGTTATAGTTCACATCTACGTCTTTAGCTGAGTGATGGTTTGTGAAGTCACAACAAAAACCCTCCTTCAGACCAGGAGGGTCCATGTTGGAGAACTTCCTGAAAACCTGGTTTCCTTAATGAAGGTAAAACTCACTGAAAATCCACACAACTCATTCATCTGGGGGGAAATTAGCTGTTAGCATGCTCTCTGTCTGGATTGAAAACTTAGTATTTAAACTCACACCGGCTTCATTTTACTAGAGATTATGTTATCCAGTATGATTATGTTAACTCAGAAACTCAGAGCTACTCAAGTAGGCCTACAACAAGCTTAGACAGAATCCAAGATGGCTGCTCCCTTTGTAAGTAGTAGCAAAGCAGTACCTCTAAAAGTGTTTGTGAACAACTTAGTCTTATTTTGAGTAATTTAATCAATCAGACACAAATAGTATTCTTCAGGTTTTATCCAGGGACATGCTGTTGTGTTGCTTTAACCTTCAAACTGTGTTTAAGTGTGTTTTTATTAGCTAGACTTGGCTAACAGTGCTAACAGCAACAGGAGCTAGCCAAAAAGCTAAACAGTTGAATGTGGTTAAACAAAAGCAGAGTGACCATACGTCCTCTTTTACCTGGACATGTTTTCTTTTTGGGGAGCTGTCTGGCTTTGTCGGGGGAAGTTTATAAAATCCTTCAAATGTTCAAGGTTTTGTACGTAAGTTTCGATTTTGTGTCACGTGGACTTACTGAGTTAGCGTAAAAGACACTCGATCTGACCCGAAAAAAAAAAAACTCTTAAAATTAACTACGCGTGACTCCGCCCCTGTGTAGTCGTGTCGTCTTTTTGGGAAGTCAGAATATGTTCACCCTAAAAAAAGTTAAGTGAGCCGCAAAATATGTAAAGTGTTTACTGGATACATTTCTGTTTTATCATTTTTGAGATGTGGTTTTTAATTTGATATTTTTCTTGATCGTTCTCTGACGAGTTACTTTAGCGCCAAAACAAACCCTCTTTGTTTAGGTTCAATTAGGCTGACACTTGACTGGAAAAACACCAAGCGTATCTCTGATTTAAAACATCTTTACTATTCATGATCGATGAGAAGATTAAAACTGAGACTGAGCACCAACAACAAGTCAGCCGCCTTCAAACGCTGTACGAGACTTGAGCAAAGTATGGATCCAGAGTCCATCAGAGTTCCGGACTCGGACCTGCAGCCAGTGTGTCACTGAACAAATGTTTTAATGCTTTTTATCAGATTAGTGCACTCACAGAGCAGCAGGCCGGTCGATGATCCACTCGGCCTGATGGGTAATAGCATTATCCTGTGTGGGCCGGGATTGGCAGACACCAGCGGACAGACCTATCTTACCATTGATCGACTTTTCCCTTCAGGGCCGCTCTGATGCTCGCCTCCATCCGCTGTTTCATTTGTTTATGAAATATTGATATTGGCTGCTATCTGCTCTCAGAGACGAGGAGGTTCAGCCTGATGGACGGAGGGCGTGTGTCGGATACTGGAAGAGGTTTCATTTGAGGTTGAAAGTTTTTCTTTATCATGGGGAAATGTAATCAGTTTATTATTTCTGCAATTAAATCACGATTTATTCTTTAATTTGTCATTTGATAACAAGCTCTGTGAGGCTGCAGTATGAAGCAACAGCGAAAAGAGGGAAATATCTGTGCAGGTTTTTAATACATCTCAAGGAAATGGCAAAAATAATCAATTTAAACAGTTTGAATCTCATTTTCTACATTTTTTCTGTCTTTCAAAGCTTCAACATGTATAAAAAAGCCTTAAATGTCTAACTGAATACATATTTCCTTGTGAAAAAGGCTCCAAATGATTAATTTTTACACACATTATTGAACAAAAAGGTACAAACCTGCAGATCATTCCTTCGATTAGTCCTGTCTACTAGAAATCATGATTTGCTTTTCGGATGTGTTTGTTAATAGCGCCCTCTGTCTGCAAACCCCCTCTGGTACCATTTTTTTCATCAGATTTCACTCTTTCCCTCAGAAAACCTAACTCTAACCTTCACTCGACCGCTAAACAAGCAAACTGGGGCTCCTGCGGCATCAGATGGATCATCTCGTCAGTAAACAGAAGCTCCAGTCTTCCCATAATGACAGTCAGGATTGACGGGCTACCTCAGCTAAAGCCTTTCATGCAGGAGAAGAGCCTCCTGGATCAATAGCTGTTACCTCGGCAAAGCCCACACAACCACTAATGAATCCTCTGGCTCACAAAACCCACTGCTGCTCCCGTTTAAGTCCACATGAGAGAAATGCTTCACACATCTGGTATTTATGTGAAAATTTGACTTACAGTTTTGTGTTTAAGGATAAAATAAAAAGATCAGGACCATATTAGTTTAGCTTGAGTTTAATTTGAGTGTAATGCCCAACAAAAGGTGAAAAGGCCTTTTATTCAGCAGCAGGTGCAGGTGTAACTCCAGCCAGTTTCTGCTCTTTGTTTGTGGTATCGTTCAGAAACATTTCAGTGGTCCGCTCACTGTGCTGCGTTTAAAGACCGAGCTGTGGTTCGGCACACCCAGCTCTCAGTCTGCTCTCTCAGGTCTTTTTCTTCAGTGTAGGATTAAAGCCCGGACATTTCAAAGGTGGTAAAGTGTGTCCGTCATTGTCTAAGCTCTATAATTATGAAAAGGTAAGCAGGTGCAGCATCCTCTGAGTATTTAAAGAGCGACATATTTGCCTTTGTTTACAGTTTGTATTGAAGCACCAGCTCATAACACACAGAGGTTTGGTTTTATACTTTGGTTAAACTCGAGATGCAGTTAAATTTAATCATCATGACTTTGAGTTTAAGAAAAAACTCATCTGTAAAAATGAAGTGAGAAGTATTTAAAGCTGATTTAGGCCAAAACCAACGTATCACAGCTGTCACTGTGGAATTACATCGTCTTATATCATTTTGATTTTAGGATTTTGTGGATTATTTGGGGCCATCAAGTTATATGTTTTTAAAGTAGTGATTAATTGCTAGATCTTAATAGATAATCATGATTAATTGTGTTTTAAATTGAATTATTTTTTGATTCAAGACACTTTTAAACAGTAGCAGTAATGCAGTTCCCACTAGTATCTTGATTCGGGAATCAAATGAATTCATAAAATGATCTCTGTGGTCTTGACTTTTGGATTTAGTGCTGATGATCTGTCACAGTAAATGTGATAATTGTGACATCCCTGACTATTTTCAAGCTTTATTTAGATTCAGTTGGACCTCCGTAGATCATTTGACCCTCTCGGTTTCCTGAGATCACTGAACGCAGCTCTGTTGGACGAGTCCTGGATCCTGTCTTGTAAACAAAGGTAACCAAACTTTTGCAGACGGTTGCATCAAGATCTCCAGCCTCTTTAAAGTCCTTCTTAAAACTCAAACTATCTGCTGTTTGTTTCTGTCTTCCTTGCATTTATAAATCTCGTCGTGTGGGCTGTTTTAGTCTGCTTTTCTTTTTTTCTTTATACATTTTTGTTGTGAATCACTCTTACTTGTTAAAGAAAACGCTCTTTTGATCAAGGTTAGTATCATTACAATAAAAATAGTATTACTACCCATGAAATCTGGAAAATAATTAGATACTTTATCATGTTTTTACAACCACATATGCCCTTAGAATTTTAAAGCTACAGCATGTAGAAAAAGGAATATTAAGTGACGTATAACGGTCAGGATGATTGAAAGCTCCCTGTTCACCTTGTACCACCCCCTCACTGTCCACAAACAACAGATGCATTTGAGGACAAGAACCTGCTGTGATGCATGACAAGTATGACCGTCCTTTTGTCAAGTTCTTACCCTCCAAAATGTCTTTTTTGCACAACAACAACCTCTCTCTTCTACTTCATTTTCACACTGGCCTTTAAATGCCTGAATGTCCTTCAGTTTGTCTGTAGTACTGCAGAAAGATGCAAGATGGCAGCATCCATGAAGGGGGATCTGCTGTATGAAGATATAAAAGTCTAATTCTAGCTTCATGAAAACAAAATTAATTTAATATTCAGGTGATTATAAATGAATAATGATGTATTTAAATCTGTTCTGCTACTACACATTGCACCTTTAATTTAGTATTCTTATTCCACACATTTATGGTTGAGTTTTGCATTGTCACTTGAGTAAATACTGAGAAGGTCATGTTATAAAAACCAGAGGAAGAAATAAAAGCAAATAAAATCGCTTGATCACTCAAAATAAGAGAGAGGATCAACATTAGTCATTAAATCTTATATCTTTTATTGTGTATAATTTAAATTTTGGTTAAGAATCAGTTTTACTTTCTGTCTGGATAAATATATATATTTTTAAATTGTTAAATGTTCTTTTTTGTGTGAGGCTAAAACTCAAACCCTCTCTCTCTCTCTCTCTTTCTCTCTCTCTCATCATCAGCGGTTATTTTCTGCTGCACACGGGCAAATCTGAGATGAGAAGACGCAGCGCTCTTCCTCCTGCACTGCGCTGCATTTCACTGATAACACTGGATTGATTCTGACAGGCCTGATGTAGACCCTCCAGATCCACTCAGATATGAAATGATGGCCGTCTCCACCCTCCCTGCACCTCCACCGCTCGCCATGACTGATCCGTTCCTGCTAAGACAAGCACTTTGCTGCTCGTCTGCGGGGTATTAGCTCAGCCAAAGGTTATTCATAGACTATCATCGCAGAGCTGCGGTCAGGAAATGCTGACTTATGTGTAAATATCAATTCAATTAGCTGTAGTCTCTGGTGCTGAGGTTGCACTGCTTTGTTTTAATGGTTAGAGACGCTAAATCACATGGGTACAAGAAATCAGAGTCAGATATTAGATTATGTTTGTTTACACGTCCATTAAATATCTGCTTTCTGTCATTACCTGCCAGAAAGAGTCAAGATTATACAGCATGCACTGATTTTATTGAGATTATTCTGGTTTAACAGAAGCTGAAGGTTTCAGGTAATAAAACAAAACACTGATAAAAATAAATAACAAATTTCCTTCATTTTATCATAAATGTCAAAAACATAACATCCAGAGAGAGTGGTTCATTTGTTAAAGCAGCTTTCTCTGTCCTTAAAATAAACTTTTAATATCCAGAAAGTGAAATGGTTGTTAATTCCTAACAAAAATCACAGTTTTGATTTGAAATGGGAGCAGAGACATTAAAAATCAAAGAAACTGCAGCCTACATGGACAGAAAATGGCACATACATGAAAACAAAACAGTACAAGTGTGTAGGAAGTGCAAACTAACACAGCTCTTATCACCATTATGAATAAAACACACAGTAGCAGACTATTTGATTTCGTCAGGCACAGCTCCGGTTAGCAGTCGAGGTTCACTAGTTTTGGTTGAATGTGTTTAAAACACAAGGCACATTGTCGCATCTCTGCTGCCAAACTCGCCGCCTCTTTGTTCTTCACGCCTGAAAGAGTAACCTCCGTCGTCCTGTCAGAGTTATGTAGGCCAGCCTGCTGAGCGGAGACAAAACGGGAGCACAGCTCAGTGTGCCGCCTCAGCAGAAGCATCTCTTTAGGTGCTCAGGCCGTTACTCAGAGAGTCTGAATTATTACTGTATGCAGCCGAGGTAAAAGCACAGAAGCCCTGTATCATTATATAGAGTGCAGTGTTAGTGTAAAACTGCAGAAAGATACAAGCTGGTTAGTTACTCACAATTAGCTGTGTATTATAGATATGTATAAATGACAACATATTATTAATGATATTACGTAGACAAAAATGTGCAAACAATCTAAATTTAACAGATTGAACTGAACATAAAACACCTTTAACTCGATACTCTGAGAAGAGCAAAAAAGTGCATTTAAAATCAGATTATTATAGCAAATGATGTGGAACACAAAGTTTAAGTAAAAAGAAACAAACTCTGATCTGCCTTTAAAAACTTTTAATACTTAAACTTTTCCTTTTTAACCTTTCCCTGCCCTACTATATGGAATAGGAATGGCTTAAGTGTTTATTAAATACAGTTAAAGCTCCTGTGGAGAGTTTCATGACATTTAAGAAATGAAGCAAAAAACTGAAAACTTTTCATAATTTCCAAATAAGATCATCAGGAGAGGATTGACCATTTTTAAATTGCGATATTTGCTGCCCAACATCTACTTTCCACATCTACATTAATAATAAATGACGCATTCGACTGTAGGGAGTCAGCAAAGACTGCTTTGTCCACAGGGGGAGCCATAATTGACACAAACTAAAGGTCTTCACGGAAGCTTTAAGATACTGTCTTAGCCAACAATTAATTGCCAGTAATCATATTTTAATCGCAGGTTTAAAATGTCAGTATTTCATATTTTTAAATGGCTTCAAATGTAAAGTAATTCTACGTTATTTTATTGACTCTTTGATTATTTACATAATCTGCTACACCTGTTTGGTCTGACACCATATTGCAACATTTAAAAAAAAAAAATTGAAATCTTTCGTTGGCACAGAAAAAATTCAGTCAAAAAAAAGTCATCCATAGGGGGCGCCAAATCTGACACAACCTGAAAAATCCTGTAAAAGCTGTAAACAATTTTATGATATATCAGCAAAATGATTCTCAGACTTTAGATGGTCCCACACTCGGAGGTACACCACCTCAGCTTCACTCCGAGTGCACACACACCGCCACGTTCTTGTGTCGCTCCCAGTAGTGACAGTCCTCGGGGAAACTCCACGCAGCAGCCGACTCCTTGTGGCGACTGACGGCGTGAACGACAAACCCGCACAGCTGCTTCTCCAGCACCTCCACCACCGCGGGAGCGTTCCCCTTCTTACCCGCACCCTCCATGATCTGTCGGATGAAGTCTCGGGGCACGGGCTGGGGTTTGGTGCTGAACGACACCACCAGGTTGATGTTGTTCACCTGGAGAACCTCGAACCAGTTCTGTCCCGCCACATGATGGAAGTGCTCCCCTGCTCGCCAGTTGCGGTAGGTGCTGCCTGAATGGTTGATGAGCCGCACAGACCAGCTGACCCAGTCGTACTTTTTCACCAAGAACTCCAGAAGCTGTTGAGTCGTATCCTGCAGGCTCTCCTGCTCCTTTTCCTGCAGGAGGAGCTGAGAGTCTAACTTCGCTTGCTCTGGGAAAGCAGCGACACAGGCCTCGATAAACGTCTTCATCCTGGACTCAACTTCTTCGATTTTGCTGCTCCACTGTTGGATTTTTTCCTCTTCTTCCTCTTGGCCCTGGGTTAAGGCACTGTGTCCTAGCAGAGCGATCAGGCCCAGACAGAAGAGCTCCTTCATCCGGACACAGAAATCCTCCAGGAGGCGGCGGTTCCTTGCTACATACCTACAGAACAGAGACCATTGGTATGTACGTTAAGGTTGTTTATTTGACTTTATCACCAGAAATGTGCAACAACTTTGGTGCCAAAGACACATGGAAGGCAAGGACGTCCGACACTGATGCCCTTGGAGTCGAACCCGAGTTACCTTTCAGCAACACAAAGTTCCCAAACATCTGAAGTGTTTACTGATCAGTGAGACTTGAGCGCAGTCAGAGAAATAATTGATCAGTGAAGTAAAAACAAAAAGATCAGTTATGTTGGCAGTCAGTCCAAACAATCTTTGATATTCCTCCAAAAAACTGTTTAGAGAGGGCGCCACATTCGTTTTTGAACCCCATTCTAGCTTCAGTTTGTGCCATCCGATCCCATGAACCCACATTTTTTTTACTTGCCAGCTCTTTTGAAGCCTTGTCCACTGTTGTCCATGTCACAAAGTCTTTGCCACTGACAAAACTGGTCATACGTTTTTGACTTTGAAATTCGGAAAGGAAACAAACTGACCAGAGTAGCGCAGGATGTTCACCAAAGTTCACCAACTCATGATGTCACAAATTGAACGAGTCTTACTTCCCCTTTCTTGACCCTCTTGTGACTTTTTAAACGAGCTGTAAGCTGCCAATAGAGTTACTTTGCAAATAACGATTACCTCACAACTTGAAACTTTGCTCATGTTTAGTATCGACATCCAACATTTAAAATTGAAGGTACGGTATAAAGAAATGTGACGATCAAGCGACTCGCCCCTCCCATTGTACGGTTGGTAGAGTAACGGTAGCTTTAGTGATTAAGAAGCTTTTAACTGCATACTTAATGTGCCACAAAAATCAAAACTGGCTGTTAAGTTGTAGTTGTAATTAAACCTTTACCATGACATTCTCCAACTCTTAAATACACTGTTAGCTGATATGAACCAGTAATGTGATTGACTGAAATAAAAAGAGGATTAAGACCACCAGAAAGAAAACCAACATTCTTCATTATTAGGTTATTTCTAATCCTTGTTTCCTTTACTTCAGTTCACTCTCTGTTAAGTCAGGATGATTTACAGCCCCGCTGCTAAAAGACCTTGTTGACATTTCTGCTGGAAAGTTTCCCATCGGTGCTACCTTTGACACTGAAAATGAAGCAGGTGGAGATTTTTCTTTTCAGATGTTTCACAAGCTTGTACATGATAAGATCAACAAAGAGATTAGATGTACTGCTTTGCTCACAGATGTTGCCAAAGTCAACATGAAAAGAAAGTTTCTCACCAAAGCTTTTCAGCTACTGAACAGGATGTTTGATGAGTGAAAAAAAATGATGTGAAATCTGTCAACTTACCTTTCCACCACCTCCAGAACCGACTCCCCAAAGCTGTTTGTTCCCATCACAGCATCATACAGCACAAACAGATTCTTCTCTCCTCCAGTTTTGGAAAAATGCTCCAGAAACAGTCTGGTCTTCACCTCCTTGAACTGCTGTTTGGCCTCTAAGATGTCCACGTACTTCCGAAACTGGTTTCTAATGTTCTCCTCCACAGAGAAGTACTGGGAGTCCAGCCTCCCCTTCTTGATCTCACAGTCGATGTCTTCCAGCTGGGCGGAGAGGACGTCCAGTTTGTTCCTGACTGTGAGAAACTGCTCTTTGACGAAGAAGACCTCTTTGCTCTGGACATTGTCTAAGGCGAGGCGGAGGACCGGAGCGGCGGCCTCACAGATCGGGAAGAGCTCGCCCACGGCGCTGGCCAACACTTCGGCCCCTCTCTCGAACATGTCCATCGCTGCCTCGATGGCCTCCTTCTTCTGGGCTACAACCCGCTCCAATGGACTGGACATGTTCTGAGACACAGGTGGACAAACCTTTGGGAGGAAATTATGAAGTGAGTTTAAAAAAATGAGTCTTTCACACGAGTTTTTGATGTCAGGCTCCCAGTTGGTTATACTACATGATTGTTTGTGGCAGTGGTTCCCTTCAGCTCAGCTTTATCCTAAAGTTATTTGGGTTTTATGTCACAAACAGTTCAACCAAAGACTGATTATAACCCTTAACAAGTCAGTTAGATCAGCCAAAGCAGTATTTCAGTATAAACTTGATTAAAAAGTTTAGTTAATTGAAAATATCTGATCATACCAAAAGTTGAAAAAATGTCTTTAACTCAATATTAGGACCATATGAGGCTCATGTTAATGTGGCAACAGGCCTGAAGCCTCCTGGAAAATAAGCAGTCAGCTGAGCTACACCCCGAATTATGCAGATCTGTACAAAATTCTTCATTTAAGTCATTATGTTGACAAACTGTTCTTTTTTTAATAAACCACCCTGTGTAATATTATGTTTGCATGAAAAAACAATCGAGCTGTAAAGACCAAAACTCTATTTTTTTGACTGAGGCTGCTAACATTCTAAGTTTTGCCTTCAAAACAGGTGTTTTTTAGGACTCTAATGGGGTTTTCTTGGGTTTTGCATGAGCCTGGAGTGGACACGAGGATTTTTGGACTTCTGCATTGACTTCATTTTTCATCACCCAAAATGTCCTTCTTGATTATTTCACCAAAAAAGTAAATACAGACTGTGATAAAAAATTAATCCAACCAAACATTTTCAAAATCCTACAAAACACTTTTGGCTGATCCAGATCATTACTTTACATTCTGCATTTTTGAAGTATTAGTAGATCTAAAATAGTATTTTAAGATGAAGAATAAATACTTTACAAATAGTTTATTTTCCCTCATGAATAAGAGTGAGTTATTTTAAAGCACAATATAATTTGTATTTGAAAAGGAGGCATGTCCTGGTCGAACATTAACTTCATATAATTCAGAGCCTTTAGATTTTTAGGTGGTGAATCAAAAATGATTCATTTCTAACATACTGATCAATAAACTAGCTTTAGTCTCGTCCTTCAGGGTGGGGTGAGGTTCACTGTTTTTCATTGTCCTGTGATGGAAAAGTGAAGTTTATCGGACAAACGAGATTTCTATGAGGTAAAAGATGGTTAAAATCTCTCTGTGGTTATTTCTGCTGTCTTTTGACATCACCGACGAGTCACTGATTTATGAAAACACTAACAGTGCAGCTGATCCCACCTTAAAACTATCTCTAAAAGCAGAATACATCCAAGCAGACAGACAGTCCACAATGTCATCTAAAACTATTTTATATAAAGATGTCCATGAGGATTGGCTGAAATCATGTCTTTAAATTTTGATCTAGTCCCTGTCAGCTTTGTTTACATGTCATCTAGACAACAGATAATCTTCCCACACAAAAGAAGCAGGTAATGATGTCATGCAAACAAAATGGGGGCCTGAGATATCTGGAGAATTGCACAAATGCCCTTGAGTCTTCAGAGCAGAGCGAACCAAGGCCGAGCTGTGCTTAAAAATCCCCTTTCGTCCCTGCGACACAACCTGCCACACATAAGAATGACAGAGACCTCCCTGTTCACATGTCTGACTGTGGATGGAGACCAGATGCTGCGTCACAAAACTCCCCCACGAATAAATATCAGTGTTTATTTTTGTTGAATCTTCTCTGGATATGCGCCACTATTCTCTGTTGTTATAGCAATCAAAAGTCAAAGAAACCCCCATAGATAATGTATCAAAAAGATTAATAGTTCATAAGCATTAAAAATCTATTAAAAAAGACTCAAAAGATGATGGAAATGTCATGGATACAAACACTTTGACTGTCATGCGCAAAAAGGGGGAAAATGCGCAAAGGAATCAATTTTTACGCACAAATCCTCAGAGATCAGCGGACACACCTTACAGCACAGTCATCTTTTCTGATGGAAGACAGAGACATTCATCACATTATGATACTAACTGCACTTTTCTGTACCTTATTCAAATAGCTCTGCTGCTCCTTCACGCCTGATGAGATCCAACAGCTGCAAACAAGGTTTTTTTTTTCCTCCAAGTTTGAGAAAATTCCCACGGTTCTCTCACCCACCGAGGAGCTGGAGAGGGGTCCAAAACGGAGAGGAAGAAGGAGAAGATGCGCATTCAGAGTCTGCAAAAGAGAGAGACGGAGGGAGAGAGTGAAAGAGAGAGGGAGAGAGGAGAAGGGAGAGAGAGAAAGACAGGCTGAGAGCGCAAACTGCAGGAGGTAAAATGTGCGGTCGGCTCCATTTTCCTCTCAGTCTCCACCAAGAAAGGACGACTGTCACACCTTACAACCACAGGGAGCTGTATTTACGCATGTTTGGTGATTTTTCTGAAATGTTTCTTAAGGATTTTATTCCTGTGGAGAAATAACTTGAACATTTGGTCTCATCTGTATTTTACTTCAGCTGCTGTGAATGTCAAAGGATCCAAATTCAGGTAAGACGATCAAATTTATCTGTTGTCTTTTTTTAAATGTGAATTTGGATTTACGCGCCAGAGCTTTCATATTCATACAAATACTCCTTTAAATCTTTAAATAGGGAGGTTCTTTAAATACACGACTGTGAATCAAACACACCCTGGACGTTTGAATGTGGATCAAGATTCAAAGCCTTTGGTTTCATGGTGTTTTGAATATCTATAAGGAGAATCTGCTGTTTAAATATGTTTATACATCCGTGCGTAAAAATACATATGGGAACAAATAATTGGAAATCGTGCCAAATCCTATATAGCTTGATATTTTTATTATTCATGACTTTTTGATGATCACATTAAACATCTCATCTCCGCGTCTGTGCGCACTCGACGCGCCCTGTGAGCGCACAGCCTGAGCCTCTCCACCGAAAAAAAATCATTACGCAAATCGTTTTTTTTTTTCCTCCAAACAATGAATGCCTTCCCCTTCATCCCGATTTCTTTGATTTATGACCCTGGATTTAATCTGAAAGTCTGAAACTGCGCTCATTGTCTCCAGGTGAAACGGCTTCCCAGACACGAGCTCGTCGTGCAGAGAAAACGAGCACCATCACATGATAAATGAGGTGCGTCGGTGTTTCAAACAGACTCATCCTGCGGTCTACAGAGCAGGTAAGAACCTTTAAATCTTCGTGTGTCACTGATCTGCTTTTCAGGTGCAAACATGCACTTTTTCCTGTTTTTGTTCCCCAACTCTGAGCCGAGAGTCAAACCAGTTCAGCTGGAAAATGGTGCATGAGGGCCATTCCAGAGGTACTTAACCCAGGCCATGTGCCCGCTTTACCTCACCTCAGGTAGACACGATCGTCTCCTCTTTTCCACCTTTACATTTATGCAGGAACATGCGCGTGCAGGCCAGACAGCTGATCTATAGGTGACACATTAACCAAAAACAGGATGTCAGAGTTCGTCTATTGGGAGATGTAGAAATAACAGATGTGGTGCTTCAGCCCTGTGGGCCCCCTGGGGAGTTCAGTGAAAACAGGTGTGCAAACGAGGAGCTCACGCCCTCAAGTGGACGAATCATAAACTGCATCGTTTAGTCTCCCTCTTAATGCATCACTGCACATTTTCCACGATTATCAAATTACAAACCATTTAATCTAAAAACTGTTTGTTTTTTCTCCCAAAAAGGCTTTTTAGATTTCCACTTTGTTTAAATACCATTAAATATGATCACAAAAGGAATTAATCTGACATCAAACCCATTAGAGCATTTATTACAGTCATTTTATTACAATCATTTATGACAAAGTGAAAGTAAGTATTTAAAAGCTGAAGTTTTATACCAATCAGTCAAATAGATAGAACTGATAAATTTCAACAAATCCTCAAAAAATACCTAAAATAATGTGACAAAAATGAAATAGTGATTCTAAAAGTGGACCAAAAAAAAGGCTTAAAAAACACAAGATTAACAGTTAGAGATAAAACACCCTGATGAAGATACACCACCATGTGTTTAACTGTCCTTGTTTTTTTATATTTATGTTTCCTCATATGCAGAGGACATTACCAGTAACACAATGTACCTAAAATGACGTCTAAAATAGGCACAAGCTGAATTACTTAAACAAAGAGAAATTTTTTAAAATTACAAATAGCTTCACTCATAAATGTGGTTACAAATATACAAATATGAACACTGACATTTACACATGTATATAAATCCACAAACCTGAGGGATCAGAAAGGGTTTTTGTTTTGTTTAAAGCTTCTGTGAGGAACTTTTGGATCCCCTTGTGGACAAAATGCACTTTACTTTTCTTGTCCTCTACATGCTGAAGTTGTGTCTTATGACATAAAACCCCTCATCTTATTTAATGTGAGGACTTTCAGGAAATCTAAAATGTCTTTATGTGACAGACACAGAAAAGACGTAAGTTATGTATGACGTCTGTTATTTACCCACACTAGTGATAGTATGATCTAGTATTTCAGTTAGTGTACAGGTTAAAGGTGTAAAACTGTAGTTGTTGTGGAGTTACTCTTTATTCGTGATACCCTTTATTTTGTGGTTGTGTTGTTTTTTGGTTCCTGCAGCTAAATTAACACCACGTTGCAGTAATTTTCTACAGATTTTTTCATGATAATTAAGAATAACACTCGTCCAGATCTTCATTACTCACTCATGTTTATTTATAGTGGTACATGTACAATCAGGCAGCAAAGATTTATAACAAAAAGGCGACATATTCACAAAAAGCCTTTCAGAGGTTCTTATAATAATCCTCCATATAACAGCATTTTGACTATATTCTCTTAATGCAGCCTTACACTGAGTCTGACGTAACAACAGGAGAGATGGTACAAAGTGAAAAAACAATCAGAGCTGGGTTAGTTATCGAGAAGATGAGAGTTAAACTTCTATAAGATATGAAAACAGTTTTTATTTGAGTGTTTCTATAACCGTCTGATTCTTTGAACCGTCCTGATGCAGAAATTAAAACCAGCTTCTTACCACCTGTCTACTAAAATAAAAATAAAACAATTTACAAACATAATTCAAGCACAAACTAACTTGTAGCATAAAGACCTTTAATAAAACATAATGCCGTACACAAAAATATGTGAAAATCTTTCAGAAAAACACCCTTAAAATAAGAATAATACAAAATGAATGGCACATTTAGGCACTGTTGGTCGGAAGAGGAGGTGTATGAGGAGACGGAGGAGAGACTGAACTGTAAAATAAAATAAAATTAAGGGTCTGTAAGTGTTTGTTTTATCTGCTCCAAATGGCCACACACCAAAGAAACCCAAAATAATCTTTATTTTTATATTACAAATATACTCGGTGCAGCTCCTGCTGTGATTTAAGGCAACAGGAAACAAAGAGAGACAGTAAAGAGAAAACAGAGACAGAGGTTGACGGTGTGACGTCCTTGATTACTTTAACAAAAAATCAAATAGGTAGTGAGAACAGAAGCAGAACTGCAAACCGTAAATTATACTTAGTGTTTCCTTCTTTGGTTTGGGTGTAGTGTTCAAACAGAACAGATTTTAATGCACAAATTTAGAGTTTTTAATCTTTACTTTATATTTCTAACTAAAGACAAAGAAAGACCTCGTTCAGCTGCATAAATTAGTGTTAAATTAAAACACAATGTGGCAGATACTCGTGTTGTTAGTGATACATGATCATTATTCTGTGTTTTTTAGTGAAGTCACATTCATGGCTGAGAAAACTTATGGATATCTGCCTCTATTTTTTCTTCTTTCAACATTTTCTTTATCGTAGTTTAATCTTAAACAGCTTAGATGTCATGCAATGCAACAGTATGACAGAAACGGCTCCCTCTAGTGGACACACATTAGTATGACAGCAGCCTGAGTAGCTTCCTATTAAATACGCCACTGTTGTTGTTAAGCTTTTCTATGATTAGTCACTCGCTCTTACTGATCGGGTTTCTTGTAGTGTTAAAGGAGTAATTAAAACAACGACAGTAAGTGCGTAATGATTCGGACGATGTTGCAAAGTCAAACATGTAAAGTGAGTCCTAAGTGCATCAAAGGTTGATTTAAACTGTTTCTACATGACGCTCTGACATTATCATGATAGTGTTTTTATATATAGTGTTAAGTTTCGTGCTCACATTGAGTTGTCAGGGCGATAATGACTCATTACAGAGATAATCTTTTAGCTAACAAGCCTCACAGTGTCACTGTCTATCAAAATAACCAGATTTATATCAAAGAGTATGAGCCAATATTTCGTTTTGGGCTGTATCTACGAGCATGTGGCTCAGTCTGTTTGGTTTTGAGTGTGTAGTGTAGTTAAAATCAGACGTATCGTTGCTCACTCCAGCTGGATGTTCAGGCAGTGAAGCGGACGTTTGCAAAGTGCTCACAGGGAAAGAAAAGGAAAAGGAAGTGGTAGGAGTCTCAGAGGGAATGTGGACACTTGAGTCCTGAAAGTGAAAGCGCAGCAGCAGCTCTTCTTCACTCTCCTGCGTCTTCATGTGCACCTGGAAAGGGCCTCCTGCATCTTCTCCTGCACGTGCTCCATCTTCTCGGCCCACTCCTCGCTCAGACCCTCCTCGTCGTCTCCGATGATGGCGGCGTAGCCCATGAGGGCGATGAGGCCGATGCAGAACAGGTAGGTGAGGCGCGTGCAGAGTCGCTCCATCGTTTGGCGGTCGCCCTGCGAGTGCTTCAGGTAAACCTCCAGGATGGGCCGGCTGAAGAGCTTGGGTTTACCCACCACGCCGTCGTACAGCGTGTGAAGGTTCTGGTCTCCCATGTCATTGGCGTAGCTCTCCTCGAAGTCGTCCTTCTTGTTCTCGCGGTGCTCGGGCCGCGCCTCCACCATCTCCATGAACTTCCTGAACTGGTTCTTCAGGTTCTCCTCCACGCGGCAGTACTGGCCGTCCAGCGTTTCCTTCTTGATCTGAACCAGCGTGTTGCGGTTCATCTGGGAGAGCTGGTCCAGCCTCTTGTTCACGGAGCCGAACTCACGCTTTAGGGTGCGGATGTCCTCGTCATCGATGTGGTGCAGCACCACTCGGATGAGAGAGCCGGCCACGCCAAAGATGGGGTTAACCACAGCGGCTGCAGAGGAGATGGTGGCCACACACTGCAGGACTTTGCACAGACCCTGCTTCAGCTTGGCTCGGTCCTCAACTATCTCCTCGTCCATCACGGTATCCATCTGGGCGGATGTTGAAGTCACCTTGGCGGCGTCTGGAGAAAGATAAAGAAAACAGTTTAGTGGTGTTCAGATTCTTAAGGCCACGAAAATTAAGACTCTAGTTCAGTTTTAAGAGCTGGTCCAAGAGTTCCTCGTGATTCTCCAAGGACAGAAGTCATAACAAAGACACTATTGAGCCGAGTCATGGTCAGAGGTTTCAGTCTGTTCAAGCTTGACTCAAACAGAGTTTCCACCAGGTGGTCCAGTTGGATTCAGTACACTTCAGTACGATTTGGCACCATTGTGTCTCCACAGCAATCAATCAATCAATCCAATTTTATTTATATAGCTCCAATTCACAACAGTCGTCATCCCAAGACGCTTTTCAAAGAACAAGAGCAGGTCTAAACCGTGCTCATTGTTGTTGGCTGCAGGACGGCTTTAAAAAGACTTAACCACGTGTGTTTTTGATGCTCTGCTCTGAAACGCCTTTGTGTTCTTCAAATTCAAATTCAACTTTATTTGTATGGCACTTTTCAGACAAAAAAAAAAATGTAGTTCAAAGTGCTCCCACCCACACACACATACAAAGACACACACACACACACACACACACACACACACACAAGCGCACACAGAGTGAGATTTTAAGCTATATTGTTAAAGAGACGTGGCCTGACACAGAGACATGACGTGAGGAAAGAGCTACCTTAGGAGACACTGGAGATAAAATTGTTTAAAAAATGGTAAAAAGACTAAAACCTGATGGACTAAAACAAGAAAATAATATTAAATTAACAGATAAGAGCTCTTGACCCTGTAAAAAGGGGAAAAAGAAGTAAAAACCTCTATGACGGGAATTAGGAAGAAGACTAAGAACAAAGTTAATTAATTTTCTTAATTATTAAGAATAAATCAAAGGTTTAATCAGCCATGATCTGACTCTTAGACATCATAGCTTTGCTTTCATAATGTTGAATCGTTTGGTCACAAAACTATGTAAAAATCCAGTCTAAAGAAAAACAAATTTAAAGATTAACTAATTAAAAACTAAAGCTGTACTGTTGGTATGATATTAATGTATAAATCCACAGTTAGAGCCTGTTTGACAGTTAAAGAAAAGGAAAGATAAACGTGTTTTTATGGTCTCAAGGCTCAGTGTTACAGGCAGCTTTCACAGCTAATAGATCTGCTCTCTTTCGATCTCAGAATCAGTTTACAGACGACAACCACATCTGATCTATTCGTTTCATTTACATTGTTCTGACATCCTTTATACAGAGTAAATCATGTTCAGTTCAGCTCCACAGCAGCTTATCATCGATGAAAAAACGATTATTTCAGTTCTGTTCAGCCTGATTTGATTCAGTCTGACTGTGACTGTAAATGTTTGGACAGTCACACAGAGCGAGAAGAAGCATTAGATGGTGGTTCAGAAACTGACGGGCTGAAGAAATGGACGTTTTTGGAGCATTTTTAGCTTCTTACTTGAAGTTCCTTCTCTTGAAGCCCGCACAGGAGCCTCTGTCTGGGTTGTTATGGTGAGAGAGAGACTCTGGTCCTGATCGGGGGATTTCTGCAACAAAAGACAAACAGAGATTCAGAATTAAGAAGCACTTGAACCCCTGAAGAGTCATTGTGTCCCTTTCTTGCTGCAGTGTTCAGCAGTGAAAGAGTTAACAGCCTCTCTGCTTCACTGTGACACCGCTCCTGCCTTTTTCAGCACCAGGCTGCTCTGTGTGTGTGTCTATGGGAAGAGCTGATAGCTCCCCGACAGCAGGCATGTGGAGACGCTAACATGCTGCAGCTAAAGGGCGTTACCTACGGCTGAAGCTCTCCACTGCAGGACGGCGAGAAAACAAACAATGAGACAGCTGACTGAGCTGTGAGACTTGTTTGTTATGTAACAGGAGCTGAGATAGAGACATAGTATGAGCTTTAAGTGACGTTTAAAAGCTGGATTTCAACGTTTTTAGCCAAATTTGTGTGAGATGAGAGAGTGTTCAGTGAAAGCTTTTACAGCAGGATCATTCAGGGATGTTTTCACCCCTTCACAGAGATAAATGACACACTAAAATAACCACAGAGCTGAGTTATGGTCATGCACTCCTCTTAAGTGCTCTGATATCTTCCACTTCACCTCACTAAGTCAGTCATGGCTCTGCCTGTGTGTCCCAGTCCTTCAGACACTCTGAGGTTAGGACACGGTCACAGAGATATCACAGCACTGGATACTTGAACAGCTGATGACCATGACGCTGTGCAAGTCCAATCAGACTCTGAGAAACACACACAGCATGTTAAGAGGAGACCGACGTGTGTTTTTCCTCTTTTGTTTCTGTTTTTAGTACCTGTGTCGACCAGAGAGGGCAGTAATTTACCTCTAATGACAGAGACGCCCATGTTATCCTCTGTCTGATTTCAGCACCACCACTGTGGACTGACAGCAGTGACGCTCAGCAGCTGGATTTAACCCTTTAAACTCAGGATAACTTTAAATGATGTGTTTAAATGCAAAAATCCAGCAAAAAAATGTTGAATTTTCGCATTATGTAAACACTCAAGGAGCCTAAACTTAAAATATCCTGCAAAAAGACATAAAACTCCCCTAAAAATGTTTGTTTTGCAGAATTTTATCCTTTTAATCATCACATAACCTCAGCATCTTCACATAAATGTAAACTTTTTCAGCTTTCTCCATCGATATCTAACAATTAGGAGAATTTTTGTAATATTATTTGTACTTTTAAGTAAATAAATCACCAGCAAATCTTATTCACGTTTAATAATTCAGTTTTGTTATTCTTGTTTTCACAGATGGTGCTTGGCAACAGAAATCCTCAGTTTCTCGACACCGCAGGGCGAACTAGCAGTGGCGACACAGGTAATGAAAGGGTTAATATCATATTTTGACACAGTTGCGACACCCTGAATCAATAATAAGATGCATTTCATTTGAATTATTGATAATATAAGCTTTGTTTTTCATAAATGTAATGATTTTGATTCATCTACTTTAACCCTGAAGCTGCATTTTAATCTGAAACTGAAAATTAACTCTTTGCGTGCATCAGATCAACCCCTAGATTAACTCTAGATCTTAAGATGAGTGTATTTAAGAATGATTTTAATTAGTTTTTGCTATTTTTAATCAATCTCAAGGCTAATAATTATAGTTTGAGATTGTGTGAGTCTAATAAGTTTATAAAAATTGTAAATGAAGTGAAAATCAGATGGATTTAAAAGGTAAAAATGTATATAATTGATCAACCAATCAGGGCTCAGCAGCAGCATGGCCTTTAAAAAACACATGACCCAACAACACACCCACATGTCAGTCAGAGAGCCTCAACTTTTACTCCTGTTGAAATGACAGGATATTTATAAGCATATAAAAGCAGAAGAAGATGTAAAATGTTAATAATTTTAATAAAAAGACATTAAAGTCCATGTTATTTAGACACAGAGGAGCTCTTTCTGATCAATCAGGAAGTGTCAGGTTACTCTCACATACCTGCCTTCACTAAAGAGGCCATCTTGAATGTTTTGAATGCTAATGCTAATCCAAATATACTCGTTTTATTCTTTTAAAACCGCTCTTTAATGATTTAATTCCCGTTTTCAAAGCTTTCTTTTGTACATTTCTTCCACTTCTCCGTGTTTTCTGTGTGTATTTAAAGATAACAGCCTGTGTCACACTTGGAGCTCCTCTCTAAGGAAGTGTACACCCCTGGGTCTAATGTTGTCCTAACATAAAGTACACTAACTAAGACAAACATACAACAATGAAGAATCTTCCGGACTTCTTGAGTCTGTAAGTATTAAAATCAGTCTTACATCCTCTCTCCAGCAGCACAGGGCCACATCACAGCCTTCCTGCCCAGCTATGGCTCCCCCTAGCCGTGCCTCCATATTTCCTTGTTAATGCACACCATAATGCCCTGACCCTCCCTTCTCTCTCACACCAAAAATATACCAAAATACACACTAAAAGTTTAATTTCTCTGTCAAAATGTCGAGATTATAGTCTTAAACTGCCTTCCAGCCAACATTGGGCACCATAGGCCAAGGCAGGAGAGAGGATTTCTTACCTTTTTGACACTGGCTCTGCCCAAACTTCCCTCTTCAGAGTCCCAAGCTCGACAGCCTCTTTCTTCTTCCCAGCAATCCCTGCAAAAAAGGACACTTCCATGTATGTCTGTTGTGTAGGGGTGTCCAGATTGGTCTTTACCATTTTTAAAAGCCCCAGAGAGCCCCCAGAACCTAGAATTGGCCATTTTGGAGCCAAATAATCATATTCTCCAAAATAAAATTATAAAATAATAATTTTTAATCCAAAATTAGCAAAACCCACTCCTCACAAACACCAAGTCCTACCCCCATATTCTCAACTTATTTTGGTCCATCCAGCAGTCATACACTTGATACAGAAGCGCAATTGTCACTCAGTGCGCAACTGAACTCTCAGACACTTTCTGCCGCCTATTGTGCGTTGCCAAGCCCTGGGGCATCTTTGGGAGACTACAGAACATCCACTGGTGATATTTTTGAGTCAAAGAGGTCCTGTTCGGTTGGAATAGACCAAAATACCGGAAGAAAAATATTTACAATCGCGTAGAATCCAACCAGACCACTGGACCGCTATGGACCCGAATTGGCATCTCCAAAAGTGCGCAGGTGTATCCAAAGACTCTAGGAGCTCTCCAAAGACCCAAGAAGGAAAAATATTGAGTTTATCCAGCTGAAAAGGTAATATAGATTATAAATGTTCTTAAACTCTGCAAAATATACCCAGAAATAGAAGCTAAACTCATAAAAAGGTCGAATTTGAGGTCCATTTTTAAGCTAAAGGCAACAGAAAATGTTCCACAGAGCGCATGTGGCTAACTGAGAGTAAAGCTAACAATAAAACTAATTTACATTAATTAAATAATTATTTATGATTGCTTTAAAACAGACAACACAGTCCCATGGTAAAGGAATATAAAGGACAACCCACCTTACCAAGAGTGGCCGTTAAAGGGTCTGAAACATGTGCAGTAAATGCAGCTGCTCAGTGCGCAACAGCAGCCTTTCTGCTAGCTCTAGTCTGGTCCTTTAGCTAGGCTTAGATATGAATAAATTCAGCTTGGAAGAACAAAAAAATCTTTGTGTCAACCCCCTGCAGACGAATCCAATCGGCTCCTCAGTGGGGGATGACTGTGCCGGCGGTTGAAGCTGTTTTCCCCTAAATAAACTCCCATGCAAATAATGTTTGCAGCTGCCAGCAGAGCGTTAAAGGACGATCCTGTTCTCCTACAAACCCTGCTGATGTCTCTGTTTACGTCCGAGCTGTGTTACAGCAACACAGAGTCACAAATAGGATGGGCGTTTGCCTCCCTGCGTGTCCGGACCTGAGCCCCCAGCTGGTTTAAGACCCCGCATCCCCTCTTTAGACACGAAGCTTCAGGCAGTAGCAGCACAACAGAAGCACTGTACTCGACGCAGTCTGTAATAATCTGATTCAATCAAATAGAATAAAAGGATATCTATCTCTCTTTATCTGCACGCAAATGGCTCTTCACTGTGTGACCTACCAGGCACATGTGCTGCTTGCTTTCAGTCCCGGACCTGCAGCCGGACGCACGCCTGTTCTCGTTGTGCGTCTGTCGCTGCAGCTGTCAAAGAGATCATATTTCAGACTGGAGTCTTAGTATTGTGAATACACACGGTCATGTATGATACCAGAGCAGCTACAGCCGAGACAGATCAGCTGTCTGTGGTCAACATGCGTAATATGGAGGATCCGGGGTGACAAACAGCTGCTGTTGAAAGACGCTCTTGTTTATTTTTAGCTGGGAGGCAGAAGAAACGCGGTTTTTGGCGACAAAAACGATGTCTGCAGGCAGTGAGTATGAACAGTAAGGTCTGTGTGCATGACAATAGCCTACTGTCATAATGAATGTGCTTTCATGTATTTGTTTATGATTAAATTTAACGTAAGTATAAAAAGAAAATCATAAAAAACTATTGCCCCAACGTTTGATAAAAATGTCATAGTATAGTTTGATAAACATTCCATAGTATAGTATGTTAAAAATTTAAAGTATGGTATGTTAAGATTGTACAGAATGATAAAAATATCATAGTATAGTATGTTAAAATATCATAGTATAGTATGATAAAATATAGTATAGGATGATAAAATATCATAGTATACTATGATAAAATATCATAGTATAGTATGTTAAAAAATCATAGTATAGAATTTTAAAATATCATAGTATAGTATTATAAAATATCATAGTATAGTATGATAAAATATCATAGTATGGTATGTAAAAATATCATAGTATAGTATGTTAAATGTCATTGTTTAATTTAAAAAAAATGTATTTAAGTATTTTAAAATGTTATAGTTAAGTATGTAAAAAATAACACACAATACTATGACAAAATATTTTATGACCGTAGGAAAAAAATGTCATAGTATAGTATGATAAAAGACCAAATTAAAGTACGATAAAAAATATCACAGTGTAGATTGAAAAAAAATGTCATACTATTGTACAATAAAAATGTCATAATAAATTTTATAGAAAGATATTTTATTTTGAAAAAAAAAGTAATAGTATAGTATGTCAAAAAAATCATGGTTAAGTATGATAAAAATATTATTGTATAGAATGATAAAAATTTCATAGTGTGGTATAATAAAAATATCATAGTATAATATTATAAAATGTCATAGTATAGTATGATAAAAACAACATATTTTTGTGTTACGTATTTATGTGTGTGAGTGTCTTAGACTGCGTGTGGATCTGTCTGCATGTGAAAGTGAGGATGTACTGTATGGATGCACCTGTGTTGATGTGTCTGGTTGGGAGTGTCTCTGTTAGAGTCATCAGGAGTGTCTGTGTGAGAGTGTCTGTGGGTGTGCTTTATTCTCTATTTGCAGGATGCCCAACACCTGCAGTTGCTGCAATAAAGGGAGCAGGGGACATTCAGCTCACTCTCTCTCTCAGCCCAGTGTGATGTTCTGCAGTGGAGCAGCAGCAGCCTGATAGTGTGATTCCAATAGTGATTAAGGAGTGAGTTATCCTTGTGATAGACTGTGTGGTGTCTCTTTATTTCTCCCTCAGTTTATACTGAGTTAAGCCTATTTGGTTAGTTTTATGTCTGTCATCTGTTCTTGATTTGTCATCCTGTTTTTGAGAGGATCGCTTTTTGTTGTAAATAATAATTTTTTTTGTGAAGACTGTTTTTTTTGTGGTACTGCTGTCTGGAGGACTTATTAAAGAGTTATTGTCTATTCCTGTTATTCTTCTTTTTTTCCATCCTTACCTGGTTTTAAATTGCTGTTTTTGTTAACCGTGAATGTGTGATAATAATATCATAGTATACTATGATTAAAATTTTAAAATTAGTATACAAATCAAAGTCATTGTATAGCATGATAAAAATGTCATGGTATAGTATGATAAAAATGGCATAGTTTAGTATGTTAAAAAATGTCATGGTATAGTTTAATAAAAATGTCATAGTATACTATGATAAAATTTTAAAAATAGTATGAAAAGAATATAGTATAGTGTGATAGAAAATGTCATATTAAACTTTGATAAAAATTTTAAAATTAGTATGAAAGAAATGTCATAGTATAGTGTAATAAAAAATGTCATATTAAACTATGATGAAAATTTGAAAATTAGTATGAAAAAATGTCATGGTCTAGTATGAAAAAAATGTCATAGTATAGTGTGATAAAAATGGTGAAGTATAGTATGTTAAAAAAAATTTCATAGTATAGTGTGAAAAAATGTCATTATAGTATGTTAAAAAAACGTCATAGTATAGTATGTTAAAAAGACATCATAGTATAGTTTGATAGAAATGTCATAGTATACTATGATTAAAAAAGATTATGATTAAAATGTCATAGTATAGTAGGTTTAAAATTGCTGAGTATAGTTTGTTAAAATTGGCATAGAATAGTATGTTATAAAAAATGTAATAGCATACAATGATTAAAATTCAGTATAGTGTGATAAAAATAGCTTAGTTTAGTATGTTTTAAAAATGTCATAGTATAGTTTGATAAAATTGCCATGGTATAGTATGTTAAAAAATGTCAGAGTATAGTATGTTAAAAAATGTCATAGAATACTATGATTAAAATTCAGTATAGTGTGATAAAAATAGCTTAGTATAGTATGTTTAAAAAATGTCATAGTATAGTACTATAAAAACGTCATTGTATACTATGATTAAAACTTTCATAGACAAAAAACATATGACAAAAAACTGCCATAGTATAGTTGAATATCAATGTCATGGTATAGTTTGATAAATATTGCATCTTATAGTATATTAAAAATTGTTGCACTAAATCAGGTTAAGAATGGCGTAGTTTGAAGAAAATGGCATAGTATAGTATGTTAAAAAAATGTCATAGTATACTCTGACATTTTTTTCATACTAATTTCAAAATTTTAACCAGAGTATAGCATGATAATGTTGTCAGTATAATGTGATAAAAATGGCAAGGTAAAGTATGTTCAAAAAATGTCATAGTACAGTAAGATAAAAATGTCTTGGTATTGTTTGATAAAAATGCCATAGTAAAGTTTGTTTGAAAAATTTGTCATAGCATAGTATGATAAAAATGTCATGGTATACTATGATTGAAATTTTTAAATTAGTATGAAAAATAATGTCATAGTAAGGTGATAAAAACATCAAGTATACTTTGATAAAAATATCATAGTATAGTATGTTAAAAAATGTCATAGTATAGTATGATTAAAATTTTAAAATGAGTATGAAAAAAAAAGTCATAGTATAGTATGTTAAAAATGTCATAGAATAGTATGTTAAAAAATGTCAAAGTATAGTATGTTAAAAAATGTCATAGTATAGTATGATTAAAATTTCAAAATTAGTATGAAAATAAAAAGTCATAGTATAGTATGTTAAAAAATGTCATAGTATAGTGTGATTAAAATTTTAAAATAAGTATAAAAAAGAATGTCATAGTATAGTATGATAAAAATGTCATGGTATAGTTTGATAAAAATGGCATTTTAGAGTATTTTAAAAATTTGTTGTAGTATAGTACGTTAAGAATGGCATACTTAAGTTTGAAGAAAATGGCATAGTATAGTATGTTAAAAAAATGTCAAAGTATACTATGATTAAAATTTTAAAATAAGTACGAAAAAAATTTTCATAGTATAGTATTATAAAAATGTCATAGTATGATAAAAATGTCATAGTATAGTATGTTAAAAAAAGTCATAGTATAGTAAGATAAAAATGTCTTGGTATAGTTTGAAAAAAATGTCATAGTATACTATGTTAAAATGTCATAGTATACTATGATTAAAATTTCAAAATTAGTATGAAAAAAATGTCATAGTATAGCATGATAAAAATATCATAGTATAGTATGATAAAAATGTCATTATAAACTTTGATTAAAGTTACAAAGTTTAGTATGTTTACAAATAATGTCATAGTATAGTGCAAATTCTTGCATTCAAATACACACAAGTAATATTCGCCCATAATAGAAAATCAAATCAAAGTATTGTCTGCCCCTAAAAATGTAAAGAAAGTGATTATTGGTACGATGACTGCATGCCCTGCAGAAGGTACTGTAGAGGGGCAGGCTGCAGACGGGCCATTTTTCGAGCGTAGTACTCCTGGACGAAGCTCTCCAAGTCTTCCTCTGCAGTGTCCGAGATTCTGCAGGTATCTCTGATATCGGTGCCTTCTTCCTCCTCAGAAAAAGAGATGAGTGTGTTGTGTGTAACAGCAGTTAACTATATTAAGCTGATAACAGATATGAAGGTTATACATAAAAACAGGTAATTGCTGTAATCTACAAAAACAGTAGTATTTCCATGATGTATAAAACAATTTATAACAGTTAATACAAATCTCAAAAATATTACATTTTAAAGAAATGACTTGGACAAAAGAAAGTCTTATATGAGGCATTTATTAAATGCAGTATCAAAAACATTCATTTGCCGACACATTGACACTTACAGTGTTAGTGGTATACAGTTCATAACATCATGCTTTATGATAAACAGGATGCAATTCGAACATATTAGTCCACACAACATAAATTTGGTTTATATCCTTTATGACTTTTAACAAGATTTGGTAGTTTGTGACATGACACAGGTCACTGCATCTTCAGTATTTAGTCTCTAACGAATTACAAGTTGAAAAAGTTCAATAAAAACATTTTACATAAAAAAACTAAATAAAAAAGCCTGATTAAATGTTTTAAACAACAAAATTTGAGTATCATACTTCTTTTTTTTCTCTGGGCATGAGTTTGAATGCGTGCAACAGAAACTGGGTGTAAAAACAAACCCTGAACTGCACAGCACAGATAACTAAACTGAATACTTTGACGTGTCACATGAAAATGTCGACATAATAGATTGATTGCACAGCAGTTTCTTTTGTTAAAAGTGAGGTCTGATGTGGTTACATAAAGCCCCACTCGAAGTCTGTGAGGTTTTTAATAAGCGTGGCCACGTGAGCGTTCAATGGGTCTGCCTTCTTCTGCACCAGCTTACCCGTCTTCTTTGACACCACCTTCTTGAAGTTGGCCTTTGACCCCCTCTCAGGATTGATACCAATGAAGCGTCTGAGAATGAACGAGCAACAGATTTGGAAATATCACACAGGAAGTCAATGAAACATTACTGAACAGAGCTTTAAAGAGAGAAAATAATCACCAAACAGAATCTAAGAAGGTTTACCTTTGGACAAACTCCAGCGTCTTTGCAGCTTCCTCTTGATACTGCAGGTTGAAAACGTAGTAGGTCGCGAAAAGTGCAGCGAGCCCAGACATGACACTTGGTTGGCTGCCTTCACAGATCACCTGTTCATCATTGCTGATCATCCACTGGTTAACTGTGGCTTTATCTTCAGACACTGAAACAGACAAATAACAGACAGAGAAAGCCAGTAAGAGAAAACTGCGAAACGTAAAACCACTACAATTTCAGAAAAAGTTTAGATAATGAGGAAAATGTTGATGAAAACAGACTGTGAAGGTTTTTAAAATATGCTCCTTCGAGTAAAACTGCAAAGAATTTGAGGGTTTCATTATCTAAAGGGCATTAAATCAAAGAGAGAGAGAGCCAAGAACCACATACTGCAACATGATTGTCCACAGGGGCTAAAAAAACACGTCTAAAGACCAAGAATCCCAGAACTTAAACCTCCACAAAATCTGGATAAAACTGTACGATGAAAGAAGAAATCACATACTGTGTAAACATGAGCCAGAGATGTCAGGGACTTCTCTGGACCTGAACCTACTAAAAAACTTTCTCTCGGTCAGACTGATCACAAGTCATGCAGGTTTTGGGTCAACGTATGCATCCATTTGGACAAAGTCTGTGTCAGGGTAGACCTTAAATTATACAGCAAAACACTTTTAAACTAATAAACCACATTCTGCTTGTCTTACAACAGTGTTGCTCAGTAGCAGAAGAGTCCAGGAGTTAAACTGACTTTTCTGCATCTCAATAAATAAGACCTTATAGTGTTGAACAGCTGAAATCCTGAATTACGCAAGAATGGGACAAAAGTTTACCCTCAAAACTGAAGAAACAGAGCCTATTGTTTCTTTAACGCTTAAAGAAGTGATGAACACAGAGGTAAACAAGCGCCTACGGCAACTTTTAAAAGTTATATCAACAATATTGTCAATTAAAGAGAGATTAAATTGTTTGAAACCCATCAACTTGTGTTTTTACATCTTTTGAATTACACCTTAATGTAAAAGATGCACAAAGACAGTCTCTGTATCTGGTACTTACTCAGCAGCACGAGCCGAGGGCTGTCTGGAAGCTCCAGGGTGCATTCAACATCCGCTGCTGTTGCACAGGCCTTTAAAACACAGACAACGGTTTCCAGATTAAGTGAAAACTGTGGGCACAGTTGTGGGTTTTGTTTGCACAGTGGACATCAAAACAACAACGTTAAAAAAAACTTACTTTAGTAGAGAGTATCAGCCCCTCTGTGTCCTCGTCAAAGTAGGTCAACAGGAGCTGAACGACCCGGAGAGTCAACTCCCCGTCCTTGGAGACGACTGAATGCAGATCAATGTTCTTCATTTTTGCCCATAAATACTTCTCTACCCCGTGTCCGCACTCTTTCATGGACAGCTCCAAAGATTGAAGCACATTAATGTCAGTCAGTGACTCAAAGTGACAGAAGACACCTCTCTCGGTGAAAAGGTAAGGCCAGTGGATTTTTAAATCTTCAGTGGAGGATATCAGAGAGTAATTGATTTGGCTACGCTGGAGACAAAACGTTGTGTTCATGAGCTTGATCACCTGGGCCTTCTCACTGGCATGACTCCCCTCCTTCTTGTAGATATCCTGCAGCTGTTGCCGCTTCAGCTCCAGCGTCTCTTCGGTTTCATCCAGCGGCATGGCCGGCTGGAAGTGCACACAGCCGTAAGAATCGGCAGGCTTACACAGGCCTGATGATCGGTGCCGTTTAATTATTCCTGCACGGTTCAGATTCTCAATTCTTCTTTTCACCTGAGAGAGCAGAGTAGAGAAGCCCTCACCAACGATGGCACCTCCTGGTGTCATATCAGCAAAACTACTGGGATACTGCCGGACTATATTCCGACAGACGATGAGACACTCATGGCGCGTAGGATTTATGTCACACTTTCTAAGTTCATCCACCAGGATCCTTATCATCTGGCGCCGCTTTTCAGGTGAAGGTCTCCTCATGTTGGCCATGGCTAACTTCACTCCGTCTGGCATTTTATGCCAAGGCACTTCAAAATTTTCAGGCCATTTATCTGGAATGTTCGAAGTGCGTTTTCCAACTCTAGACGAACACGGTGTCGCTGAACACGGTGTCGCTGAACACGGTGTCGCTGAACACGGTGTCGCTGAACACGGTGTTGCTGAACAAGGTGTTGCTGAACAAGGTGTCGCTTCTTGTGAGAAACTTGGTTGGAGTGAAAAGTTGGTTGGTGAGAAACACGGCAGTGGGCTGGTGATCGTAGGCAGCTTTATGTGAGCTGGGTTCACCGGCAAGAACTGGAGATTAAGCGGGACGGGTGAGGCTTCTGAAACACAAACGGACAACAAACCGAAGAAAATTATCACAATTTTTATCTTAAAAAATTTAAAGTGTTTGTTCACATCAGGGTTTTAACTGTAGCATGGTAACAGAAGGTTTTGATTACAATACAATAACACAGTCTCTGTTTAATCTTACTTCATAAATCAGCTGAGAGTAAAGGGTTGTATGTTGACTGATGATAAATACCCGTCTTAAATGCCTCCAGAAGTTTCCTCTGCTGTGTGATGGGTAAGAGGTCTCTCATGTCGTCCTGCTTCACGTACTTCAGGTCCTCGACCGTTTCCACACCCATGGTCTGAAGCTCAGAAATAACCCGCTGCTGAGTATCCTCAGACAGGCTGGGCAACACCTTAAGGATGATGTCCTTAATTTGCTCACCGACCGTTGACATGAATCTAAAACGCAGGGGGCAGAATGATGAAGAGTTATCAGAGACGAAACACACTGAATATTCATTTAGTAGAGGCTCTGTCAGAGACACACGAGGCTTCTTGTAATGGAGTAGAAAGGACTTGTTTAAATGTGACTTGCAGAGCAGAAACACGGAAAAAGAAAAAGAAAAATTACCCTCTTCTTGAAACAGGACAATACCAGTTATGAAATTTAAATAATTCCAGCTTTATTTATCAATCAACATGTTTCAAAGGACAAAAGAAAACAAAATGCATTTCCATTACAGTGCTTTAAAAGCTTAAAAACATTTTTTAAAATAAAGGGATGTTGAGCTCTGTGTTTGAGCATCAGAAATGCCTTGGTTGTAGTTGCTCGTGTTGGACCCTGGGGGCGCTGATGAGCGGTTCACTTTTAGAAGGACCAGCTGATTAAAAATAAGTGCCAGGATACAGCAGGTTTGTGATGGATCCTTAATTAACTGATTAAAACTGTCAGTGAAAACTCGTCAGACCTCATCAGACAACATGAGACAGATCTCAAAGTCCATGATACGAAAAATGTAACATTCATGTAGTTCAGTGTTCAGCATGATAATACACATTGTAAAAACCCTTTAAATGTGACCGCATCAGTCCATCAGCTGCACATGATTCCTCCACTGTTGGTATGAGATCCTCCTCTGTCAGGTCCCAGTGTTTCCTCAGACGGATCCATGCCCTGCAGCAGGTACTGTGAGGGGGCAGGCTGCAGGCGGGCCATTTTTCGGGCGTAGTACCTCTTGGATGAAGCTCTCCAAGCCTCTCTCTGCAATGACTGAGAGTCTACAGGTAACTCCGAAATCAGCGCCTTCTTCCTCTTTTCAGAAAAAGAGATGGGTTGTGTGTAACAGCAGTCTGTGATGGGGGGAAAAGGGGCGGAGCGTAAGGGGTTTACCTGCTGGCGGGCTACTTTTCGTGCATAATACCGCCTGGATGCAGCTCTCCAGGCTGCCCGCTTCAGTATCTGGGCCTCCTCTGGCAGCTCTGCCATCGGTATGTTCCTCTTCTTGCTCCTGCAGCAGAAGAAAGGTGAGAGATGGTTACACATTAGAGGGCACACAACTCAGTAAACAAACAACACTTTCAATCAAGTCCACTGAAATACCTGATCAATGATCTGTGGACATTGGTAATCTCTGCTGCTTAATCCCTACATATATTGATTCTCATCAGTATTTTCACACTTTCTTAAAGTGCTTTTTGACCAGAAGTACAAAGGATTTAGGTTCAAGGAACTTCTCTTAAGGGAGCTCTGTGACACATTATCATTTGCTCAAATTGGAGCCGATGAAAAACAGGACATTAGGTGGATGTTGTCACTTGAGTCTCTGCTGAACTTGCTGAAAAAAAAAGCTGATAAACTGCATTAATTATTCTGCATAATTAGTTCACAGTAATATTAGTAACCCTTCTGCTATCACCTTTTGGTATCTCTACCTGTTGACCCCTCTCTCTGCTCAGCTGTGTGTCACTCTGCTATTTAAAGAAAAGATATTCACTCCCTGTTAAACCTTATCTGAAATGTCTCAGTATCAGTATGTAAGAGGTGTGTGTGCCTGTGTGTGACTTAAACATCGGTTTCTTATAATATACAATATAATTTCCTGGGCACCAGAGGCACCTGCTTATATGGGGTAAATGTACATAAAACAGAGTCAACATTTGTGTATCTGCGGAGCTAAGCTGATCATTAACATCAGATTATGTGAGAAATACAATTCACAATCTGTTCTCCCTCACGTGTGTCTCGTTGCTCACAGCTTTTGGTATTTTATATGTAAATAGGACTGTTTTTTTACGTTTCTGGGCCTTTTAAAAGGTACTACCCCCCAAGCATGAGCTTTTTAAGGTGTAAATTAGTTATACTGGAGTTAAACTGAGACTCTATGTCTTGTGGAGAGCTCCTCAAAAGGTCCCTAAATCCTTGGGAGACTTTTTCTGGTCAGAAAGCACCTTCATTTACGTATTTAAAACATTACATATAATGCAACCTGTCATCTTCAGAGAGGACTGCATCCTACACAGACATATACTGGTACAAACTGCACACACAGGGGTTTTCTATGACAGCATTGTGAAGCAGGTCCCAGGTGAAAATAGATGCATTACGTGGATTTCACAAACAATGGACGTCTTCAGAAGGAGTGTGAGAAACTATTGATACAGCAATACATTGTTAAGCTAACCTGTGTGACACAATAGGAAATACCCCAGGCTAGATATAGATGTTTTAGTTAAAAGAAAATGCAGCACACTAAATAGACTTTACTTTTAATTCGACTCTGTGCGTCACTACTTCATTGGTTTTCACGTTTGTGCCAATAACACGAATAAGGGAAGCCTGAATGAAGAAGAAAAGCTCGGCTGCAGATTATCAGAGGAAGACGGCGGGATGTGAGACAACAGTAAAAAGAAAGCTGTGAGATTTCAAGAGGGAGAAGGAAGAAAAAGAAGAAATAAAGAGAGGCCATTCCAGCTGAGACGAGAGGAGAGATGGAGGATGCACTCCAGTCTGCAGAGAGAGTTGCACTCACCTGTGATAGGGAGACTTAGCGGCCCGCAGAATCATTTGTGACGTTTACTGCCAATTTTTTTTGACAAGTGACAAAAAAAGGCGCAAATCCCAAATGGTCTTTTTAACAAGTGCTGGATCAGGGTTCAAATTGAAGGCAGAAATCGAAAAGCTCCCAGTGACTTAAACTTGTAAAAACCCGCAAAGCAAGATGAGAAACATGAACACACAAAACTCCTTTTTTCTTGTCTTGCTTTTTTTCCACAGAGCAGAAGTTCTGATGAGAACTACAGAGGCGTGGAAGCCATCTGAAAAGACCCAGCTTAAGTTTTTGACACCACAGCGAACACGACTATGACAGTCATACAAATAAACACGAAAACTGCTTTATGTTTGGATGTTAGGTACATGGTGTGATCAGGTTTGTTGAAGCAATAAAATGAGTGAGAAATGTTTAATTTTTGACTGAAGCTTTAAGTAATTTTTTAGTTTCAGATTTATTATTGGACGAAAAAACTGAAGCATTTTTATAATTTAAGAAAAATCACATGTTACTGCAGTAAAGAAATAAGATCACTGGGTTTAGTTACGCGTCATTAGATGATACTGTATAACTACAGCGTGCTGTCACTGTTTGAAGTTAAGGTATCTTGGCTTTCGATGTTTTGTTATCAATTAGGGGAATTAAACTGAAGAAAAAGTGATTGTTATGTCTTAGGAATGATATTTTGCAAGTGTAATGCTCAACCAAGTTCTTATGTTGGTCCCCTAAGTGTGCGTGTTTCTCTTTTCTCCGATGTTAGGGTGCTGGACACAGTCATTTGTAGCATGTCCCCCTCTGGTTTAGAAGCTAGTTCAGCGTACACACACTGTACTGGGGGATGAAAAGTTATTTTATTTTTAGTATTTTTAGTGCTTTAGTGTTAATAATATTCAACCATGAGGTGTGTCTACTTGACTCCGCCTCTCGCTCTGTCGATCGAAAGTTACGTGTGTCAGTGTTTTTAACACGGTGACTGCTGCAGACAGGCTTTACACAACGCTTTAGAAATGAACAGGTGATAATGTGTTGATGTTTTATACATTCTATGATGCGAATCATACGACTCACCTCGGGTTTCCTCCCATGGTAACGCTGAGTCTGTCTGAGTCTGCATGAGTCCGCTCCCTGGTCCTTCTTCTTCCTCTGTTGTTCAGATTTTCTGCAGCGATCACAAGAGACAAACGTGAGTAAAAAAATCAAACCAGTTTTTTAATACCAAACATTCACTACTCATTTGGGACAACAGTAACTTTCTATGTTAGCCCTTACAGCTAGAGAAGATGCTACTGTGTAACTCAGTCATTTTTCTGTAATCTCATTAATATTTCTGTATAAAATTAGATTGAAGTTTCAAACAAAAGTCTCATTACTTGTTAAGCTGGGACTCTCTGTGTCCTGGTAAAAACCGCTCGTGCTCTCGGGACCCTCTGTGATTCTCTCTTCGCTCATTTCCATCTTGATCATGACAGCGGTGTCCTCACACGGCTCCTCTTTGATTACAACACTGCGGTTGGGAGATGTCAGCGGATTTCTGTCTGCATCAGATACACCTGAAGACTCTGAGTAGTGGGAGGTGCAGGTCTGATCCAGACCCAGTCTGCTGGGAGAATAAGGGAGACCCGATTCCTGGCTTTGCGAGGAGACCTGTGAGAGGGGCCGGGCAAAAAGGTCCACTGTGGAGGAAGGGAAAAAGGAAGATTTTATTAGGTGCAGAAATGACAGATCGACATCAATCCTATCACAGTTGACAAGAAAGAACTGAGATAAAAAAGTTCAAGGGATATTGAGGCTTAAAATTAATTTAGGGTCAAACACACTGTAACACAGAGTTAGACACCCCGTCAAGAGATGAATGTTGCCGACCGCTTACTAAACACAACTCACCTACTCTCTTCCAGCAGCTGCTTGTTTGTACGGAGACCTTGGGCAGGTGTATGGACTGCAGCGGGGTGACCCAGCTCATGAAAGAACATTTATGATCATTTCTTTATCATTTCCTTGAAGTAATAATCACCATAATAATCATTTTTCACTGCAGACACTGTAGTTCTTCTGCTTTAGCGTCTCGGTCTGATTGCATTTCCATTAAGAAATGATCAAAGATGTTGTTCCTTGAGCTGCATCACCCCGCAGCAGTCCATAATGGACTGGCCTGAGGTCTCACTACAAACAAGCGGCTGCTGGAAGAGAGTAGGTGAGTTGTGTTAAGTCTCTTTGTTAAAGAAATCAGGTAAAGCTAAAAAGATGTTTGGTGGCTAGTACTATGGCTGGGACCCTATATGTCCTGTTGATGAAGTTAGGTGCTGTTCTGAGCATTATTTGTGGCTATAGAGTGGCGTTTTGGTTGAGTGTGTGTCTCTCTGTATTGCTATCTGTGGTTGTTTTTTTCCTGCTCATTTTTTGTTATTTTGTTTAATATTACCATCATAATGATTTTATTATCACTGTTAATATCATCTTTTTTATATTCACTATCCTGTTTCCTGCTGTTTTGTATAAAATTTCTTTTTCTACCTATTTTATGTTTTTATTTTCGTCCTCATGATCTATTTCATGTTGTAGTGTTCTTGTATTTTCTGGGTTTCTTATGACAAATGAAAGTGGCCCTTCAATTCAGAGGCCTTGTTTTTAACTGAGCTTTTGTTTTTATTTCCATGTGTTGATGCTTTCCAACTGTTTGTCACTTTGTAAACTTCTGTTTTTAAAAGTGCTATAAAAATAAAGTTATCATTATTATAAAGAATCCATGTCTCGTTTCATTTCCTCATGAATGACTGTATTTTCATAAATAATCTTTATCTCAGTGTGCTGATGATGAATCCACGCTGTGCTGATGTTTACTCACAGGAGATGGTCACCTCACACTCCTGCTGCTCTGTCATCTCGGAGTCCAAACAGCTCGGTTCGGACCCGCTCTGCTCCCCCTGCTGCGGTTCCCCTGAGCTCTGTGATCCAATCACCAGGCTCGGCTCCTTCGGCAGCCTGCACGCGCATCCTTTCCGGCGTAACGCTTGCAGCTCGTGCTCCATCTCTCCCAGCCTGCGCTCGAGCCGCTGGATCTCTTTGTCCCTGTCGGCCACCATCCGCTGCTGCTCGCGAGTCCTGGCACCGTTGACTCCGTACAAAACGTTTATTATCGAGTCTATCGCCAACCGGATGGCGTTTTCCACCACAGCGGCTTCATCGTCGCGCAAGTGCGGGTCGAAAGACTTGTTTCTGGCCAAATTCATCCTTAAAGTCGGCTAATGTTGACGTTATTTACAGGCTGTGCTCGAGCGTTAGCCGTTAGCTAAGCTATCAGACACCGGAGGCAGGCACGAGCCAACTAAACAAACACCGGGCGAGTTAAACGCTTTTCTAAGTAATGTTAGTCACGCGTGAACAAAACAGAGGAAAGCCGACCTGATTAAAACTAACATTTGATAAACGTCCCGCAGCCCACAGCTCAATCTTCGTCCACTTCTTCTGTGAGTGCGCTCAGGAGTGGATGTCTGTTTGGTGGTAATGGCGCCCCCCAGTGGTTTGCCTGTCTTCTTCGTCTCCTTTAAGGTTTCACATCCAGTTTAGTTGAATTACTGCCCCCCTGCGGCCGCATTTGTTATCACTTCTCAGTCAAACAGGAGTTCAATATGGAATCAGATTTGTGGATAAGGTTTAACATTATTCTACACTATTCAAAGAAATAAAAAGATTTTAATATAAATTTAATTTTAACTGCTTTTTTTTTTTTGGTAACAAAAAAGCTTAATTTTTTTCTCAAAAAATTTGAACAATGGTTAAAACCATAGACTGTATATACTATAGACAATTTGTCTCCCGCCAGTTTACGGATTTGAAGCCGAAAACTTCTCAGTATTTCCCCTATTTTTCTTCATTTCCTGAAACCAACATTGCGCAGTAGCATTGTGCGCATTCGGCGGGAAAGTCACCGAGAGTCGCTGTGATGGCGCTCGGTGACTCTCCCTATATGAAGACGCCATATATAGTTGCATTTGTAAAACATAGTACCCCCCCTACTACTCCAGAATTAAACTTTATTGAATCAAAACACATATATAAAAATGTGTACATCTAATTCAATTTGATTTTAGACAAGACTGGATTAAGATCTGAACAAGTACATTACTTTGATACATACAATAGTATGTGTCGTAAACAGTTGTACAGCAAATTATGATGAATAAAAGAAAAAAAAAGAACAAGAAAATGAAATATGAAAAAGAAGAAAAGGACAAAAGGAGGTTCCTCTATTCAGAGTGATTTGATTGTTATTTTTTTCTTATTTCAGTCTGTGGTATTATTGATTCTGTGCTTGACCTCTTTCTCCGATCCAGTAATTCCTCTGGTTTGTATGCCTTAAAAAGTATTATAAAAACTAATGGTACACCAGCTACTAATCAAGATTTATTAAATCCACATTATAGACTTCTCTTAATGACTGTATCAACTGAATATGGCATCTCAAGAATCCAAAAAGTGTGCCCATTTCCTTGAGTACAAGGATAAGCAATTTTGCAATTTGAAGCTGCTTGTCCAAACAATCTTGCGAATCCAAAACAACAACTGGACCTTTAGTTCTGCTTTTGTTTTAAACCATCTGATCAGAGCGCTAAAATCGATGTTTCATATGGAATGAGTGATCATCTACATCCTGTGCTGCCAGCAAATAATTTTAATGTTTTAAATATTATGGTAAATATAAATTCATCATGACCAACCACTGTACTTGTATATTGTTTTTGATATTTTTGAACCTATGTAAATGGAATAAGAGAAGTAAGTCAGTAGGCAAATAAAGTAAGAAAGTAAGTAAGGGAAGAAGTATGTAAGTAAGGAATAAGTAAATAAATAAATATATAAATAAAGTAAGAAAGTTCACAGGAAAAAGTTAGTAAATAAAGAAAACATGCAAGTGAACAAATAAAGTAAGTGAGAGAGTATTTGACTAAGTCAGGGAATAATAGGAAGTCATTAAATAAGTAAGTAAAAAATAAAGTGGGAATGTAAGAAGTTAAGTAATTTCATTGAGCAGGTAAGTAAGTAAATAGATAAAAATATAAATAAAGTAGTTATGTTCTAAGCCTAATTTTTGGGCAGATCTTTGGGATTTTATTGCATTTCATCTTACATAAATTGCATAAGCAGTTTTCCTATTCTTAAGTCTGTTCTGTTGTTGTTTACCTCAGTTTTACTGAAATTTGTTGTTTTCATGTTCTCGTCAACTGTTTTAATGTTGTCATATATTCACAAAAGAGGCTTTTCAAACTTACTTTTTGATCCAAATCAGCTAAAGTCTAAGAAATGTTCTGGTTTTGGATTCAACTCACTGTTTCGTATCAATGCTTTCTCAACAAATCTTCAGTAAGGAACTGATACTAGACATGAACAAACTGTGAATGTAATTTGCCTTTTGTTGTCCACACCCTCTGCAGAAACAATCGAAACCTGTAAGGGGGAATATTACCATAATGACAGGGTGTGACAAGTGATTCATGCTGTCTTTCTAATCAACCCCTCCTAGTGTTAAGATAATGGTATTTTCAGATTTATATTTGGGTGATTTTACTCCTGCTGCACTGATTTTTAATTCTTTTGCTCATTTTTTACATACCTCGTTTGCTATAATAGTTTGCTGTTGCATTGTGCCATCAGATGATTCATCTCTGGATAAGCGGGGTTTGTCCCACCTTCAGCCATGCCAGCAGTTCTGCAAAATATGAAAACAATGGATGAGCAAATCAAACCGTTAATCACATTTATGAAAAAATAAAAAGTCCCCGAGTGATGATAAATCGCCTCATTAAAGTGTTGAATCACAGGGAGGGGCATGGCAAACACTTGTTTCAGCTTGAATGTGGCCAGTACAGACTTGTCACAATAAAAAAAAAAACACTCAGGTCACACTTACAGAGTTCACAGAAGGAGACACAAAGCAAAAAGCACAGCAGTTCTTAGAAAAACTCCCAGCTCAGGAGCGCTTCAGAGATTAAGTCTCGCTGCAGAGGACTTAAATAAACAGTGAAGGGAAGTCACGTACATGTGTTTCCTTTGCATGCGCTGTCTTATTCTAAAGAGACATTTAGTGGTAGTTGCTGAGCCGTAAATGTTGCCTTGGAGAATTGAGAATAAAAAGTAACTTCATCCCTTATTTGCCTGATGTCACTTGAATTTCAAAAACTCAGCTGCTTCAAATGTGGACAAAACTAAGTCAAGAGTTCTTTCATGCAGGTGCAGCTCAAAAAGCAGAATGTCCTGAAAAAGTTCCTTTTTTTCCCATCATTGAATTCAAAAGTAAAACTTCTATATATTCTAGATTCATCTCACACAAAGTGAAATATTTAAAGACCTTTTTTTTTGTTTGAATCTTAATTATTTCGTCAAAGCACCCTTAAGCCTACCAGAAGATTTTAGAGGAGCTTTATAGAGTTCCCTTTTGAACTAAATTTTGAGAATAAATAAACTTTTTCAGGACATTCTGGTTTTTTTTAGCTGCACCTGTCAGAGTGAACCAATAACAGTAATATTTCAGCTGATGTGAGTTTGGGATACATAGAAAACATAAAATGGGGCAGAAATGTCTTTCCTAATATCAACATGTAAAGGCACTATGTCTGCTACGCACTCATAATTTCAGGAAAATTACACTTTCTAGTATTTTCAAACATGTCAGAATTGAAGTAAGCCCACAGTATTGCAGAGCTGGAAGCACAGAGAATATAAGACCAGCATGCATGATATTACTGCGCGTAATGACACAACTCACGACTCTGAGTCAAAATCTACAATGTGAAACTGACGGCTGTTTGAAAACATATTCTGACACATCTGAGGGGAATTGATTGACTGTGTTCCCAGACAATCTGACTGTGTCTTTCTGAAGTTTGACTTAAAGTGAAACTCTGAGGCTGCAGTTGGAAGTTTGGAAGTTTGGACAGTCTTTAAATTTAACCAATTCTTGTTACTGTGTACATTCAAGCTTTACATAGACTTAAGTACTGTACTATTTACTTTGGGTAAGACGAAAACAGTGCTGATTGATGGTGTGTGTGTGAAAGTTTTCTTCTGCATGATGCATCTTTTGAAACACTTTCTACTGTGATCTCTGTTCTAACACCGCAATGATATGATTGTGAAATCTTGCAAAAAAAAGTTTAAAGACGCTGCAATCTGTCAGTATTTTCTCTATGCAGCGATGGCTCTTGCTCTTAGTCTTTCCTAGAAAGCATGCATCATATCAGTCTCTGTCTTAAGCACAAAAAGTACCGGAAGCAGTCTTGAAGAGCAAAAGAAAAAAAGTTCAAACCTTGCTGGGGTGTTAAACTCTATTCTGCGAATTCAGACAAATTGTAAAAGTGGGAGTTTCAGGTGCTGTTTGAACATCTAAAAATACTATTTGATCAAAGAAACACCAAAACCTTTAAATGCTAACTTCACCCGAACTGCCCTTCAGTAAGAGTGAGAGGTGACATGTACCATTACAAACCACGTGTGGATGAAAAATGAAAAACTTGAAGCTGTGTGGGAGGAAAGCTGTTTCACTAGATGGGTTTTTGAGATTATTTAGAAAGAGTACTGCAGTTATTTTACTGAGGTAAATACTATACTTTGATGCAATACTGCTTAAAAAGAAGTAAAACTACTCAACTGTAAGCATGCCCAATAAAGGGGGAAAAATCCTGTGTTTAAAGTCTGTATGAGCAGAAACTTGTAGTTATTTTCCACTCTTGGTAAATTGCTCATTTGTTTTAGGTTAACTGTTTCCAGAAAGAAGAGTTCAATGGAGTATTCGGGTCAGATTGGAAATAAAAAGTAGTTTTCAAAGATTTGTTAATTTTTTCGGTCATTTTCTCACAAAAATTAAGTTTTCTTCGTCTCTAATTTAACCAAGAATTTGCAGCATAATACTACTCTGGAGGGGAATACCACATCACAGCTGTCAGCACAACCTTTCAGAGTCCTTATAATTACTGTAGAGCTCAGCAGCCAAAAAATCAAGTGCAATTTAATGAATTTATCATGAATTTTATTCTCAAATCATGATGACTTTATCCTCGAAATATTATGACTTATAACCCCAACAGTACAGATCGATTTTCCTGACTTTATTATTGTTACAAAGCTTGATTCTTAAAAAAGTTGCAAATTCTTTATTTTTTTTCTTGAAAGTGGTCCTCTGTCATAAAAAGATCTAAATTTATTCACATTGTTTACTGGCAACAACCTGTTTTGAAATTTCAACTTGACATTTTATGCTTGCAAAGAAACCCTCGATCACAGCCTGTATGTTACATTTACTGTAATCTGCTTTTACTAAAGGCTAATTTACATAAATTTTGATTGTATCAAGGGTTCAATGACTTTTTGTGGTAATTTTATTTATCACTATCTCTGTGGTTGCTCTGTTGCAACCTGTGAATGCCGGGGGAGACTCTTTTACAACTGTTTAACCTCAAGTTTGTACCCGGTACATCTGAATCACCAAAAACTCAAAAATACTTAACAGAGCATTCAGATACTCTCCTCACAAATATAGCTTTCAGCCACTGACCGTCACCAGGTCAGAGGGCTCATCCAGCTGCTCCTCAGCTCCCCATGTGGTTTCTCAGCAGGAGTCGGGGCGTGTTGGTGGGGGAAGGCCTGCATTGTATCACGGCACGGGGAAAATGTGTGTAGGGGTGTTTTTGTGCCTACATCTGATGAAAAGATAAATTGGTAGAAAAATGCGGGGGTTAGCTTCCTGACCCGACCACATCCTCACCTGTCTGTCTAGAGAAACTGTTTTTGCTGTCTAAAACTCATGTGTGATTGACTACCTTGGACAACCACCTGTGAATTTTTTTTTTGTAGGATGGTAGGGAAGGGTCCCGCCCTCCTTCGCCTCCGATTGGTTATTCCTTATGGCTGTGAAACATCATCGTGTGTCGGTTTAGGGTTAGGGTTAGGAGGAGGGTTAGGATTAGGCGATTCAGAAGTGCAATAATGTTCAGTTCGATGTACAGAGCCGGCAGCCCACGTGTGCTGTCAATTCCAGCTTTTCTAGCCAATCAGAGGCGAAGGAAAAAATATCGCCAACCGCCTCCTGGTCGTTGAGCCAACATGGTGGCAGGAAACTCAAATTAATTAACAGATTAACGCCAAAAATATTCAGAGGAAATTTCCGAAGCCACAATTTTCCCGTCTGGAGGCCTTACATGACCCCCAATTCACGATAAAATAATATAAGTAAATTTTGGTACAATAAAGGAGAGGGTCGAGGAATCGTTTTGATTTTGTGTCTGGAAACGTCTTCTTTTTCTTCTGTTTGCATGTGTAGTCTACTCGAAATCTGCATTACTGCCACCCAACGGACTGTGGCGGTACTGCAGGTATCGGAGAACAGAAGTGCAGACGCCTTCAAATGAACCATATAGAATTATCAATTAAACAAATGACTTCAGTCCATTAAAGTTGTCCTCTCTTGACGTTCATACATTTATCTATTTATTAAAATCACAATTATTTAAGTGTAAATAATATAAATATTTAGATAACTTGTTGGCTATCTTAAATTTTCCAACACTTTTGTACATTTTCTAAGTTGACATCTTTTTCCCAAACTGTTCTTATTTCTGCTGTCCAAATTTACTGATCTTATTATATTAACATGTTTTTATTTGTTTATGAATGGACTCAGTGTTGCCTGGGTAATGTGCAAGTGCATTTGTGAACCCGAGCATGAGCATCACATGTGGGAAGTTAAAGGCAGTCTTTCTTCAAACCTTTTCTCCTCAAATAAAGCCCCTAAAATCTGATAGATCTCTGGCTTCAAAAGGCCAATATAAGGACTTTTCATTCCCCTTCAAGTTCTTCTTTTTAATATGATTTTTATTATCTTTTTATTATTTTCAGAATCACCCCCAGAAAATACTGCAACATGCTTGCCACCAGTACTTGATAAATGAAAAGAGGCGTTCAAATGAGATTAGTCTTTATTAGTCATGTTTAAACTCGTCTGACCTCATCCAGACAAAATGTGGTAGTTTCAGCTACATCACTGAAAAAGAGCAGCTCAATGATAGATATTAAGCATTAACAAAAGCAAAGCAGTCCAAGTCAGTCAAATGCTGTAACATTCACCAATAAGCTCTATAAAGGTATCAAGTGTTGCTCTTATGTACATATGAGCTCTGTTGTGTCTATGTTACTTCATTTAAAGATTTATATTGAGGTATGTTCAAGGCATATAAACAAACGAAACATGTACTAGCCGGGTTAAGAAGCTCTTTCCAAAAAATGCAAAAACATGCAAAAAGAGCAGTACTATGTGAGGATATGAGACATTCAGTCGCTGCAGTTTAAAGTACTCCATATATTTAGTCAGTTTTCATTCTGCTGTTGTGAATCTGGTGAGTCAATGTGGCTGCTTCCTTTGGAAACTAAAACAGGAGCAAACCCATCTGCTGTCTTGTTGAGGATGCAGTAATCAGCACAGGAACACGGTGGTGGACCAACGTCAACAGGACTGTTTGGTAAACTGCAATCAAAGCTCAGGGTCAGGTCCTCAATGCTGCAGCCAGAGTCTGCACGGCTGATGTTTAACACATCTTTCACAGGGGTGGAGATAACCTCTACTTCTCCCACACTGACCCCCCAAACAGAGCAGGGCAGCTGAGTGTAAGAGGTTTGTCCTGGACAGACCATAGTTACAGGCGGGGTGGGATCATGCGTCCCAGGTAGGCCAATATAAGAGGTCTGGCACTGAGTGAACATGAGTTGGGATAATAGAGGGTTGTGGAGGTCCTGGTTCTCCTCGGGGTCCTTTGTGGTTGTAGGTTTTGGCACAACAACCACAGTATCAGCTGTCAGGATCTCCTCTGGTTTGTATGTGAGCAGATATTTACCCTTGGGGGAAAGCCAGTCCTGCAGATTCAGCAGCATCGAGATGAGTTAGATGTGATAAAGTTGCATGACTTTTTTTTTCACAGTTAAACACATAATTCACAACTTAAAGTCCTTACACACCGAGAGCGTTTTTTTCGTGCGAATAATTCAGATGTCAATATTTTTTTTCCGAACCCGTATCCTGTCAATACAAGCGCTCACATCAGCGTCGTTTTCCCGTCCTGCGATATTGCGGCATTTATTTTTTCGCATCACGATCAAATTTTCTGTGTCGGAGAACAGAGTGATTTTTGATAAAAAAAACACAAATATTACAAAGATAACGACCTGAAGGACAACTTGTGGAGAGTCATAGAGTCGGATTTCTCATATGACGATGGTTTGTGTGCTTTAACCATTTGCTAAACGTCTTTGTTTTAACTTTCATCTGTGCTAAGTAACTTTAGCTCGTAAGCTAACCTGTTCAGATACAACATACCATATGTATTTTCACTGTAAACTCAAACTCACTCATAGTGTTGCTGTCACAGCACCATTAGGTCTCGGTTGTTATCTTACGTTTATGGATTATAGTTTAATGTATTTATCTGGTACTGGCCCCGACTCAGTACATGCAATCATGACAGACAGCCATCTCAACACTAGAGTCTAATCAGAACTGAAAACAGTCGGTCTGCTGTTGTGTCAGTCTTCTCGCTTCCACCCGGGACGCATCTTTTTTCCCCCTGGAAAGGTGCAAAATCACATCGTGCTTGATGTGGCGCGTCAAAATTTGCCTTATATTTGCATCGTTTCCGGTGTGTAAGGACCTTAAGACACGAATGAAGAAACACAAAAGTCTATGAGTCCATAAAGTCCTGTATCATAGACTTAAAGCGGCGCCACCATCCACACAGCCAATCAGACAGAAGTTTATTAGGATGACATTTCCCACTCACCTGGAGATTGCCTTCATGTTGTTGATAAAGAGGTTTGAAGAAAGGGGCCGGCGATGGCGTGTAGGACAGAGTTTTTATCTTCATTCTGTTGCACAAACCAAGACAGGTGACAATTATCCAAACCCACCTCCTTCTCAGGTATGCAGAGAAAATAAAGTGCATTGAAATAATCTTTGAACAAGCACAGATGAATTACCTTGCTGCAGGACTGTTGAACACAAACACAAGGACTGCAACAGCCACACATGTCGGGCCCAGAGATTTCATCAAGATGAGTAATATATTGTCTTGTTCTGGAGAAGTTCAAAGAATGCAGAAGAATTACTGAGTCATACTTGAGCACTGACAGTAAGTCTGTTAGTTAGCTGATTGCCTCGAATGATTTGTTTCACTCAAGTGAAAAAAATTCAACAAAAGAAGCAGTTATAAGAGGAAATGGTTTATTTTAGATCTTCGTGACTTCTCCTTCAGCCATGCGTAGCAGACATTACATAAAAGCTATAAAAAGAGATCTACAGGGCGGACGTCCGTGACTTTAAGTGAGCTTGATGTCTGATGTGACTTTTGCATCTACTTTGTACTTGTCAAGATTATTGTTCAGATATTATGATTAACACTTACCATCTCCGCCTACATATTTCAGGCACACTGGTGGGCTCCACTCACTCCAGATTCCTTTGTAATCCTCTATGTTGGTTATTGATCGCACTTTAATGCAGTATATTGTATCTGATTTGAGTTGCAACCTGGGAACAGAAGCTGATTGCAGTTTGCTGAAATGTAAAGTCTGCAGGGGGAGAACAACAATCACAAAACTCAAATAGTCAGATCTTATTTTGGCACAACATACTGCCCCAGTATTCATATTCATGTAACTGCAGCTTACCCGAATTTTAGAGGGTTGGAGTGAGACCTCATAGTCCAGTCCATGGACAAGGTATTTGTGGTCTTCATACCGACTTTTCCAGGTGATGTTTAGTCCCTCTGCACTTTGATTGACCTCTACGTCATATGGGGGCGTGGGCTGAACTAACAAGAGTGCATGACAAATCATATTTACCGTACACACGTGAAGCTGTTCTTCAATAAAAACTCACTTTACTTTGGAAACATTGTGATTAAAAAGTTAATGAAATCTGTATGATTACAGACTTTGTTAAGTACATAACTCTCACTGATCCAAACTCAATAACGGGGATTCATTTACAACTGAAACAGGACCTGGACCAACCTGATTACACACTCACATCAATCCAATAATGTACATTTAACCTCAACCTGTTGACACTGTGGCAAAAACCAGGAAAGAGCCAGGAAAATTACGACTATATGGGTTTAGACGTGAGAGCAGCCTGAGGACCTACTGGACCTCAACTGTCTCCGATAGGGACCAACATCCTGTCCTGCAATCCATGCAATGGCAACTGTCTTCGCAAAAATTAAAATATTGATATTGTGGCAGAAATAAGCATGCTGTTACAGCACGAGTTCACAGTAGTGGTCCTCAAGATGGGCCTCAGTCTTTTAACCAACTATAGATGCTGAAAGCAGCAGTCCTTTCAGAGACGACACTTTAAAAAGCTGATTCTCCAGGATTTATTGTGAGTCCAATAACAACGTTTAAGCTGGCACCTTTTCAGGTTACCAATCAACTGAGCATTGACACTTTCTGACCTCCGATTTGACTGTTTTCTTTTAGGTCTGTTACTTAAGATCTATTACTTCAAAATAAAAGCATATCTTGACCATGCAGGGAAGGAAGCAAGACGAAAAAACTATCAAAATAAAAGCATGAAAACGATTATGAGGCAGTGTTGATGATTATGTTGTTTTAAAGTCAACTTCTTCAAATATTGCAATAATAATCATGAGGCATTACCACCTGCTCACTATACTCTATTATTAACATAAGCACAGATCACAATACATATTTTACTCACTGTTTTGTGATGGTTCGAATCCTTCCTCTAAATTATGGCTGCCAGATTCATAAACGAGTTTTATGGCATATTGATCATCTGACAGAAAATTGTCGTTACTCGTGACTTTGCAGACACTTCTGTAGCTATCATCCATCAATACAAGCGGGCAGGAAGCCGTGGTGTGTCTGAAGATTAAAAAAGAAAAACAAGATAAAAGCTTTAAAATATCTTCAGGCTTTAAAATGTGTATTCTTTTCATCTTAGCTTTTTTTTTGTTATTCAGTAGGAAGTGCATTTACTCATTGAGATCAGTGAATTCCAGACTGTAGTTGGTGTTGTTCAGTCCCACATGATCAGCAGTGATGTTTAGGACACATGTCACAGAGTCCCAGTAAGCACTGACACAGGAATATCCATCAACTAAAAGAGGGAAGAAAATATTATTGATTGAATTTTCACAATGAATGACATTTTAGAATCATTTCAAACCATTCAGTTAGTTTAAAAACAAAAATGAAGAAGATGATGAAATGTTAGATGTTTTCAGTTGGTCATGAAACAGAGGAGAGACTCATACGGATTCAAGGAAAATATGACAAAACTGGACAAAATTGTTTCTACATGGGTGTTTAAACAGACTAAAGCTGCAGCAGGGAGGAAGGAGTGATTAATCTCACAATGTCAAAGAGGCTTTTTTTGTTTGTTTTTCCATTTCCCTCTGCAAGGATTTCTGCAGAATGATGTCCAACTTTAAGAAGAAAGAAGTATGAGACTCTTTTTTCTGTCAAAAACCCCGACTGACCAAAGCCTGAGTTTCATTGTTCTAAAGGGAGAGGGATTCCCCCCCTCGAAAGTCTCTACTTTAGGGGGATTTTCAAAATTTGGGTGGATGTTATTGGTACAATTAAAACACGCACACTGACATGTTTTAGCTCCACTTGAACAAGGAAAAGTAGCTTTAAACAAATCTGCATTCTGTCCATTTGCTTCCACAACGCTCTGGCATGAACCACGGCTTTGTGTTTATGATTGTGTTGAACAGGAGTTTTAAAAACAAATCATTTAAGTGTCTGAGAATCTGAGAGGAAATCATTGCAGGAGAGGCTGAGCGTTAAAGAGCTTGGGCTTGATCAAGTGGACGTTAAATTAGACAGGAGAAATTACACTTAATTGTTTGTAAGGAGCTGGTTTCCTTACAGAGTTTGGCCAGTGGTCGGAGACAGACCGATTAATCTGGGTTATTTATGGCATTTCAAATCATCAAAAAAGTAATAACTGTATTTATATAGCACTTTTCAAAACAGAGTTACAAAGTGCTTCACGACATGACAACAGAATAAGAATAGAAATAGAAAAAGAGGAAGAACATACAGCTGCAGACAAGAAAACAATTTCCAAATCAGTCAGTCAACGGGAATTATTCAGAGTGCAATTAATTATGCAACCCCAACTGTGTTAAAAAACATTTTAAAATGCGTGAAAAAATAATAATAAAAGAAATTAAATAAGTTAAAACAAAATAAAATGAGTTATGACTTAATAAAAAGTAGAGCTAAATTAAAAGTCATATACAATAAAAGCACACTTATAAAAATGTTTTTTTTAACTAGATTTATAAGAGATATAATAAGTTATAACAAGAGTTTCAGTTGTATTCTTTGTATGTATGTATTCTTATATGATGTGTAACATAACTAAAAAATGTGCATTTAATAACTGCTTTAGCTATTTTTAATGAAATTGTTGTATTTTATAAAAAAAAATAAAAATAATAAAAAGAACGAACCAACATCAAGATGATATTAACGATAAATATCTGATTATCAGGCATCGGCTGCTCTGCTCTGTACTCATATTGGTATAGATATCGGCCAAAACAAAACTGATATCGGTCAAACTCTAACACCGACGCTGAAGCGTTTTTTTCAAACATCAGGGTTCTTTAAATATTAAAAAACATGAACAGATAAGGATCCACAAGGAAAATACTGAGCAAACACAGGTGCATTCATTCTACTCTAGCTGATATCTGTCGTTGCACCTTATGTGGATTTTGTCCCAGCCTTCTGTGAGGAAAATGCACCAGCCTCCATTTGTAAAAACAATGATTAAAGCAAAACTTTGACTCGAGCCATTAATCTACTTTAGAGTCCATGTTAGAAAACAAACTTCCTAGTCTGTTTCTCTCTTTGTCACCAGGTCCAAATCAAAGACATCACAAAGACTCAACACACATCTCCTCACAGCTGCTGAAAAATGACAAAAAAAAACAACCACACTTTACATGTACAATGATGAGCCCAACCATCTGTTCCCTCTCTGCAGCCATTGATTATAATCACTAATTAATTTATCAATCATTTTTTGCCTATCTAGTCATTGTTTTATCTTGTTGCTTTTAGTCCTCATGTGTTCGGTAATTTTAAGAAGTCACAAATAAAATGTCTTTATTGACCTTCAGTGACACTTGAGTGTTTCATATCTTTTAATCTCATTGTAGAAACTCTTAAAGGGTTTGACATTTTAAAAATGAAGAGGCAGTGAGTCGCACAACTTCCAGTCAGCAGTAAAATGTGATGAAGTTCTTCTATTATTAAACACTTTCCCTCCCTCAGTGGTTGGTGACAGAAAATTTGACCTTAAACATTCTAATAAGTCATCAAACCAAGAACAAAGTTGGATCCTGAGCTAAGAGGACTGACGACAAATGCTGCTTTATTAAAGCTTTTACCACAAATGTCGGAGGAAAATGTCAACATGTCGGGGTGAGTGTGGAGTACCTTGAACGCTTTGGGTCACTGTGAGGCTGCTGCAGAAACAACAGAAGATCAGGAGCTGCTGAGGCTTCATGTCTCCATGGATACGAGGATCACTCTGTGGAAATGAATGACCGAGCTCTGCTTATTATCTATTTCTATCATTTTCAGTATCTAATCTGACTCTCTGTGATATAAAACAATTCTAAATTAAAATGATCAAACTGAAGTTTAGCACAACGTGTCATCACGGGTGTGTGAGGGATGGAAAAGCGCTCTTACCTCAGGGGCTGTCCTGCTGCTGTTGATGTCTCAGACAGTGAATGAGAGATCGAGCTGAGGTTTATGACTTCTTGCATCACAGGAAGTATGACTTTTTTTCACGTCAAGGTCTTTTTTTTTTTTTTCCTCTGGTTTTGGGCACAAGTTCCTGTCTTTGATCACAGTGCCATCCTGCCGCTGATCTGTTTACTCTGACATGCAAAGCGGGTTTTTTTTCCATTATTGTTTTTGCACACAAACAGATAAGTGACCGTTTATGTCTTAGATTAATTCATAATAAAGGATTGTTTTAACACCTGCCAGAATACACTGAAAAGCCATGAATAAATGCATCCAAAATAAACACTGCTGAGACAAACTTTGATATAAAGACCTTGACAAGTTGTGTTAAAAGGGTCAGTTTACCAAGAATTTACTCAGTAGTTCAATTGCAGTGTAGGCTATCTAAGCCATCATCTAATTTCACACGTACAAATCCTTGCACACAGCTGCACTGATATGCACGCCTTTGAGAATTCAGACTGCCGTCTATCTGCAGGTATACGTGAGTACATCTAACACAAACATGATAAGAAGACAAAAGGCTTTTTTGTTGAACCTCTTTTTCTCTTAGGAACGAGGAAACCACTGTGTGTGATCTTTTTCTCTGTGTGGTATCCACTTGGTACTGCAGGTGTAAGGTTGGCTGGTTTTATAAAATGAATTTTTAAGTCCTACAACAGAAATGTGAGTTTTACACCAGAGGTTCGACAGCCTGCTGAAGAAACAGTGTCTTTGCCGTGCAAACACTCACAGTGAGTGCGTAAGAAGGAGGCAGGGGGGAGATTTTTTAGTGCGTATACATTCAAGATAAAATCAGTAAAGACAAAAGAGGAATCACTCTGTGAACATGTGGTGTTAAAATTCACAATTCACACAGATGGAAAGTTTCTCACAGGAACTACAGATGCATAAAATTCATGTAACATTGGAAATCCATTTAAAACGACAGAGGACTCCTTGCAGGAGAAAGAAGAATTAAATAAGTCGTTTTAGCGATGGCTCTCTGTGTACCTGACAGATAACAGCAGGTTAAGATGGCAGTTCAACATTTCTAGATAAAGTGTTGGATTGTGGTCAAGCGCTGATGCTGCAGCATGAGATAAAAATCAAAATGACGCACGCACTCTTTTGGTTTTTACGTTGTTTTTAAAATAAATAGTCTGAATGACAGTCGACACAGCAGCTCCAGAAAAGTGAAGCCAAAATATCTGGAGCTTCCTGTGTCGATACTTCTGCCAAAGAGTTGAGTTCTTTTGGGGTTTTATGGTTTCGCAGCACTTTGAAAACTCTTGTTTGTAAAGATTCTGTGCAAATATCAGTAATAATTATTGAAGCAGCAACATGAGTCATATTTTTTTTCAGTTAGAGCGCCCTCTATTGACAGTTTTTGTTGATTTCTGTTTCAGACTTGACACCAAGACTGAACATCTGCAACTGTAAAGATGCAAGATTGAAGCTCAGCACTTCAGAAAATGTCTGGTTTTAAGCTAATGTAAGAACTCCTGATGAAAAAGTGCTGCTAAGGGATTCGCTGAGTTTGTACGGAGGTAAGTACAAATCAAATCCAAGTCCATGTCGAGTTTAACAGCTAGATAAGACTGAAAAATAACCCAGAACAGGAAAACAACAACCAAGATGATGGTTAAGAGAGATCATCCTAACTAGACCCCTCTTCGTCTATCTCCTGCAGTAACAGGTAAAGGTTCAGTCTCAGACTTGCAGTAATTATCCACGCTGTAAGACGGTAAACTCCTGTGGAAACTCTGGACTAGAAAACAAAATGAGCTACATTTCCCCCTCCCACAGCACCAACCCTCAGGAGCCCTCTCGGTTGGAAAAATCCGCCTTCACACTCTTAGATCTTATGGGTTACTAATGGTTCAAATATCTGATTAATTTATACCTTTGCCACTTGAGACTCTCCGATTGTGACGCTATGGCTGCACTTGCCTCACACAGGAAAATTGTCAACATGGATGCTTCAGGCCCACTCTAATGAAAATGATTTTTCTTGTTTTTTACATGTTCATATTGCATTTTTCTGATGCTAGAGGAAGTATCATGAGAAAATTGAGCAAAACTGTATTTCTGAGTAATTCTGCATTCAAATCGCCATAAACCTCTGGCAGACCCAAACAGCAGGTTCAGACACACAGAGATTTTCTACGCCACAAATCTAGGCTCCTCCCCCTGAAAACTAGATAGGACGATTGTTGAACAAGCATGTGCGTTAGCAGATTGCGATGTTTGTAAGAAAGCTAATTTTGATTTTAGCTTTCATCATGCCCCCAAAGATATTAGTGTCAGAGAGCTGAAAAGCTCCTCTATTACCTGCCACTTCTGCTGCACTGGCAATGTTAGGCTATAAGCTAGCGGGACAAGGAGTGTGCAGAGCAGCGCTGTCTCCGCCCACGACTCAGAGGTGAATTGCTAATGAGCTACTGGAGCTCTGCAGAAGAGAAGCTCTTGAAAACGACACAGGAAACGTTATTTTGGCTAAAAACTTCATAATCACAATTTAAAGACCACTGAGAACACCTTGAAAAGTTTAATTTCATCTGAGTTTTGTACAGTTGAAAGGGTGCAATCGTGTAAGAGCGCCAGCTACAAAGTTAAAGTTAAGCTCCTGTGCTCAGGTGGGGTTTTGGCGCCTCCTGTAGACAAAGCCATGCCTTTTTGTGCGTTGTGTAAGTGTTCGTGCTGCTTTTATGACACAAAAATTTCATCCTGCTTTCTTCTGAAGGTCAAACATACCACTCAACATCATCATTACTGGAGATAAATGTCTTTTAGCAGCAGTGTCAGACAGAAAATATCCATGCAGACGTAATTAATCAGGTCTATTGGAGTTTATTTAGGATCCTCAGAAGCATTAGTATTGATTTGAGCCTGTATCATAACTCAGTAAAAACCTCCTATAGGAGCTTTAAGTGAAACAAATGCTGTCCGTTCGACTCTATGTGAAAAACATAAAGTTAGAGATTGTTTGACACCACTTCCCTCAGATAAAGGACGCCGACGCTAGACATCATATTTTTTCTCAAGTTGAACATGATAAGAATTTGCATTCAGTGTGCTCTTTTTACTGAAATGTAACAGGAGGATGGTTACAGTGGTTACTGCAAGAGGAACAGACATTATCGGAGGTCCTGATAAGGCAGCATGCTTGCTGGAGCTACAGTACAAGCTGAAGAAGCGTGCGTGACCATGATAGTAAGCTGCTGAGACGAAAACATCACCTGGGAGTCAAAGCTGTGAGAAAAAATGTTGACTCTGAGCGGTCTGCAGCGTGACAGAAATCAACTGCAGGCTTTTACAGAGTGAACTGATGCATTAAAAAATAAATGTACATACATTTAATGAGAAAAAAGCATTAAAAAGGTTGTGAAACGATCATGTGACTGCAGGTCTTGTGTCCTCTTTGGCTTATGATTTAATAGAAGCTCTGAAAAACTATTATATTATTTGCAAAGTCCAGCTAAAGCAAAAAGAAAGGAACTTTGTGCACATTACAAACTCCACGACTCAAATCATTGTTTTAATTTTTACATTATTTACAGGAAAATGAGCTGAGCAACACTTCAAATGGTCTTCTCTCTCACCATCTTTTCATTATTTGTCCAAAAGCTCTTTCTGTTGTGATTTCTGCAGTTTATCTTTAACATCCGTCACTGTGTTTCAAGTATCTCGTTCTCTGTGTTTCCTGAGTCTTCATGAATAGTGCTACAGATCATCCACTGTTTGACATAGTTCGAATTAGAGCTTTTGTGGTCCTGAAATAAATCCATCTGCACCGCCATGTTGGAGTCCGCAGCTCCAGGGCTGCTGCACTCTCCAAAACCACTATCAATGGTGTCCAAGTCCACGTGAGGGTAGCCGTCTTCTGACTGCTCTTGTGAGACGAATGAGTCGAGTGATACCCTCTCTGGTTCATCAATGTGGGCATGCGGCTCAAAGCTGACATGATCCAGCGATAAGTCATTGGATATTTGGTTCTCATGCTGCGGTAACATCCCACTTAGTCTATCCAACCTGGATATGCGACGTTCCTCTAGATCACTGTGAGGATGTTCTTCAAGTAACCCAAAGCTCTCTCCGTCTCTGTAACTTCTGAGGGTGTTCACAGGGCTTCTTGACCTTTGAACTTCCTCCTCAAACTCTTCCTCTCCAGACAGGGTTACAGTATGGATGGAGATGTGCCCGCTGGAGTGACCTGCGCTCTGAGCGCTGCCACCCTCCTGGAAGTACAGCAGAGAGTTGCACTGAGGCTGCGGCTTGTGACCCGCTTGTTTCATCTCATTGTCCTCGCTGGAGCTTCGGTTCTCATTCTTCCACTGGAGGACGTCGGGCTGCTTCTCGCTTTTCTCCTGAACATGAGGGCTGACCTTCTGGTAGTCGGACTCGATGAATGGAGATTTCACCCACTCCTAAAACAAAGCAAATGGAGATCATTAATGTCGTTTCTTTGAGTAAATGTTTATACTAGCCAATTGGTAAAACATGGAAGCCATATAAAGCAGGAGCCAGCATTAATACTGGGATCAGAGGGGAACTTCTAGCCTTAGTTCCAGCTGAAGATATTTTTTAAACTTTGGTTTAAGTATGAATAAACAAACTGGATAAGAACTGTTATGTAGGCCAAGCAAGATAAATTTGTTCAATTTCAGCAACAAGGTCATCCAAATCGCTCCCTACAGGACATTATGGAGTCACACTCAAGGCAACGGCCGAAGTTCTGTGTGATGTTCTCCATTGTACCGTTGCTAGGATACAGACTCAACATTCTGAGGCGCTTGAAATAATATCAGGAGACTTCTACCATGTCGCCTTCTCCTCTCATGTGACTGAATTTACGCAGTTTGATAATAAAACCCTGGATCTGCTGTAAGCCGACGTCAGAGAAGCTGACAGAGCTGCTGCTTAACCATCACGGAGCAGGTCGGATCATAACATGGATGGAGAGATTCAGAAGATCTTTTCTACCCACAGCCATCAGACTTTTCAATTCTTCTAGATGACATGAGATTCCAGACAAACAAATTTCCCTTTGGGCATAAATAAAGTTCTTGTATTGTTTTGTATTAGGAGGTTTATTTCTCCCGCCTTAAATCGGATAAATGTTTCCTTCTACTTTGTTTCTTTTTTAAAGTTTGGGTAAGGAGCCACTGGGATCATTTTTAGAGGTCTTTGATATGCATGGGAACTTCTTTGCCAAAACCAGTCCACTATAAACTGGTGCTGAGGGACATTGAGGAGGGCCGACTACGTCTCCAGAATGAGATCCTGCCACTCTACCGCACTGAAAGGCTCCATCCATGTCTTTCAGAAGTGTTTCAGAGAGGAAAGAGACAAGAACATTCCACTCCAAATATTCTGATTAAAGAGACCGGGTATGGGACATTTCCCACAAACAGAGTGATAGTAAGGACTTCTTTGATTTTACTAATGTGAAAATCTTATCACCAACATTGCCGTCCGGTCAGGGAGGAGAACATACCGATCCCACATCACTCACTCATCGCTCCCTTAAGTACTGACCTCTTTGGCTCAGTTCTCACAAAATACTGACTTCAGAGTTGAGCTTTTTAACTGTTTTTTTAATGAACCAATTTTTAATAAGAGAACTGTTTTCTACATGTTCAAGGTTAACCTAATTATCCCTGTGAGGAGCAGAAACAGAAGAGACAGTGGAGGATATGAAAGTTAGACTAACTGCTGACTGTTGCTATTATCTGCTGCGGTTTTCAAAGCCTATAGTCTAAGATTTCTTGTGCAATAATACTGCCTATTGAAGCATTGACCCTTTAGACCTGGCTGCATATCTACAGTAAACACTGAACTGCAGCAGCATTTTGCTACCATTCAGCAAAGAGATGGCCAGATAAGGTTGAATCAGTCAGGTTTTGCAAAGGACACCACATCCTGCAGTGCAGCGCTCATCAACATCACTGACTAATGTTTGAGCGGCAGAAAAAGCACGAGCAACCTGCACCACAAGAGTGAGATAGCAGAATCAAAGTAGGCCAGGGGTTCGTCAAACAAGAGGGTGCGTTTTGGAGATGTAGATATATAGATAGATAGATGTACTTTATTGATCCCAAACTGGGAAATTCTCTTGTTACAGCAGCAAAGGGAAAATACAAATAACATTAAGTATAAGAACAGGTAAGTACAGTGCAGACTAAAATTACTAAAAGTACTAAGTATATGCAATAAATACAGACTAAATATACTAAACATCCTAAGAGGTAAAAGTGAGATATGAAGAACCTGGGCTATTGAAATAGGTAATAAATAGGAAAGCGAAATATTACAGATGGGATAATAAATAAACAAACCGTCTAAGGTGCTCAGTAGTGTGATGTGGTAGGAGTTTTTAAAATGGACTATACAGCAGACAGATGTGAGTCCCTGTCTGACGGATGAGAGTTATTAAATAGTGCAATAGCTGTAAGGATGGTATTGGAAGAGATTCGCACTCAGCATCACATCTGGTATCAGGGGATAACTTATTCTAGATCCAGTTTGATTCATTTAAGAATGCAATTATCAAAAATTGGCTAAACAATGACATTAACATGAGCTATATTTAAAGCGGCTGCAAGAAACTTTTGATTTGTATCGATATGGCGCCCCCTGTGGCCAAAGTGGCTTCATATCTTCTGTCCTGTACATATGAGAGAAGTTTTTTCAGCCAAAGCCTCATCCTGTTGTTGTGAGATATACCACTCAATGGGAGTTTTTTTACATTGGGCTGAATTCAAGCCTGCTGTCAATCATCTAGTCTGACTGATTTAGGGTGATGGGGTGTGCAGGTAGATGTTTAAACCCTGATCATAGATTATTGTGGCTTTCTTGTGAATGTTTAGCCTTTGTATTAAAATAATGGTTTAAGAAAGAAAGAAAATCCTGAGAGCAGAGACTCACTTCCCTTTTTTGACTGAATTGTGAATGATTTTACATTTTTACACTAATAAATTGGACTTTTCTTGTCCTTGAGGCCCAAAATGTTTCATATTAAATCTAATTATAGAACAAAATGTGGATAATCTTTTCACTCCAAGTACTGCTGCGACTGTTAGTGAGATTTTTTGCTATGTAAAACAAAGACATAAAGAACCCCTGCATGTGATTGATACCAAAACCCTGCACAGCTTCTGCTCCCTGATTTCTCAGGTACTGCTGGTAACCCGACTATCTCAGCAGTGTCCTCTTGTACATGCTGCAGTGGCGCCCTCTGCTGACCAATATTGGTAATTACACGCTGATCTGAAGCCGAAGAGTATAGAAAGTTTCACTTTGAGCTGCAAACTCTGAGTTCAATGGATGACCTTTACCCCACACGAAGAGGCTCAGTTCATGTGCAGCACTTCTACTCTGCATATGTGAGACCACTTTGAGGGTCTTTCACCCACATTATCCAACAGAAACCTGGTCATGAAATTAGTCAAAGTGAACAGAATGAATCTGTTTCTCACAGTCTCAAAGGAGGGGGGAAAAAAAAACCTCCACCAGAGAAAAACAAGGAGGTGTCGAGGACATGGTAGTCATCATGGTTAAAACAATGTGAACCACATCAGCCCCCCTTTCGTGCCCTTATCTAAAGCCTGACACATAAATGATCTGAGGGGGTATTTTCCACTGGGGAGCGACAGTTCAGGCTTTTACACAAAAGTATACACCCACATCATGTCAGACAGATGAAAAACGAAAAGCCTCTTGAAGCCCCTGCACACTGAGTCATTCCCCTCATGAACTATTACATGTGAAGTCACGGGAAAGTCCCACCGACATGGTGCAGGTGTGTTAAAATCCCCCTCTTGGGCAGCACCTGCTGGGATTGTTCAGAAACTACACACAAAACCTGAACTGAGGCTGAGGTTCACTTTTCTCTCTCACCTTAAAATTCCCTTTATAGGTGTGGTAGAGCGGTTCGAAGAACTCATCTGGTTTGGGGATGTATGTAATCAGTTGGAGCTTGTTGCACAGATATCTGAAACAAATATGAAATTAATTCAGAAAATGAATGAGAACAAAGAATACCACATTTTCAATCCCATTTTGTTAAAACAGGTGTGCAGAAAAGACTGGAAATGACTGTCATGATGAATGAATATGAGTCAAATAAGGTATGACTCTGCAGAAACCCCTCAAGAAAACTCCTGATTTTAAACAGCTTTAGTATGTTTATTTTGCTTATTATGTTGAACAGGAGAAAAAAAAGTGATGAAAAAATAATTTAAGACTCTTTCTATTTAAGAGAAGCTTTTGAAGGTTGAAGGTTTAAACTTCTATTTCCTGTCTTTTTAATGCCAAAACATGAATTACTGGATCTCCAGTATGTTTTCAAAGCTCTACTTTAAGGTGGTTTTCTTACCTAAAGGGATATTCCGGTGTAAAACTAATTTAGGGTCAAACACACCGTAACACCGAGTTAGACACCCCCTCGAAAGATGACTTTTGCCGACCGCTTGCTTCTCTAGTTATACCAACTAGGGAACTACCAATGTCAAACAGTTCTACCAAGGATGGCAATACACAGCGGTCTGAGGAGCCATAAACAAAACGCCACTCTACAGCCACAAATAATGCTCAGAACAGCACCTAACTTCATCAACAGGACATACAGGGTCCCAGCCATAGTACTAGCCACCAAACATCTTTTTAACTTTGCCTGTTTCTTTAGAAAAGAGACTAAACTCAACTCTCCTACTCTCTTCCAGCAGCCGCTTATTTATAGTAAGACTTCAGGCCAGTCCATTACGGACTGCAGCGGGGTGACGCAGCTCAAGGAAGAACATTTATGATCATTTCTTTATCATTTCCTTTAAGTAATAATCATCATATTAATCATTTTGCACTGCAGACACAGTCGTTCTTCTGCCTTAGCGTCTCGGTCTGATTGTATTTCCATGAAGTAATGATCATAAATGTTCTTCCTTGAGCTGAGACACCCCGCAGTAGTCCGTAATGGACTGGCCTGAGGTCTCGCTACAAACAAGTGGCTGCTGGAAGAGAGTAGGTGAGTTGAGTTTAGTCTCTTTGCTAAAGAAATGAGTCAAAGTTAAAAAGATGTTTGGTGGCTAGTACTATGGCTGGCACCCTATATGTACTGTTGATGAAGTTAGGTGCTGTTCTGAACATTATTTGTGGCTATAGAGTGGCGTTTTGGTTGAGGTTTGTTTATGGCTCCTCAGACCACTGTTTGTTGCTATCCTGCGGTCGTTACTGAACTCGAGAAGCAAACATTTATCTCTGTGTCTAACTCAGTGTTACGGTGTGTTTGACCCTAAATTAATTTTACACTGGAATATTTAACAAGAGTAAATGATCTTGGTGTGATGTGCAGTGATCTTGATCTGAGTGTGCTCTGATTTTCCCTCTGTATTAGCCTTGGCAACTTAAAATAAAGCCTGTGTGAAAGTTTGTAGCACTGGCCTTACCATGCATCAAACACTTACAAATTCACCCAAGACTTCTACACCCTTTCTCTACTTGCATTTAAATAAAGATATTTACAAATATCTGCACATAAATGCAACAATTCACAGCTCTACACTTCCACAAGAAATTCACAGAAAATTAGCTTCATAACTTTCACAAAGGAAGGATTAGCTTCAGCTGAGTTTGCTTTGTAAAACGGAAACTGTGGATATATGGCGCCTCTGCAGAGCATGTGAAGACTGCAGAAGCTGCCAACAAGGTTCACAGCACAGAGCTTTTGTTGGCTGTGCAGGACTGAACCAAAACCAGAGTTGAGTCATCCCTCAAACCGGACAGAGAGAGACGAACAGAGTGAAGTTCCTCTGCTTATCAAGCCTGTATTTTCTTCCTGTAACTGAGTGCTCCTAATGAGTGAGAATGAGTGAGTGTCAGATACTGATGCTCAGCATGACTTCCTATCTCAGCCAGCCACTTGAGTGCAATGAGCTGCTGCACGTACATCGCAGCCGTGGTTTCTCTACATGTGGGAGGTGATGCCAGGAAAGTGTATGTTGAAGCAGTGAGAACCTTTCGCTGATCGTTTACAGGAAGACTTAATGCTGCTGACCTGAAGACTGAACTGACTTTCACTTTGTTAACTTAGTCTTCTGAGCAATGGATGCAGATTTTTATAAATCCAAAGGGAAATTTAATCTGTTTTTTTTGTCTCACTCCACATGAAAACATCTGCCTCTGTTTCTCTAGAAGCCAATGGTACTTTCTGACTATTGAAGAGCAGATACTAATAATGGACAAATGGGACTTTTTGAGATTACGTGGTTAACCTACTGAAGTGATGAATCCTAATGTTTTTTTTGAAGAGCAGTAAAATCATGAAACATTTTGAGTTGTTCAGCTCTGCAGGTACTTACGATTTCTGTGAAAATATCACGATCACACACACAACCGGGACGATGAACAGGAGAGCACACCACCAGTTCTGATCTGTGCCTGTAAAGGAGATAAAACACGTCATATATGTAATGATAACGTTAAGTCATGCTCCACCCTGAGACGCCTGATATAGATGAGGAAAAAAAAGTAGATACCTTCAATGTCCAGTTTTCTTCTACCTTCAGTCCACTCAGCAGAGGAGCTCCACTCGCTCCACGGACCACAAAAGAAATTATCAGTATTGAATTTCGCCCTCACATCCACGATATAGTGGACATAAGGCCTCAGCTCCTGGTGTTCTAACAGGAGGAGCTTTTTGTTCTCTATGAATGAAAGAGGTGGGTTCTGTCAGAAGAAGAAGAGGAAGAGGATTTGTATTTGGAGTTTTCAGCAGAAACACTTAAAGTCTGATTTTCTGTGTCAGGGTTTGTTCCCGTCTCACCTTGGACACGTCTCCCTTCTCTCTTATGCGTACTTCATACGTGAGATAGTCGTCTTTGTTTTCGTGCTCCCAAGTGATGTTGTAGGATCTGTCAGTTTTTGTCACCCTGACGTCGAAAGGTGGTGAAGCTTTGACTGTAAGAGGGAAGGATAAGGAAAATATAATGAGCCTCAGTTTTATTTTAAAGGCACAGCCGGCAAACCCCCTGATAACATAAACAACAGAGATTTAGTTTCCCTTTTGACTGTTCTGCTTTTAACCCAGAAAACAACAATAACATCAACCTGTCTGATCATGATGCAACAGAGAGAGAAAGAGAGAGAGAGAGAGAGAGAGAGAGAGAGAGAGGAAACAACAACACAGCTGAAAACAAACAGATTATCTGAGGTGATACATGCACTGCAAAAATGCAAAGCAATCCATGTATTTATTTTGTTTCTTACTGGATTGCACAAACGAGAGTAAAAGGTAAACATATCCTACATGTGTCAAAAATATGTGCCATTTATACACCAGAAGAGCCAGATGACAAAGATCTGGACTTTTCTTGTAATTTAGGAGGAGGCAGGTGCGTTGGTGTTTGCCGCAATTCATGATGTTGGTAAGCAGGGAAAGTTCCCGTAAAGGTTGTTTCATTATCAGCTTTTAAACACACTAAAAAACGTCTTTTTTTGCAAATTAAAGAACAGGCTGAAATTGAAATTGGGGCCTTTTTATGATCAACAAAAGTAAACGATAGCATCAGCATGAAGGCGGTCTAATTCTGCAGAATATTTTTCTATGTTTGCGTTAAGTACCAGCCACTGAAACTGTTTTTTTCAGTGCATTTTCCACAGCAAAATTCCTCATGAATGTGAGTTTGACTGTAAAAATGAAGCATTGTTTGTTAAAAACATCACAGGGCGAGATCAGCAAAGAGATCAAAGGTGCTGCTTTGTCCACAGGGGGCGCCAAAGTCGACATAAACGAAAAGATTCTCACAGGATCTTTAAAGTTGTCGTGATTAAGGCCACTTTTAGACGGAAAAGGTCTTTATAGAAAACGGAAAAATTTAGTTTCGTTTAGGGGGGTCCGTTTAGACGAAAACTGCGTTTTCAGGAGATGAAAACATAACGAAGTGAAAACCCCCTCCAGAGTGGAAATGTTGTAAACGCTCTGCTAGTCCCGCTTTCGTCTAAAGTACAAAAACGTTGAAAACGGTCAAACCTGTGACGTCATGGCTCATGTCAGCTCACGCTTATGACATCATAGCCATGCGCAGCTTCCTTTAAAATAACAACAACAACCATGCTAGACATTAAAGTCACGTTGTCGTTATTATTGAATGGGCAGGAGCTCAATTTCGACCTGTACAGAATCCTCACGGATCATACTGCTCAGCAGAGGAGGCGCCTGAATTATTTGCATCAAATAATTAATGTAGAACAGAAGTCGTTCTACGTATTTGTTGGTCAATACGGGAGCGCGGTCACACGCGCCACCTAGCGACCTGCCTTGCACATTACAGCGTTTTCAACCACATTGCGTTTTTGTGTAAACACAGCATAAAAACTGAAAACGAAACGGCACTTTTCCGTTTTCTATGGAGACCGTTTCCGTCTGAAAGTGGCCTTATAATTAGCAACTTTGGAGTTCGCTTAGAATCAGCACTTCAAATGTTTAAAAGAAACGTGTCTGATTGGAGGATTACTACATCACCTTTGATCAGATATACATTTCTGTGAATGGTTTTATCTCATCAGCGGACGTGACGAAACCTGAAAAGCCGGCTGTGCGTAGCTGTTCTCAGTTTAAACTCACCCATCTTACTCAGCTCCCATTGAGACGACTCAGTGTCGTTCAGCGCTGTTTGACCATCGAGCTGAGCGACGGTCGTGTTGCACATGGTCCCGACTGAAGCGACTTCATCAATGCTTTCAGTATACACGGCGCACCAGGATTTAGGTGGTTGGATCTGACAGCTGCCGTTGGCCACAAGCTCATAATTTCTACAGAGACAAAGTTATCATCGATAATGATCATCTTTGTGACATCAGCCGAGCTCTCAGAACGAGAGCTTGTGGTTTTTACTGGGACTGATACAGACAAAAGCTGGTGCGCTTCTGGTTTGAAAGCTCTAATTCACATTTTTCAAGTTTGTTTATCGTAGAAACACTTCAGGCAGACAAAGACATAACTCAGTGACGTACACTCATGTACCTGTAATACTGAAAACGTCACAACACCCCACACAATAACACAACATCCTCTCATAACGACATCCGCTGAGGCTTTCTTCCGGAAATCATTTGCAATAAATCAATCAGCTCAAACATAAATCCCCCCAACCCCCTTGTTTTTTTTGATAAATCGATGATTTTTATCAATCCACTAATCTCTGACTCAGATTTTTCTATTTCTACAATCCAAAGTGGTGCATTTGATTAGCTCGTTACTGCTGTTACATACAGACTGATTCAGTCTTTTACACTTTTAGACACAGGAGGGCGTTACGTTGTCAAATTTGAGAAACTGGAGGTTTTTGGGTGATACAAAATCTGCGATGTACTATCATGACTTCATGAGAAAAAACACCTCGAGATAAAAGTTCACGGTATGACATCACTGATGGGTGTTAAAATGAAAACCTCGCTGTGGAAACTTTAAGGCAGCTGCAGTAAAGGGAACAATTGGGGCCCAAAGTTTTCACAACAGTACAGTGTTTCCATTAGGTCAGATTAAGTGTGCCAAAGCAGCTCCACAAGAAAAGACTATTCAAAATACTGCTTTCCCTCATTATTAGAGTCAAACTGAGTAATAAAATGTAAATGCGCTAAATTACAGTCAGGGATAACCTAAAATTTACCTGCAGGTGACTGTGACGAGGACGGCTGCTGGCAAAGAGGCTGAACAGGAACAGTTCACCATCTCGATGTAGTCCGTGGAGCAGGTGACATTACAGAACGACGTTACTGTCCAAAAGAAGAAAACTGTGATTATTTATGTTCATCTTCTCAATCTGACCCTCTGAATCATTGTCTGTTAATTAAGAAATGCCTTTGACCGATATTAAGATGACAGAAAAGGATAAAAGTTTGAGGTTCTTATCAACAGCTAAAGGAAACAAACTTCACAAGATAAACTCACCGCCACAGACGAACAAAGAGAGGCCCCACAGCGACAAGAGGACAACAGATTTAGAAGCCATGGGGACGACCCTCTGTTATCAGCCTCTGGTGAGACAGGAGGAAATATTAATTACAGCACTCCTAATAACTTCACTTTGAGAGGTGGAAAGCATTTATTGATTACAAGACTGTGTGATTAATTCAGTTTTTCTATAATGCAACTGAGTGCAACATTTGTAGAAAGGTGAATTCCTTTTTAAACCGACTAAAAGATCAAAATGTTTCATGGTAGAATCTCATCATGAGCACAAGCATCATTATCATCGTCATGGAAAAGCATAAAACGCCGCTTTTAATTTGTAAAAACAAGAAAAGTTATAGTAGAAATATTTTCCTTTCTAATATTTCCTGATCTTGTTCAAAGATTAAAAACAATCTTACCTTTCTGTCAGTGTAAATGTCTGCCACCTATTCAGTCAGCTCTCTTACTGTGCCTCTGATGAGCCGCCGTCTGTGTGAAAAGGGTTCGGGGAAAATTTAGGTTCCTTGCAGTTCAAGGCGTCATCATCAGTGGCGTGACTCAGGATGTGGTTTTGAGTCTATTTGAGCGTCTACTGTGGTGTCTTCCCCCACATTCACCATGTCATGAATATGCAATAGTGAAGCCAAAAAGAAACAGTCAACAGGAAACTGAAACCTGTTTTTTTGTTGTTGGAGGACAAGAGCTGACTCAATTTTAAAAAAAGGTATTGAGAGAATAAAGAAATATTCTGAACAGTTAAATAACGAGTGTTTTTGTTCATGCTGTTGGACACAAAAGTCTTTTTTATAATCCTGCACCACCTCCTCGCTCACATCATCATCACATTACCTTTGAACACAGACAAAACACGTTTCAGTACTGAGATGATTCAGAACAGAGACAGCAGAGATGTTTCTGATACCTTTCTTCAGACCCTTATCAGACACCTACATGTCTTCACCACCATATGTCAGGGGCTTTTAGAAGTTTCCAGCAGGGTTCATCCTGGTAGAAGCTAAATGAGTCACAATAATAAATCTGTGGAGCCCCTCTCTGCTCAATAAATTATCCCCAAATGGTTTAAAAACAAAGAAATCCAACTGGATGTTCATGTTTCCCAACAGGGACTTAAACTTCAGGAGGTTTAGGTTCATGCATGCATCCTGTGACTGTTGAGCTGCACAATGACAGTTTGTGTTTTTTTTAGGCGGTGGGCTTTGGTGGTACCAAAACCACAAAGTAGGTGTGACAGACGCATTTCATCTCACATCATCGACTTATATTAGTCAAAGTCTGATATTGCTCTGACAAATGCGACACAAAGCTGTGCATCTGCACCTAACCAGCGAAGTGTTTAACAATGCAGTAACTGTTGAGTATCACTTTTGTGCGTCTTGTCTGCTTTTTCTTACCCTCGTAAAATTAAAATCCTGTGGTGTGATTCGGATGGCTGCTCCTACCTCAAAAACAACTAAAAAAAGTCACGTCTGAAATAGAGCGATCAGAGGTGACAGGGCTCTGCTGCAGGAGAGCACAACCTTGCACGCTGCTTTTATAGTATAACTCAGAGTTTGTGAGGTAAATCAATTATACCTGCAGGATTTGTTGTATTTGTCTTTAGTATTTTTGCATATTTCGATTACAAATAATAAATAGTGATAGTCATCTCCTCATTACAAGTGACTTTCTGATTTATAACAGAGTTTTGGTGATTTTTTTTTGTTGATAATTTGTTCAGCAAACTTAATTTTGGCATTACTTGTACTTTTTCTTCACTGGTGGGTAACACTGTGAAGAAACATCTCACAAAAAGGTAGGACCAGCATGCACCTGGCAAAGCCTGTGTTTTTTTACTAATGTAAAAGAGAGGCTGCAGGAGCCATAACTTCTGTCCGACTAACATAACACTTCTACAATATGATTTCGTATTCTACCTGCCAACTTCTGCATTCACTTTTACTATATTGCACGCTTTATGCACATGTATTGAAAGTACTAAAGTATTCTATTTTAGATTCATTATATAAAGGTATTCTATTTAAGGCGTGTGTATAAATTGTTTATATCTAGCTTTTCATTCTCTTGTCTTTTCAGTATTTTATTTATTTTATTGTATTTTGCCGGACAGCTATTACATATTTAGTTTCCCTTTGAGGATTAATAAAGTCATCTATCTATCTATCTATCTATCTATCTATCTATCTATCTATCTATCTATCTATCCATCTATCTATCTATCTATGTATCTATCTATCTTTCTTTGTTCTAGGATTTGCTTGTGTTTTAAGAAATAAATCACAAGAAATACAGAACACTGGCATAGACAATGAACTTTGTACTCAGTATGTACTGACGATGCACAAGAGGCTTTTAGATTATATTAACAAACTAAACTGAGATAGGAAATTTCTTGTGTGTGTGTGTGTGTGTGTGTGTTCTTAGTGACCAAGATATACTCTACATACTGGGTGCAGCCTGTAAAAACAGCTACTGCCACCAGAGGTCACTATTACTGAGGTTTATTTTAAACCTGAAAGAGATCCTTCAAAAGTGGTCCTTTGTGCTTACCGAACAATATATGAAACTGCAGATATATTTACCCAACTTAAATAACTATATCTTTAGACTTTCAGTTTTTTACATACCTACTAAATGCATTAGAAAAAATCAGTTAACACAGATGCTGACAATACAGGAACTACCAGCTCAAAGCCCTCTGCTGATTACTGACCTCTCCGTTTGTTCTCATATGAGTCCTCAGCAACTGACTCATTTTTCACTAGAATCTGCAGAAGTGCCAAACACTCACTTTTAGAGAGAAGTTTAACTTGACTCACCGAGTTTGTTATCTTAAATGTGTAAAAACATGGAAACAGAAAGTGGGTGAGGATGCGGAAAATAAGCTGAGAAAATGAGTTTTCCACCGAAGTTAGTGTTAGTGATGACAAAGTAAAAATGTGAGGGGGTAGCAATTTTAAAGCTTTTGTGGTCTAAACTAATGATTCATATTATTTCAAAACCAAATTTAACATCATAAAATGACTATTTTATGATGTGTCATGTCTGCTTTTTCCAAGAAACAAGGATTCAATGGGATATTTGTCCTTTTGATGTATAAAAGGTGATGAATTATAACTTTTGAAGCACAATCTTCTGGTATAATCAAAGAAAAATACTATTAACAGCTTTAACTTCAGTTCAAGATACCTGGAGTTGCAGCTGCAGGGAAAAAAGTGTTGTGTGTCCGTCAAAAATCTACATTTTTTTCCTCACAAATCACGCAGTCTACCTCTCCTTATGAAAAACTGGAGACTTGACCAGCTAATGTGTACAGAGGATGTAATGGAGAGTGTTATATTAAAAGGTGGTCCTTATGTTTTGTGCTCTTTATCTGCAAACATGAGGGAAGTGAAATACCAGGGACGCTTTTAACTACAACACACCTCAGAGCAGCGACACCCACAACAACCTCAACAATGAATCCAAAGAAATTAAATGTAGATGCTTCATTTAAGGTAGAGCTGTTGTTTTAAACTGCATTAGAGAGCTCATAATGTAAAAAAACAGTTTATCTAGATTAAGCAGTTGACAAACAAGGAGTGTAGACGAGAGTTAAGAGAGCATTAAAATGTAAGCATGAAACAAATTCACAGTGATTCTCATTTTATTGTCTATCTCTGTAAGATTGAATATGAGGATGCCTATTTAAGGTTCAAAACAACCCACTTACATGGAAACTGTTGCTTCCACCAGCTTTCATAATAATCTATGAGTTATTCAACCCAGAAACACACATCTAATTATAGTAAACCCTAAAAAACAGATTTCTGTCCAAGCGTGAACTCACCGGGGAACTCTGCTTTGTCCTGCTAGTTTCATTTTCACATCTTGTTCTCTCATGATACTAAAGTCAGCTGTTGCAAGTTGATCTTTGACCAGTTCAGCATCAACTTCTTCAACCTTGAATTTGACTTTAAGTACCAAACTAATGTAATTCAACCTCACCTGTGATCTTAGGATTACACTTTGGCACTGAGGCTTTTTGTTCCTGGATGTATCACCAAACAACAACAGCCTTTTCAAATAAAATACTGCTTAAAAATGAAGACTGGTAAATATGTTTTAGGATGATTTGCAGATAAGAAAAAAAGAGTTAAATGAAATTATTTCTTAGTTGCTTAAAGTAATTTTTTTTAAATCTGCAATATGCATGTTAGCTGTGAGTATGAAAAGCCTTTGCACATTTTAAAGCCCAAACCTTCAACAACCTTTTGTGAATTTTAAGACTATGAAAAACTAACTAAACGAGGTGTAATCTGATATCTGCTGTTTATGGAGTATAAAATTATATCACCATAAAACTTACAGTTTGATGTCGATCAATCAAGAAGCAGCGTTGTTCTCCCGGCTGCATCTATTCTTGCAAAGACTTATCATAAAGTGAATGGAGGAACTGATCCCAGTCAGAGGATGTAGTCAACGGTAACCTTCAACCTGCTTAAACTAAACAAACCCCCGATGCTGCTGCTTTCTTAGAGCATGAAAAAGCAGCACAAAATGCAAAGTTTTGTTTTGAATTTTTTGTATTTCTTCTCAGTGTAAAGATGGATGATGGATGCGGGTGAACAATCATTTCTAGACTCTCTTCAGCCGGGTGACAAACTGACCCGCTGCAGGAGAGCTGATGAGCTGTCACCCTGAAGAAAGGTTTCTCTTTATTAATCTACATTATGTCCCCTGACTCATAGCAGGCGAGTGTGTTAGTAATAAGTTCCTCTAAGAGCTCAGGTGCTTTTGGACCCTGAACAGACTTAGCTGTATCAGTTTACAGGTGACATGTGTCGGTTTCATCTGTACTTTCCATGTGAGTCACTAAAATTTCTAACCTGAAATTATAATTTCTAAATTCAGAACATGGGGGATAAATTTACCTTCTGCTTTATGAATGATATAATACCAAGACTTCCTGCAGTACTGAACCTCTTTACTTTCACTCACGCTCTTTGTTTGCTCTCTCTGTTTTTCTTCACACTCATTCAAAAATACTTGTTAGTACTTTTACAAACTTCACAAATTATAGAACTTGAATTTCTGATTTATCAATATTTGTTTGCTAACTGGATACTCACAGGTTATGCGTGTGCACAATGTGGAACAGTAAATGAATTGTCCACTAGAGGGCAGTGTAGATGGTTTTTAGCATGCACAGTAAAATCATGTATTTCTCCTGTGTGTGTTTCTGCTTGTTTCAGTGTAGAGCTGCAGGTTTAGTCGTCTTTACACAGTGACTCAGTATTTATCTTTTTATCTGTCTGTTTTTGCAGTCGTAGTTTTGCTAAACTTGCCACATGATGTGAGTCGGTACACCACACAGTGCAAAAACTGCTTTAAGGAAACCAGAGACATGACTTTGTGAGTTTTGAGAAAAGCTTTGGTGCCAGCTTCAACAGTTTGTTCAGATTAAATAGATTTTAACTGCAAAACAACATCATATTTCTGTAAACCTTTTGGTTACTTTGTGCCAGAATTAAGACCAAATAGTGTTTTAAAAAAGATTGTGGGACAATTCCTCACCACACTAGTCTTAGCACAGGGTTCCTATGCAAGTATGGAAAAGTATGGAAGTAATTTGATCAATTTCCAGGTCTTTAAAAAAGTTTGGTAAATGAAAAATAAAGTATGGAAAAATATTTATGTTAACAGACTATATTTCTACAGTTATAAAACACTGTTTTCTAAAGTAGAAACGTGGGTATTTCCAAGAATAATTCTAAGTAGGGTATTTAAAAGTATGGAAACTCCAACTGTGTAGGAACCCTGTTATTACAGTTATTAATGTGTCTATTTTATCTCGTCTGCAACACAGGAAAAGAAGGTAAGCTATGGATTTCCTAATAAAGGAAACTGTGATGCTAGATTGTTTTTAAGTTACAGTGAAAAAAACAAAAAAAAAACAAAAGTAACTTAGCAGAGTATCAAATAACAGACATAATTAGGGATAACTGTAGAGAAACAGTCTTAGAGAATAATAATAGAATATAATCAAAAGTTAAAGCTCCTGTGAGGAATTTTTAAATAGCTGTGAAACAGATTTTATTCCTGCTTTTAGACCGACGAAAATTACAAACAAGACTGTCAGCGACAAGACTAGAACTTCTTTAATGTGGTTTTAATGCCTGAAACTGTTGTGAGGTAAAGGTGTCAGAATAAGAGGTAGACAGCATGGTGAAGAAACAGCCTTTCTTTACATTTTTAACAGCAGTTATTTACAAAAAAGGTGACAAATTAAGGCAGTCTTCTAGAAAGAAGTGAAATTCCTTTCTTAAATTATTTCCTAATAGAAATATGAAGGCAATGTAGAAAAGCCGGGACGCAGCAGCCCTCTTTAGGATGTAATCCTTGGCACACCATCAACCACTTAACAAAGAGCACCTGAGTACAAAAGTAAGATGATCAGGAAAGTAGGATCAGTAATAATAATACACATGATAATAATCATAAACGTAGAGTATTGTATGCTAATGTTCACAATAAACCTGAAAGTAAATCTGTACATGAGAGTTATCCCCCTATTAGCGACAAATGACTGTGACTTTGCTGATGGGTCGATTATTGTAGCTGTAGTTAGAGTGATACTGCACATGATAGTTATAAGTATAATGGATTATTAATAACAGACATGATAACTGAGGGGGTTTCTGGTTGGTAATGACATGAACTGAAATTAATAAACAAGACTTATCACGAGCTGTGAAAGCATAAACACCATAACTAAGTTCTGTTTTGATGTCTGAATCTGTGCCGACAAAAAACAGGATTTTCTTCGATCATCAGCAACAATTCATGTGAAGAGATAAAATTAACTGTAATAAGAAAACAGAGTGAGATTCAACTTATATGTGGGTTAAAAATTACTTAAGTGCATTTTTAGGGGATTTCCATCCAGCTACTGATCAGGACTGCCTTGTATTAAAAGTATGTGTATTATTAGGTGAGGTGGCGTTTACCAGAACAGACATTGTAAATGTGGTACTGATGTAAACAAGTGTGTGTAAATTTAGACCTTAATATGAAAATCTTTTTGTTTTTGTTCATTTAAATGAGTACTTTCTATCTGGTAACTCTCTCGTGTAGGCTGCCATCTTTCATGTCTGCCAGTCAGGGCTTATCGCATCGGCGTTTTTGGTGGTAAAAACATGACAAACATGCATCATGGATCATATATCAACAAGGGTTTTTGTCCTTAAAGGGACACCATCTCTACAAAAGGAGGGGTGAGCAAGGGAGCATTTCAATCTTGAATTTGACCCCCATTTTTACAGACTGACACTTTAACGTCAGGTGTCTAATGTGAAGAGAAAAGTTTAAAACAAAGCAAAAATGTCAGACGATGGAAAATTGTAAGAAATACGAACATTTGCTAATTGTAAACTGAGAGTAACACTGTATGTTTGTGACCTTTTGACTGAGGGTCTTTCAGGGTGCGCTGTATGTGTGTGTGTGTGTGTGTGTGTGTGTGTGTGTGTGTGTGTGTGTGTGTGTGTGTGTGAGTGTGTGTGTGTGTGTGTGAGGGGGGCGGGGGATAAAGGTGACAGAAACAGCTCTCGCAGGTCGAGGAGGGGTTTTATCCTCTGGAGAGCTGCAGCCTCTCGTGCAGTTGTTCTGTGAAGTGACCCGCACACTGAAGCAAAGTGGTGGAGGTGTCTTTACTGTGAGGGTGGTTGCGGCGGCGGCGGCGGTGGTGGTGGTGGTGGTGGTGGTGCGGTCACATGTTCAGAAATGGTGGTGGTGGTGGAGAAGTTGTGTGTGTTTGTGTGCGTCGGAGGGTTGGGGAGTATTTGGATTGTAGTGGGTAGATTTGCGGTCTTGCAGCTGTGCGTGTGCTTGTCCACGTCTGAGTGAATAAAGGGAGGAAGGGGCTGCTGCGAGGGGAGGAGGGGGGATTCAGGTTCAGAAGTGTTGAAGCATAAAATCTCTCTCTCTTTTTCTTTCTCTTTCTCTGTCTCTCGCTCGATCTCCCCCCTCTGTTGCCGGGCCAGACGCAAAGCAACAGCAATTTGTGCGATTTCACAGCTCAGCGGATCCCTAAAACTCTGACAGCCTTGTGGTGCGGTGAGGTGGGGGGGGGGGGCAACGAGGGAGGCGAGGGGGAAGAGATAGACGGATGGAGTAGCAGAGTGGATGGATGAATGTAGAAATGACAGTGGAAATGGAAGATGGACAGATTGGGAAAGCTGTTAGTTGAGAGGGTGGAGCAGATGTGACAAAAAACTGATGGAGGCTCCAAACATACCCGCAATTTCTAGTGGAGTTGTCCCTTTAAATGGACATTATCAGTGGTCATGAGGAAGAAGGCCTCACTCTGAATCATATTATCAGCGACTGGTTAGATGAAGCAACTTGGACTGTGACAGAGAAATTCAAACATCTCAGTATTTCAGAGCCAGAAGTGGCCAAATTTGGATTAGAGTATGCTGGACCTCATCTCTGATTGATGTCAGTCACAGCCAGGACACTCAGCATGAGCGTTATTGTCAATTTTACAAACAATGAGAGTATATTTGACTGAATGAACCATCAAGTGAGGAAGCCTGTTTGCACTAACTGGGATTTTAACGTTCAGATTTGGTTATAAAGAAGTGAAGTCAGGTCTGGACGTCTTTGGCAAGATCTCAAACAGTTTTCAGCAGATAAAAATACAGTCAAGATGTTTTATCTTATAATCTAAATAATTGTTCATTTCCTACTTGCTCAGAGTTGGATAGTGATTTCCATGCCTGTAATTATTCAAAGTGATTTAAAGCTCTTGTCAGAAACTTTTGGTCAGCGTTGGTTTTGGCGCCCCCTGTGGCTTATCTTATCCTCTACATACTTGTCCTCTGACAAAGAAATCTCACCCTGCAGATTTTTGGCAGTCAAATGTCTCCTTTTGTGAACATTTAATGTTGAAAACATAAAAATTTAGTTTTTATTTAGAAGTTTTAGTGACGCCTGTCCTCTCACACAGGTTTGGGGTATCAAAAATCACAGTTTAAAACCCACCAGTCTTGATGCTGATGGTCTGGTTTGCTTCTGTATTTCATAAAAAGGAATCAATATGAATTTTAGTTTCTTTCAGAAAAGTCAAATTAACCCTCACAGGAGCTTTAAAGTACTTTTATGTACAAACAATGTGCTTTAACATTTATAGTGCATCATTGGATTGCACATTAACAACACCTACATCCCAGTTCTTTAAATCATAGCTGCACGTGTCTCAGTTTTGTTTTCGTCTGATTTGATGTTTTTTTGTCGTTCAGTTGCTCTGCTTTTATTACTTTTGTCTTTTACTTGCTCTTGTATTACTCAGCACTTACTATTTATTACTTACATTCAGGTAACAAAGGAAAAAAGATGCTGATGTGATCGATACCTGACAGGACTTTGGTTGTTGGCTGTCTAATTTCAGTCTTCAT